ATTTAATAATATGTAAGATAATGGAAAATAATACAAAATAATATTGTAATATACTATAATAATAAATAATAATATTTCATAATGATGGAAAATAATAATGTAATACAATAATATAATAGATGAGTGGGTTGTTGTAGGTTTTTCCGGGCTATATGGCCATGTTCTAAAGGCATTTTCTCCTGACGTTTTGCCTGCATCTATGGCAAGCATCCTCAGAGGTAGTGAGGTCTGTTGGAAGTAGGAAAATGGGTTTATATATCTGTGGAATGACTGGGGTGGGACAAAGAACCCTTGTCTGCTGCAGCTAGGTGTGAATGTTTCAACTGAACACCTTCATTAGCATCCTACAACAACCCAGTGATTCCGGCCATGAAAGCCTTCGACAATGTAATAGATAAGAATAACATGATGCAATACAATATAAAAATGGAACATGATATTATAAAATAATAATAGTGAAACATAATAATAATAATATAATATAACACTAATATAGTAATAATGGATAATAATATTTTATAATAATAGTAATATAAGAATAATAATGGAAATGGTGTTGTAATAATGTAATACAATTAAATGAAAAATAATAATATAAAATTATAATATAGTATAATTTAATATAATGGAAAAATAATATAAAATAATATAATATTAGAAAATAATATAGTTATAATAGGATGGAACATAGTAATGCTAGTATAATATTAGAAAAAAATAATATTAGAAAAATATAATATAATAGTAATAGAAAATAGAAAACTGCATTATAAAATCATAGAAAGTAATATAATGTAATATATAATATAACAATAATAGTATTTTCTGTTATATTTTTCTATTATTGCCATTATATTATCATTTTATAGTATTGTTCATTATTATTATAAGATTCATGTTTTTACTAAATAATATTTTCTATTCTTATTTTATTATTTTATAATATTTTCTATTAGTATATTATATTATATTACATTACAATATTATTTTCTATTATGTTAAAATATATTATTCTTATTATATATTATGACGTATATTATTTTCATTTTTTTCTAATATTACTTTCTGTTTTCTATTATATTATGTTATTATTATATATTACTATTTTATATTATTTTCTAACTTTTTTTAATATTATTTTCTATTGTTATATTATTATTATTTTTCTAACTAGCTGTCCCCTGCCACACGTTGCTGTGGCCCAGTCTGGTGAACTGGAAAATAAAATAATGAGAAAGTGTTGGTTTCTAATATATGTAATTCCTTTATGCTTGTGAGTCAACAGTATTTCTTGATGTTTCTTTGTCAGTATTGATGTGGAGAGTGTCTGGTTTGCCTACTCTGGAACATGCAACATATCATAGTCCCTCTTTAGGGGTTCCTTTCAAAACTATACTATATCTGTGTGTGTGTAAATCATATCTATCTATCTATATCTATGGCTGGATGGCTCTTTGTCAGGAGGGCTCTGATTACGTTTCCTTGCCCTGGGGAAGGGAGTTGACTGAATGGCCTTAAGTATTTTCTGTTGATTATGGGGATTCTGTGTGGGAAGTTTGGCCCAATTCTGTCGTTGGTGTGGTTCAGAATGCTCTTTGATTGTAGGTGAACTATAAATCCCAGTAACTCCAAATCTCAAATGTCAAGGTCTATTTCCCCCAAACTCCGTGTTCACATTTGAGCATTTGGAATATTTGTGCCAAGTTTGGTCCAGATCCATCATTGTTTGAGTCCACAGTGATCTCTGGATGTAAGTGAACTACAACTCCCAAACTCAAGGTCAATGCCCACCAAAGTCTTCTAGTGCTTTTTGTTGGTCATGGGAGTCCTGTATGCCACGTTTGGTTCAATGCCATAATTGGTGGAGTTCAGCATGCTCTTTGATTGTAGGCGAACTATAAATCCCAGTAACTCCAAATCCCAAATGTCAAGGTCTATTTCCCCCAAACTCCATCTGTGTTCATATTTGAGCATTTGGAATATTTGTGCCAAGTTTGGTCCAGATCCATCATTGTTTGAGTCCACAGTGATCTCTGGATGTAGGTGAACTACAACTCCCATACATTGAGTTTGTACGTGTCTTGTGTCCAAATTTGATGTCAATTCGTCCAGTGGTTTTTGAGTTCTGTTCATCCCACAAACGAACATTACATTTTTATTTGTATAGATATTTTACTATGTTCTAGTATATTATATTACATTATATTATTATTTCATAACATTATTCTATTTCATTGTTTTATAATATTATTTTCCATTATATTTAATATTATTACTATCTGTTATTACAGTTATTTCATAATATTATTTTCTAATTTTATATTATATATATATATATATATATATATATATATATATATATATATATATATATATATGATTATGCTTTGTCTATATGTGTGTGTGTGTATCTATTGTTCTGAATGGCTTTGGGCCTTTTCTCAATGGACTCACCTATAAATGGATCTGACAAGGCATTCAATAGCATTAATAATAGGTCTAACTGGCCTCTAGGTACCTGTTGGCCTGGAAAAGGAAGGGTGATTGACTGCAATGGTCATCTTTCTAGGTAATAATAATATTATATTAGGAAAAAAATATAACATAATATAAAATAATAGTAATAATATAGTATACTATACTATAATAATGGAATATAATATTAGAAAATAATAATAGATAAAATATAATATTAGAACATAATATAAAATAATAATAATATAGTACACTGTACTATAATAATGGAATATAGTATTAGAAAACAATAATAATAGATAATAATACAATATTAGAAAAATAATATAAAATAATGGAAAATAATATTATAGTAATATTAATAAAATAATAATAGAAAATAATCTATATAAATAGAAATGTAATGTTAGTTCGTGCTACTATCAGAACTCAAAAACCACTGGGGGAATTGACACCAAATTTGGACACAAGACACCTAACAGTCCAATTTATGTCCTCCACTCAAAAAAATTGGGAATTGTCGTTGCTGGGATTTATAGTTTACCTACAATCAAAGAGCATTCTGGACTCCACCAATGATGGAATTGGGCCAAACTTAGTACACAGGGCTCCCATGACCAACAGAAAAAACTGGAAGGGTTTGGTGGACATTGACCTTGAGTTTGGGAGTTGTAGTTCACCTACATCCAGAGAGCACTGTGGACTCAAACAATTATGGATCTGGACCAAACTTGGCACGAATATTCCATATGCCCAAATATGAACACAGATGGAGTTTAAGAGAACTAGACCTTGACATTTGGGAGTTGTAGTTGCTGGGATTTATGGTTCACCTACAATCAAAGAGCATTCTGAACTCCTCCAATGATGGAATTCAACCAAACATGGCATACAGGACTTCCATGACCAACAGAACACACTGGAAGGGTGTGGCGGGCATTGACCTTGAGTTTGGGAGTTGTAGTTCACTTACATCCAGAGAGCACTGTGGACTCAAACAATGATGGATCTGGACCAAACTTGACACCAAAATTCCATATGCCTAAATATGAACACAGATTGAGTTTGGAGGAAATAGACCTTGACATTTGGGATTTGTAGTTACTGGGATTTATAGTTCACTACAATTAAAGAGAATTATGAAGTCCACCAATGATGGAATTGAACCAAACATGGCATACAGGACTTCCATGACCAACAGAACACACTGGAAGGGTTTGGTGGGCATTGACCTTGAGTTTGGGAGTTGTAGTTCACCTACATCCAGAGAGCACTGTGGACTCAAACAATGATGGATCTGGATCAAACTTGGCACAAAAATTCCATATGCCTAAATATGAACACAGATGGAGTTTGGAGGAAATAGACCTTGACATTTGGGATTTGTAGTTCCTGGGATTTATAGTTCACCTACTATCAAAGAGCATTCTGAACCCCACAAACGACAGAAATGGGGCAAACTTCCCACACAGAACCCTCATGACCAACAGAAAATACTTAAGGCCATCCAGTCCAACTCTCTTCACCAGGGCAAGAAAATGTAATCAGAGCCCTCCTGACAAAGAGCCATCCAGTCATAAATATAGATAGATAGATAGATAGATAGATAGATAGATAGATAGATATGATTCTCTCTCACACACAGAGATATAGTATCACAGATTTGAAAGGGACCCTTAAAGAAGGACTATGATATGTTGCATGTTCCAGAGTAGGCAAACCAGACAATCTCCACATCAACACTGACAAAGAAACAAGAAGAAATACTGTTTACTCACAAGCAGAAAGGAATCACATATATTAGAAACCAACACTTTCTCGTTACTTTATTTTCCAGATCACCAGACTGGGCCACAGCAACGCGTGGCAGGGGACAGCTAGTAATATAATAAAATATTATTCATAAATAATAATAGAAATATAATATTAGAAAATGGGAATATAATGGTTTGTTCTGAGTTTTCTGGGCCGTCTGTCCATGTTCCAGAAGCATTCTCTGTTGGAAACTAGGCAAGTGGAGTTTATATATATCTATGGAAAGATGTCCAGGCCGTGGGACAAAGAACTCTTATCTGTGTGAGGCAACTGTGAATGTTGCCATTGGCCACCTTGATTAGCATTTAATGCTTAACAGACCTCACAACCTCTGAGGATGCCTGCCATAGATGCAGGAGAAACGTCAGGAGAGAATGCTTCTGCAACATGCCCAGGCAGCCTGGAAAACTCACAACTCAGTGATTCTGACCATGAAAGCCTTCAACAATAATATAATAGAAAAATATTAGAAAATAATAATATAAAATACTAATATATGAGGGTCAGTCTAGATGTCATTTAGGGGTACCCTCCTAACTTTCTATTGGAATATAGACTTCCATTGAAAATTATTATTATATTATTACTACTATGCCTCCTATTACTATATTTCTCTATATAGGAGAATGAGGGCCAGCCTAGATGACCTCTAGGGGTCCCCCTTTTATCTTTATATAGAGATCATGGCATAATAATTCATTTCATTGCCAATCGGATTCTGGAAGGAGAAGACGCTTGGAAGCTGAGGATTAAATGCTGAGTATTTTCTAGTTCTATTATTTTTCAATCGTTTTAATGCTTTAAATGTTAATACTTTTACTGCTTTGAATTAAAAATTAATAATTTTATGCAACTATTTAAATGCTCGAAATTTAATGATATAAATATTAATAATTTTAATGCTTTGAATTAATATATTTGATTTTATATTATTGTTTTTATTATGTTATCATTTTATATCATTATATATAGTTTTATTTTAAACGTTTAATGTTTAATGATATAAATATTAATACATTGAATGCTTTAAATTAGTTTTGTGTTTAATCATTTAAATATTAATAATTTTAATGCTTTAACAGATAGATAGATAGATAGATAGATAGATAGAGTACATCATAACTACAATTGTAAGTTTCTACGAATTCATTTTCAATGTAATTGAAATTAATTGTAAAATTAGAATTATAATTTACATTGCAATGATTAGTTAATGGAATTAAATAAAGTAATTTAATTATAATTTTACATTACTACTATATAATTATATACTTATTATAAATATTATATAAATCTTATATTTATTATTATTATATTTAGATTTACATTTGTTATTATATTATTCTTATTCTAATATATTATAATATATACATTAACCTGAGAAAGGTCTGGAGGTACATTTTTCAATATTCATTATTATTCTTATATTAATTATTATTTATCATTATTATATTTATTATATTTTAGTATTATATTTATTATTATATGTAATATTATATTTATTTATTCATATTATTACATTTAGTATTGAATTTATTATTTTATTAGTATTGTATTTATAAATATATTTATTATACTAATTATTTTATATTATATATTATTTTATTTTATATTGATTATATAAAATTATTATATTTATTAGTATTGTTATATTTAGCATTGTATTTATTATTATTATTTTATTAGTATTGTATTTATAAACATGTTATTTATAGATATAAAAGATAATGTCTTAATATAATATAACAACACATATAATAAACATGTTTATAAATACAATACTAATAAAATAAAATAATTATTATAATATTCATTATATTATATTTATTATTTATTATATTATAGTGTAATATAATTATAATATTACATTGTTATTTGGGTGGCCATAATAGTGATTTTAACAATATGAATTCAATTCATTTACTGTATTCCATAAAGACAATACGAATAAAATAAATTCATAATATTCATTATATTATATTTATTATTTATTATGTTATAGTGTAATATAATTATAATATTACATTGTTATTTCGGTGGCCATAATAGTGATTTTAACAATATGAATTCAATTCATTTACTGTATTCCATAAAGACAATACGAATAAAATAAATTCATAATATTCATTATATTATATTTATTATGTTATAATGTAATATAATTATAATATTACATTATCATTTGGGTGGCCATAATAGTAATTTTAACAATATGAATTCAATTCTTTTATTGTATTCCATAAAGACAATACAAATAAAATAAATTAATAATATTCATTCTATTATATTTATTTTTATTATATTATAGTGTAATATAATTATAATATTACATTATCATTTGGGTGGCCATAATAGTAATTTTAACAATATGAATTCAATTTTTTCCATTCATTACAATGCTTTTCCCCTTCTTTCCATTCAATTGAAGGGTCGTGATGACGTCACCGTCCTCTGGAGAAGAAGTGACCCATGACCTCGGTACTGACCCCTCATTGTCCCCTACCCTTCCCCTCGGGAGGGACAAATGGAGGAAGAAGGCAGACTTCCTGCTGTCCGTCATCGGATTTGCCGTTGATCTCGGAAATGTCTGGAGGTTCCCTTACATCTGCTACCAGAATGGAGGGGGTCAATATTTATTATTATTATTATTATTATTATTATTATTATTATTATTATTATCATTATCATTATCATTATCATTATCATTATCATTATGATCATATTATAGTCGAAGGCTTTCATGGCCGGAATCACTCAGTTCTTGTGGGTTTTTTCGGGCTATATGGCCATGTTCTAGAGGCATTTCTCCTGACGTTTCGCCTGCATCTATGGCAAGCATCCTCAGAGGTGAGGTCTGCTGGAGCTGGGAAAAAAGGGGTTTATATATCTATGGCAAGCTTCCTCAGAGGTGAGGTCTGCTGGAGCTGGGAAAAAAGGGGTTTATATATCTGTGAAATGACCAGGGTCATCAGCAAACACAAGACCTCACCTCTGAGGAAGCTTGCCATAGATGCAGGCGAAACGTCAGGAGAAATGCCTCTAGAACATGGCCATATAGCCCGAAAAAAAACCCACAAGAACTGAGATCATATTATATTTCTTATAATTATATTTAGTATTATATCTATTATTATATTTATATTTATTAGTATTAGTATTATATTTCCTATATATTTATTAGTATTATTATATTTATTATATTTATTTTATATATACGTTAACCTTGGAAAGATCTGGAGGTTCCCTTACCTCCTCTACCAGATTAGGGTTGGATATTCCAATGTTTGAGTTGGGTTGAGTTGGGTTGTTGGGTTGAGTTGGATTCAGTTGAGCTGAGTTGGGTTTTTCAGTGTTTCAGTTGAGTTGTTGAGATGAGTTGTCCAATGTTTGAATTGGATTGTAGCGTTGGATTGTTGGGTTGAGTAGGGCTGTCCAATGTCTGAGTTGGGCTATTGTATTATAAATTATTATTATTATTATTATTATTATTATTATTATTATTATTATTATATTTCTTTAGAGAGGTGTATCCTGGATGTGGGATGAGACCTTTCAGGTTCCCCCCTTCCCCACTGTATTATTATTATTATTATTATTATTATTATTATTATTATTATATTTAATATAATTATTCTTCCTCTTCCCCTTCCTCTTTAGGGGCCTTCCTGCTTCCTTACGCATTGATGGCAGTCTTTGGGGGGGTCCCCTTGTTCTTCATGGAGCTCTCCTTGGGACAATTCCACCGACTGGGGGCCATCCCTATCTGGAAACACATCTGCCCTATCTTCAAAGGTCAGAACAGATATATATAGATGATAGAGTGATAGACCTAAAAGAGGCCTACCTTCAGGTCTCGATAGATAGATAGATAGATAGATAGATAGATAGATAGATAGATAGATAGATAGATAGATAGATAGATAGATAGATACAATGACAGATAAACTAGATGGATGGACAGATAAATGAATAGAGAGAGGAGGACATGATAGAGTGATGGACCTGAGAGAGGTCTACCTACCTTCAGGTCCTGATACATACGTAGATGGATGAAAAGATAGATAGATATCCTTCCTTCCCTTTTCCTTCTTTCTTCCTCCCATACTTCAGGAAGGAAAGAGCAACAAAAGAAAGGGTAGAGAATATCTTCATTCCTTGCTTTCATTCTTTCATTCCATTTCCTTCCCTTTGTCATTCCTTCTTTCTTCCTTTACTTTCTTTCTCTCTTCCCTTCCCTTCCTTTCATCCCTTCCTCCTCTTTCCCCTTTTTTCTTCCTTCCTTCTTTTCTCCTTCCTTCTTTCTTCCTTTTCTTCCCTTTCTTTCTTCCTTTCTTCTTCTTTTCCTTCATTTCCTTCCTTCCTTCCCCCTTTTTTTCCTTCTTCTTTTTCTTTTTCCTTTCCTTCTTTCCTTTTTCCATCTTTCCTTTCCTTCCTTTTGTCCTTCCTTCCTTCCTTCCTCTCCTTTCTTCCTTTCTTTCCTTTTTTCCTTTCCCTTCCATTTCCTTCCTTCCCTTTTTGCTTCACTCCCTCCCTGCTTCCTTTTCCTTATTTTATCCCTTTCTTCCTTCCTTCCATTTTTCTTCCCTTTCTCCTTTCCATTCTTCCTTCTCCTTCTTCCATCCTTTCCTTTCCTTTCTTCCTTCCTTCCTTCCTCCTCTTCCTTTTCTTTCCTTCCTCCCCTCTCTTTTTCTTCCTTCTTCCTTTCCATCTTCCTTCTTTTCCTTCCTCCTTCCTTTTTCATTTTCTGTCAGCAATTTCAATATTGCTTTAATTACTTTGTCCACTCCTTCTCTTCTTCCCTCTTCCATTCTTCTTCTTCTTCTTCTTCTTCTTTTTCTCTTTCTTTCCTTCCATTTCCTTCCCTTCCATTCTTCCTTTCCCTCCTCTTTCCTTATTTTGTCCCTCCTTCTATTCTTTCTCTTCCTCCCCATTTCCTTTCTATCATATTTCTTCTTTTACTCTTTCTTTCTTCCTTCCTTTCCATTTGCTTTCCTTCTTTCCTTTTGTTCTTCCTCCCTTTTCCTTATTTTATCCTTTCCTTCTTTCCTTTCCTTTCCTTCTTCCCCTACTTCCTTTCTCTTCCATTATTTGCCTTTCTCTCTTCTTATATCTTTCTTTCCTTTTTCTTTCATCCCCCATTTTCTTCTTTCCATACTTCCATCATTCCTTCCCTTCCATTTCCTTTCCTTCCTTCTTTCCTTCCCTTTCTTCCTTTACTTACTCTTCCTTCCTTCCTTTCTTCCCTTCCATTTCCTTCCTTTCTTTCCTTTTGTCTCTGCTTCTTTCTTCCTCCCCCTCTCCCTTCTTTTATCCTTCCTTTCCTTACCTTCCTGGTTCCCCGTTACACATCTCATTACACATATATGCAAATTCTCTAGGAATCGGCTTTGCCATCTGTGTGATCAACCTCTACGTCTCCTTCTACTACAACACCATAATCGCCTGGGCCTTGTTCTACTTCTATTCCTCTTTCACTTTGACCCTCCCATGGGCCCAGTGCGGACAGCCCTGGAACACTCCGGATTGCACCACTTACAATGACACCTGGGGAAACGCCTCCAAGTCCCCCGCTGAGGAGTTCTACACGTGAGTCAGCCATCTTGGAATGTCTAAGAGTTGATATGGGAGGCCTCTGGCTCCATAGAGACCTCCTTCTGAGGACTATATGTCCCATTGTTCTACCCTAAGGAAACCCATTAGGTCCAAAAAGGTTGAGGAACCTCTTGGGATACCTAGACCTGGGATAGTGCCATGGATTATATGTTCAATATATTACAGATAATAATGTCCAATATATACCTAAAATAATAATAATAATAATGAAAATATAACCAATACATATTCTTAATCAATATATTAATAATATCAATAATATATCCAATATATACCTAACACAATAATAATAAGTATATGTCCAATATAGTCCAAATAATAATATGACCAATATATTTCTAATATAATATTGGGATAGGAGGCCTCTGGCTCCATAGATACTTCCTTCTGAGGACTACAAATCCCATTGCTTTCTTATATAGAAGTGCAGTTGATCCATGATGTTGAGAAAGCTCTTGAGATGCCTAGAGTTGGAATGGGAGACCTCCATAGAGACCTCCATCCGAAGACTACAAATACATTGTTCTCCCTTATAGCAATAAAGAAGGTACAAAAAGTTCGAGGAAGCTCTTGAAATATCTAGAGTTGGGATAAGAGGTCTCTTGCTCCATAGATACCTCCATCCAAGGACTACAAGTTCAATTGCTTTCCTCTACATAAGTACAGATTTTTCAAGAAGGTTGAGGAACCTCTTGAGGTATCTCCTATGCTTCCTATGCACCCAAGACAAGGTCTTACAGGTGCTTTCCCCCAATTTTGAGGACTATCTCCATATTTGGAGGACTACAACTGCCCATAGACTCCTTCCCAATCTCAGATCTCCATAGGAAGTTCTTCTCTTACCTCCAGGCGGAAGGTCCTTGCCCTCCAAGGTTCCGATGGCCTTGATGATGTGGGTGAGATCCGTTGGCAGCTCCTCCTCTGCCTCTTCCTCATCTTCACCATTGTCTACTTCAGCCTTTGGAAGGGGGTCAAGACCTCCGGGAAGGTAGGAAGTGGTCCAGATCCCACAAAGACAATATTGGGTTGGGTTGTTAAAGCTGAGTTGAGTTTAATTGTTGACTTGGCTGGGGCTGGCTAAGGTTTGGGTTGGGTTGTTAAGTTGGGTTTTCCAATTTTAGAGTTGCATAGTTGAGTTGAATTGGATTAAGTTGAGCTGAGTTGAGTTGGATTGGATTTTCCGATGTTTGAGTTGGATTGTTGGGTTGAGTTGGGTTTCCCAGTGTTTTAGTTGTATTGTTGGGTTGAGTTGTGTTTTCCAATGTTTGAGTTGGATTGTTGGGTTGAGTTGGGTTCAGTCGAGCTGAGTTGAGTTGGGTTAGGTTTTCCAATGTTTGAGTTGGATTTTCCAATATTTGAGTCATATTGTTGAGTCAGATTCAGTTGAGCTGAGTTGGATTGGATTGGATTTTCCAATGTTTGAGTTGCATTGTTGAGTTGAGTTGGATTCAGTTGAGCTGAATTGGGTTGGATATTCCAATGTTTGAGTTGGGTTGAGTTGGGTTGTTGGGTTGAGTTGGATTCAGTTGAGCTGAGTTGAGCTGGGTTTTTCAAAGTTTCAGTTGAGTTGTTGAGTTGAGTTGTCCAATGTTTGAATTGGATTGTTGAGTTGGATTGTTGGGTTGAGTTGGGCTGCCCAATGTCTGAGCTGGGCTACTGAGTTAAGTTGTGTTGACTTGTCCAGTGTTTGAGTTGGGTTCTGCTTATTTGCCTGATGTTTGAGTTGGGTTCTGTTGACTTGCCCAATGTTTGAGTTGATGAGTTGAGTTCTGTTGATGTTGCACGTCAGCCAGAATTCACCTTGCACTCAACACCAGCCAGGAATCCAAAATTGGTAAGAAAAATACATATAAAAAGGAAAAGTCACCATAAGAAATAAGTAAGGCAAAATCCAATAGGTAATGGGAAAAATAGTCGACAAATAATAAGCCAATCCAAACTGGCAATAGGAAAAAACACTCCAAAGGCAATAATCTAAATAGTCCAAATCTGTTCCATAAAACAAGGTACAGGAAAAACCGGAATCAGAACATGAGCATAAGAATCAAAACATGAACCCAAAAGCAAGACTATAGAACCTTCTTAAAACATGAATCAGAATTCCAAGATCTTAGACAAAAAACATGAACTGAAAAGAAGACTTGAGATCCTCACTGTTATGCAGTGTTGCCTGATCTGAATTCTAAAGGAAACCACTCTCTGATTTGAGATCCACAAGCCATGAAGTCATGCCTGTGACCTTGACTGCCTTGCCTGTGAGTCTCTCATGCTGCTGTTTCTCACAGTCTCTGTGACCTTATTAATTTGCTTGCTTCTTCCCGAAGATGAAGTCTGAGATTTCTGTTGACTTTAGGTGTGTTTTCAGGCAAACTTTCTTGCCCACTCAACTCTTTATCTGAGGTTGCTATAAGACGACTAAGCGAAAAGTCTTCACCAGCCGGTGCATTTCCCTGTCTGTTGGATTCTGAGTAGTTTCATTTTCAAACCCATTCTCACAGACAGGATCTAAACTCTCCCCATTTCCCTCATTTTAAACCCCATCCACTCTCCCAGACCCTGGAATAGCAATCCCCTAGTTGTAATCAGCTGGCTGAACCACAACAGTTGACTTCTCCGATGTTTGTGTTGGGCCTGTTGACTTGCCCAATGTTTGAGTAGGGTTCTGTTGACTTGTTCAATGTTTGAGTTGGGTTCTGGAGGATGGAGCGACAGCACTCCCCTGTGGCTGGATTCGAGCACAACCTCCAAGGCATCAAAAAGCTGGATGTCGACACAACATACCTCCTTTCTGTCTGTCTGTCTCTGTCCTATCTGTTGTAATGGCATTGAATGTTTGCCATAGATGTGTACTGTGATGCGCCCTGAGTCCCCTTGGGGAGATAGTGCAAAATATAAAGTGTTGTTGTTGTTGTTGTTATATTCTGTTGACTTGCCCAATGTTTGAGTTGGGTTCTGTTGATTTGCCCAATTTGGTGAATTGAGTTCTGTTGACTTCCCCAGTGTTTGAGTTACATTGAACTCAATGCAACCCCAACTTTCCTATCTTTCCCAGGTGGTTTGGGTGACGGCTACCTTCCCATATGTCGTTTTGCTCATCCTCTTGATTCGCGGCGCTACTCTTCCAGGAGCCTGGCGAGGAATCATCTTCTACTTGAAGCCCAACTGGGAGAAGCTCACTAGCACTGCCGTAAGTGTGAGACAGCCATAAACAACAAACAAAACAAAGTACTAGAAACGTATTCCTTGCAAGGTGGAGCAACAGACAACCTTCTCCCTTGAAAGTGCAAATCATCCATTGAATCACACATCTCATTTGCATATCTGAGCGACTTTCGCTTTGAGACAAACACAATGGGAGTTTCCTCTTGGTAATTACAGCTGGGTTTTGATGAAAAGCTAATGAGTGTCACACCAAAATGGGAGATTCAGAGGGTTTTATAAGACCCACAAAATCTGGCTTTTGGAAAGTAACGTTTGGACAAATGACACAGAGACACATACCTGGCTTTTGGAAGGTAAATTTCAGTCTAAAATCCAGAATGGGCAAGGACGAAATTCATTTATTTCATGTCTTTTCTAGGTTTGGGTTGATGCTGCAGCCCAGATTTTCTTCTCTTTGGGTCCTGGATTTGGAGTCCTCCTCGCTTTGGCCAGCTATAACCCTTTCCACAATAACTGTTATCGGTAATCAATCGATCAATTGATTCAATTGATCGATTTTGTATGGAGAGTCCACCACCTTCGTAATTCGATAGAATTGGAATGTGGGGTGGTGGTGGAATCATCTAGCCTTGACCTACAAAGAAAGTCCTCCCGAAAAAGGCCCATTCAATGACGAAAACTTGTTGAATCTATTTTCCTCCCAGTGACGCCATTGTCACCAGTTTGGTCAACTGCCTCACCAGTTTCCTCTCCGGCTTCGTCATCTTTACTGTTTTGGGATACATGGCCGAGATGAGAGACGTGGAAGTGGAGGATGTGGCAAAGGACAAAGGTACACACCTGCATAACATACATCTGTTGATATGCATATAATATTCAACAATTTGCATAAGATATTCATCAATTTGCATAAAATATATTGAATTTTTTCTTCATCCTCCAGGTCCCAGCCTCCTCTTCATTACTTACCCAGAAGCCATTGCCACTATGGTCGGATCAACCTTCTTCGCCATCATCTTCTTCTTCATGATGATCACCTTGGGACTGGATAGTACGGTAGGACAATCGTTTCTGTTCAATTAATCCATCTATCTAGTTTTCAATCTATCATATCTATCTATCCGCCTATCTATTCATCTACTCATATATCAATCTATCTGATTTATCTCCATCCATGCTGTCTTTTTGTTTGTCCATCCATTTATTTCTCTATCCATCCATCCATTCAGTCATATATTTCTCTATCTATCGATCCATCCCTCCTTCCATCCATCCCTTTCCAGCCGTCCAACCATATTTGTCTCTATCTCTCTATATATCCAACTCTCCTTCCATCCATCTCTTCAATCCATTGTTATATCTCTCTATCTATCCATCCCTCCTTCCATCCATCCTCCTTCCATCTCTCCATCCATATATTTCTCTATCTATTGATCCATCCCTCCTTCCATCCATCCCTTTCCAGCCGTCCATCCATATTTGTCTCTATCACTCTATATATCCAACTCTCCTTCCATCCATCTCTTTCCTTCAATCCATCGTTATATTTCTCTATCTATCCATCCCTCCTTCCATCCATCCTCCTTCAATCTCTCCATCCATATATTTCTCTATCTATCTATCTATCTATCTATCTATCTATCTATCTATCTATCTATCCATTCCTGCTTCCATTCATCCATCCATCTCTTTCTATCATTCCATCCATATATTTCTCTATCTATCTTTCTATCCATTCCTGCTTCCATTCATCCATCCATCTCTTTCTATCATTCCATCCATATATTTCTCTATCTATCTATCTATCTATCTATCTATCTATCTATCTATCTACCTATCTATCTATCTATCTAATCTTTATCTATCCATAGATGGATGGATGAATTGATGGATAACTTGATGTATGAATTGGTGGACAGAAAGATGGATGAATTTATGGATTTATTTTATTTATTTATTTACTTTATTTGTATACCGCTATTTCTCAGCCCTTAGGCGACTCAACGCGGTTAACAACAGCAGCAGCAAAAATTCAATGCTAGCATCATACAAACCATTTAAAAACAATTAACACAATAACACACTAGATAATTAAACATCAGTAAACAACTCATTAGCATCTCATAACTAGAATCATGATCCAGCTCGTCATCCGTAGTTCCGAGGGGCCACCACTGAGAAGGCCCTGTCCCTCATCCCCGCCAAACATGCCTGTGTTGCAGGCGGGATCGAGAGCAGGGCCTCCCCAGAAGATCTTAAAGTCCTAGTGGGTTCGTAGGCAGAGATGCATTTGGATAGGTAACTTGGGCCAGAACCGTTTAGGGCTTTATAGGCCAACGCCAGCACTTTGAATTGTGCCCGGTAGCAAATTGGTAGCCAGTGGAGCTGGCGCAGCAGAGGAGTTGTATGCTCCCTGTACTCCGCTCCTGTTAGTATCATGGCTGCCGAACGTTGAACCAATTGAAGCTTCCGAGCCGTCTTCAAAGGCAACCCCACGTAGAGAGCGTTGCAGTAGTCTAAACGGGATGTAACCAGAGCGTGGACTACCGTGGCCAAGTCAGACTTCCCAAGGTACGGGCGCAGCTGGCGCACAAGCTTTAACTGTGCAAATGCTCCCCTGGTCACCGCCGAAACCTGAGGTTCCAGGCTCAGCAATGAGTCCAAGATCACACCCAAGCTGCGAACCTGCGTCTTCAGGGGGAGTGTGACCCCATCCAACACAGGCTGTAACCCTATGCCCTGTTTGGCCTTGCGACTGACCAAGAGTACCTCTGTCTTGTCTGGATTCAATTTCAATTTGTTCGCCCTCATCCAGACCGTCACAGCGGCCAAACACCGGTTCAGGACTTGAACAGCCTCCTTAGTAGCAGGTGGAAAGGAGTGACAGAGTTGGACATCATCCGCGTACAGATGACACCGTACCCCGAAACTCCGGATGATCTCCCCCAGCGGCTTCATGTAGATGTTAAACAGCATGGGAGACAATATTGAGCCCTGAGGAACCCCACAAGACAAAGGTTGTGGGGTTGAACAGGTGTCTCCCAATAACACCTTCTGAGATCGACCCTCCAGGAATGACCGGAGCCACTGCAGAACAGTACCTCCCAGACCCATCCCCGCGAGGCGTCCCAGAAGGATACCGTGGTTGACAGTATCGAAGGCCGCTGAGAGGTCCAGCAGCACCAACAGGGACATGTTCCCCCTGTCGAGCTCCCGGCACAGATCATCCACTAAGGCGACCAAGACTGTCTCAGTTCCATGAAACCAGACTGTGCCGAATCCAGATGATCCATGTCTTCCAAGAATACCTGGAGTTGTGAAGCCACCACACGTTCCAGGACTTTGCCCAAAAAGGGGAGATTGGAAACTGGCCGATAGTTGATGTATGAATTGGTGGGCAGAAAGATGGATGAATTGTTGGATAAATAGATTGATTGATTGATTGATGGACTGATTGGTGAATTGATGGATAGATACATAAATATATGTTTGGATTAATGGATGGATAGATAGATCTTTCACTATTATGTTTTAATAAATTTGATTGTTTTATATGTTTTAATTGTTTATATGTTTTAACTGTTTACAATTTAATGTGGTATGTTTATGTTATGTGTATGATGCGGCACTGAATTTTTGTAAATGTAAAAGTGAAAATGTGTATGTGTGTATGTGGTGGAGGTGTTCACTTACACAGACAGCCTCTGGCCTCCACAAACAGCTTTAACCCACAGTGCTGGGGAGCCACCAATGGCCCTCCCTCCAAGGACATTGCAGGTTATAGTGGGTGCCTTGAACACATAGCCCAACCCCTGCCAATGTCCTCCTCAAACATCATACTGCCTACCTCCCAAGGAACATTTTTATTTGGGGACAATTTCATCCTAGATGTTGTTTTTCCTCCAGAATAGTCATCCCAGGGTTCCTTACTCTCTCCATGGGTGTGGAATTTGCATGACCCCCTGCCACTGCCTTTCCCTTAACCCTTTACTATCCTTTTCTATGGCACACAGCAAACAGGAATTGATCAGCAACTGAACAAGAGATTTGGTGGAAAATGACCTTGATTTAAAGGAGTTGTAGTTCAGCTAGATCCAGAGAGCACTGTGAACTCAAGCAATTATGGATCAAACTTGACATGGATGATGGGATTTGCAGTAACCTCACTTCCTGAGACCACTGTGACCCCCCACGAATGACAGACCTGGCCCAAACTTGCCACACAGACTCGATATATTTTACATTCTGGTGCATTTTTTTTTGAGAAGATGGACCAGGGATGATGAAAACAGCATCAACTCAATTCCAGAAACCATTGCAACCCCCCATGAATGATGTACCTGGACCAAATTTGACACACAGATTCCCTATGATGCACGTTATGTCCTGGTAAGGGTTAGGTGAGGATGGATCACAGATGGTGGGATTTGGAGTGCCTTCACCCACTTCCACAGACCACTGGGACTCCCACAAATGACAGGCCTAAACCAAACTTGGGACACAAAACCCCCATGACCAATAGAACATACTGGAGGCGTTTGGAGATCTAACCCACCCACGTTGGAGTTGGAGTTCACCCTGCGTCCAGAGCACACTGAACCCCATCAATGACGGATCTGAACCAATCTTCGAGCACAGAACCCTTGTGACGAACAGAATATACTAGAGGCGTTTGTAGGGGGACCAATCCACTCGTGTGGGAGTTGTAGTTCATCCTGCATCCAGAGCACTCTGAACCCCACCAATGACAGATCTGGACCAAACTTCGAAGGCAGAATCCTGGTGACCAACTGAACATATTGGAAGACTTTGGGGGATGACTAACTCACCCACATGGGAATTGTAGTTCACCCTGCACCCAGAGAGCATTCTGAAGCCCCCAATGGTGGATCTGGAACACATGTTGCACACAGAATTTTAATTTATTTATTTATTTATTTATTTGGGGTTCTTTTACCCCGCCCTTCTCACCCCGAAGGGGACTCAGGGCAGCTTACAGAAGCAAAGGCATGATTCGATGCCTGCAGTACAAAACAATCAAGACACAAAGTTAAACAATTACACAATTACATCACACTAATTCATATATCAATAAAATCAATAAAATCAATAAAAACCAATACAAACCCAGTTCCTCTCTTACAAGGTCAGCGATTGCTAACTCATAGTTCTAGTTTTCCATTCCACTTCATCAATCGTGTTGATCTTATTCACCTGATTGTCTTTTAATTGCCTGATTGCCCGAAGGCCTGGTCCCACAACCACGTCTTCACCCTCCTCCTGAAGGAGAGGAGGGATGATGATGCCCTGATTTCCCCGGGGAAGTGAGTTCCACAGGTGAGGGGCTACCACTGAGAAAGCCCTGCTCCTCGTCCCCACCAGCCTCACTTGTGACAGTGGTGGGGTCGAGAGCAGGGCCTCCCCAGATGATCTCAAACTCCGGGGTGGGACGTAGAGGGAGATACGTTCGGACAGATACACTGGACCGGAACCGTACAGGGTTTTGTAGGTCAAAACCAGCACCTTGAATTGTGCTCGGAACTGAACCGGCAGCCAGTGGAGCTGACATAACAGGGGGGTGGTATGCTCCCTGAATGTCGCTCCGGTGAGTAATCTGGCTGCCGCTCGTTGGACTAATTGAAGTTTCCGAACAGTCTTCAAGGGCAACCCCACGTAGAGCGTGTTGCAGTAGTCTATTCGGGATGTGACAAGAGCGTGGACCACCGTGGCCAGATCAGACTTCCCAAGGTACGGGCGCAACTGGTGCACAAGTTTTAATTGCGCAAAAGCTCTCCCGGCCACCGCCGAGACCTGGGGTTCCAGGCTCAGCGGTGAGTCCAGGATCACTCCCAAGCTGCGAACCTGCGTCTTCAGGGGGAGTGTAACCCCATCCAACACAGGCTGTAACCCTATACCCTGTTCGGCCTTCCGACTGACCAGTAGGACCTCTGTCTTGTCTGGATTCAATTTCAATTTGTTAGCTCTCATCCAGTCCGACACAGCAGCTAGACACCGGTTCAAGGTCTGGACAGCCTCCTTGGTGACAGGTGAGAAGGAGTGACAGATCTGGACATCATCTGCGTAGAGATAACATCTCAATCCGAAACTCCGAATGATCTCTCCCAGCGGTTTCATGTAGATGTTAAACAGCATTGGGGACAGGATCGAACCCTGTGGGACTCCACACGACAACGGTTGTGGGGCCGAACAGGTGTCACCCAGTAACACCTTCTGGGACCGTCCCTCAAGAAATGACCGGAGCCACTGCAAGGCAGTACCCCCAAGACCCATGTCTATGAGGCGTCCCAGAAGGATACCGTGATCGACGGTATCGAAGGCCGCTGAGAGGTCCAGCAGAACTAACAGGGACACACTCCCCCTGTCCAGCTCCCTGCGAAGATCATCTACCAAGGCGACCAAGGCTGTTTCCGTTCCATGTCCCGGTCTAAAGCCAGACTGTGCCGGATCAAGATAATCAGTGTCTACCAGAAATCCCTGGAGTTGTGCTGCCACCACACGTTCCAGGACTTTGCCCAAATAGGGGAGATTGGAAACTGGCTGATAGTTGTCTAATTGAGTGGGGTCCAGTGATGGTTTTTTCAACAGCGGTTTTATAACAGCTTGTTTTAAGCTCGCTGGAATCTTGCCCTCCTGTAAGGAGGCATTAACCATCACCTTCACCCACTCCGCCAAACCCCCTCTGGCTTCTTTTATCAGCCAGGAAGGGCAGGGGTCTAGGATGCATGTGGTGGGTCGCACCTCTCCAAGGATCTTGTCCACATCCTCAAGCTGAACCAATTGAAACGAAGAATCCAACAAAACCTGACAAGCAGATGCTCTCGTCACATTCTCAGAGACTGCAGATAAAGTGGCGTCGAAATTCGACCGAATCCGCCCAATTTTATCCACGAAGAATCGAGCAAATGCTTCACAGCGAGCTCCAGAGCTGTCAGGGATCTCGCTTTTCGGTGGGTTTAACAGACCCCTGACAACTCGAAAGAGCTCAGCTGGACGATTCTTCGCAGATGCAATATTGGCAGCAAAAGATGTTTTTTGTGCTGCCGCTATTGCCACATCGTAGGACCTTAGAAAGGCATTCAGATGTGTTTGGGCTGATTTAGTCGGATTCCTGCGCCACACGCGCTCTAGCCACCTTTTCTTTCGCTTCATTGCTGCCAGCTCCTCAGTAAACCAAGAGGCCGGGTTAGCTCGGTTACTCGAAAGGGGGCGTTCCGGAGCGATTGTGTCGATTGCCCTAGTCATCTCGGTGTTCCAGTGAGAGACCAAGGCATCGACAGGGTCGCCAGTCAAGGAGGTGGGAAATTCCCCAAGAGCCGTCAGGAATCCATTTGGATCCATAAGTCTCCTGGGGCGGACCATTCTAATGGGTCCACCACCCCTGCGGAGGTTAGGAGGTACAGTAAGTCTAAACCTAATCAGGTAGTGATCGGTCCATGACAATGGAGCGATGGTCAGCTCCTCCACCCCGACACTATCACCCCATCCCTGAGAAAAGACCAAATAATGGTGGTTTGGGACCAGACCACGGTTTCTGACAGACCAAGCAATCTAAATTACAGGTTAAAGTGCTAGGTAGTTCTATGACTCAAGTACTGACAGGATCATATGTTCTAAAGTGCTGAGCTAAAGTGCTTAGTGGTTCTATAGTTCAGCGTCCGTGCCCTTAAGATATTCCCAGAAGTCACTCAAATTAGGACGGCCAGTTCCAAACAGAGGACCCAGTTTCTAGGCCCGTGAACAACAAACCGGCACCCTTGGCTTGGTCCTAGTTCTTCTCGACCGTCCTGCGAGGAGATGGTTCAGTTTAGTGGGAGATGGTCCTTGTATAATGAGGGCAGAGTCAGAAGAGTATAGAAACAGTTTCCAGCAATAGTGTGGAGTGGCGTAATTTACACCTCCCACCAGAGGGGGCGGTGTTTAAAAAGATATCAGGTCTTATTCAGCTATGAGTTTGCTGGTAGATGGCCTAATGCCGAACCCTGTAATGGGAAGGCCGTCCGGTTCAATTTACCCAGGCCCTAGATGCCGCAGGGGGGGAGGAAAGCGACTGTCGATGGAGATGTCTTGTCCGCAGGCTCCCCAGCGCAGATGGAAGAAGTGCGGTCGTCTATAGGGCCTGGGAGCAGCTGGCGATGTCCGCATCGGCTCGGGGCTGGATGGGGGTCGAGCTGGCTGGTCCTCACTTCACCCTCTCCTGGGTTGACGAGGCGGGGGGGGGGGGGCGATGGCCTAGCGCTCCCTCTCTACGGCCCTTCCTGGTGCAGCGAAGGGCTGGATGGGCACACAGCAGCAGCGTCTAGCAGGCTCCCCGGACTCAGAACATACTGGATGGGTTGAGGGAGGTTGTAGTTCACCCTGTATCCAGAGCACTCTGAACCTCCTCAATAATGGATCTGGACCAAACTTGGCACACAGACCCAACATACCCAACTGTGAATCAGGTGGCGTTTGGGGGTGATTGCCCCGGAAATCTGGGAGTTGTAGTTCATCTGCATCCAGAGAGACCCTGAACCCAGCCAATGATGAATCTGGACCAAACTAGGCACACAAACCTAACCTGGCCGATTTTGAATACTGGTGGGGTTTGGGGCGATTGGCCCACGATTTTGGGAATCGCAGTTCACCCACATCCTTATGCATTTTCTAATGGGAGTATTCATAAAAAAACAAAAAAAAAAAAACAAAAGGAAAGACTGTCTTTTTTAAAGAAATAGAGCTACAAATTACCAAACTGATATTAACTAACACCCAAAAACAAACAATGCCTTTTCAAATAACCCAGGCCAACATAACATACTGGAGGGGCTTAGGGGAGAATACCCTCCCCACGCAGGAGTTGTAGTTCACCCTGCATCCAGAGATATTACCAAACTTCTTAAAACAAACAATGCCTTTTCCAAATTACCCAGGCATCGCTGGGTCCTCAAGCTAGTAAAACCATAGAATCCTAGAGTTGGAAGAGACCTGGTGGGCCATCCAGTCCAACCCCATTCTGCCAGGAAGCAGGGAAATCCCATTCAAAGAACCCCTGATAGATGGCCATCCAGCCTCTGTTTAAAAGCCTCCAAAGAAGGAGCCTCCACCACACTCCGGGGCAGAGAGTTCCACTGCTGAACGGCTCTCACAGTCAGGAAGTTCTTCCTAATATTCAGGTGGAATCTCCTTTCCTGTAGTTTGAAGCCATTGTTCCATTGCGTCCTAGTCTCCAGGGAAGCAGAAAACAAGCTTACTCCCTGCTCCCTATGACATCCCCTCACATAATTTATACATGGCCATCATGTCTAGTATTAAATAAAATAGATAGATAGATAGATAGATAGATAGATAGATGAATTGATGGATAGACAGATGGATAGATAGGTGGATGGATGAATTGATGGATGGATTAATAGATAGATTGATGGTTAGCTAGACTTTATCAAGATCTTTTGGTAGAGATGGAAGCTTCCTGGTGGTTCCTCCCAAATGTTGGAGCTTTCTCCCTACTTCTAGGACTACATCTACCTATAAGAGCCCAATTAGGGTCTCAGTTATTCACATAACCCTTCCTTTCCCAGTTTGGGGGCCTGGAGGCCGTGATTACCGCCATCATGGATGAATATCCCAAGACGCTGGGCAAGCAAAGGGAGGTCTTCGTCCTTGGACTCATCATCACCTCCTTCTTGGGGGCTCTGGCTACACTTACCAATGTGAGTAGCTGCCCTCACTTTGTATAGGTAGACAACTTCATTGTATATGTCAGTTACTTCTATATGTCAACACCTTCGCTATATATATCAACAACATCGTATACGTCGCCAAATTTATCCTATATGTTGATGTTGTCAATTTCATCGTGTATGTCGATGACTTCATTGTATATGTTGACTACTCCAGCATATATGTAGATGACTGCATTGTATATGTCGATGACTTCATCATATATGTAGACGATTTCTTCATATATGTCGACAACTTCATCATATATGGTTCCCTAATACAGCACAATGCATATACTCCCTAAATTACAATATTAATCTTATTTTCTTCACCTCCAGGGAGGGTCGTATGTAGTGAAACTCTTGGAAGAGTTCGGAGCTGGATGCTCCATTTTAGCCATCGTCTTCCTGGAAGCCATTGCCGTCTCCTGGTTCTACGGTAAAACCCAAATTATGATTAGTATTATTTATTTTATCTTACTGTTCCTTAAATTGTATTATTTTTACTTCTTTTTAACCTTTTTACTATTATTATTTTTGCTATTACTATTTTTACTATTACTATTTTTACTATTACTATTTTTACTATTAGTATTTTATCTCATTGTTCCTTAAATATTATCATTCCTTTTTAAAACCCGAAATATCAATAATAATAATAATAATAATAAATACTTTCTCTCATTTATTCTTTTGTTTTCTGATTTTTAAAAAACACGTTATTTTTTATTTAGTCCCACTTGATTGTCATTTCCCTAATACAGCATAATGCATATATTCCTGTCTGACAAATTATGTAATCTCTAGGTCCTCCAAGTGATTCTATGGCAGTGGTTCTCAACCTGTGGGTTTCCAGATGTTTTGGCCTTCAACTCCCAGAAATCATAGCAGCTGGTAAACGGGCTGGGATTTCTGGGAGTTGTTGGCCAAAACACCTGGGGACCCACAGGTTGAGAACCACAGTCTAGGGTATGTGTCCACTATAAGTGGCCATAGAGTTATCTAGTCTAACATCATTGCATAATATTATTGAATAATATTGAATATTATTTTCAAAATATTATTTATAATATTCTCTAATATTCTCCAATATTAACTAAAAATACTGGATATTATTTCCTAAATTTTATTTATTGTATTCTATAATAACATTCAATATTATTTCCTAAATGTTGTTCTCTACAAATATTGAATGTTGTTTCCTAAATATAATTTATAATACTCTCTAATATTTTTAAAAAATTGAATATAATTTCCTAAATATTATTTATAATATCCTCTAATGAAATACTCAAGGCACAATTTCAAACAGTGCCAACAATGAGAAAAAATAGTAGAAGTGCAAAGAAGCCAGAATGGATGTTCAAAGAACTTCTAACTGTGCTAAGACTCAAAAGAGGCATGCACAAGAAGTGGAAAAAGGGAGAAGCCACCAAAGAAGAATTCAAACCAATAACCAACTCCTGTAGGGAAAAGGTTCGCAAGGCTAAAGCACAAAATGAGCTCAGGCTTGCCAGGGACATTAAAACAATAAAACGGGGCTTCTTTGCTTATGTCAGTAGAAAAAGGAAGAACAAGGAGGCAATAGGGCCTCTTTGAGGGGAAGATGGGGCAATGCTGACAGGGGATAGGGAAAAGGTTGAACTACTTAATAACTTCTTTGCCTCAGTCTTCTCACAAAAAGAAAGTCATCCTCAACCTCTGCAAGATGGAGTGGATGAGGGATTAGACGACATTCAACCCCAAATCAGGAAACAAGTCGTTCAGGAATACCTAGTCGCTCTAAACGGGTTCAAGTCCCTAGGGCCAGATCAACTGCACCCAAGAATATTGAAGGAACTAGCAGAAGTCATTTTGGAACCATTGGCAATCATCTTTGAGAGTTCTTGGAGAACGGGAGAAGTTCCAGCAGATTGGAGGAGGGGCAATGTGGTCCCAATGTTCAAGAAGGGAAAAAAAAGGATGACCCAAACAACTACCGCCCTGTCAGCCTCACGTCGATACCAAGCAAGATTCTGGAAAAGATTGTTACAGAAGTTGTCTGCAAACACTTAGAAACAAATGCGGTTATTGCTAATAGTCAACATGGATTTATCAAAAACAAGTCATGCTAGATTAATCTGATCTCTTTTTTCAATAGAGTTACAAGCTGGGTAGATGTGGGGAATGCCGTGGATGTAGCGTACCTGGATTACAGTAAGGCCTTCAACAAGGTCCCCCATGACCTTCTGGCAAACAAACTAGTCCAATGTGGGCTAGGCAAAACAACGGTGAGGTGGATCTGTAATTGGTTAAACGGATGAACCCAGAGGGTGCTCACCAATGCTTCCTCTTCATCCTGGAAAGAAGTGATGAGTGGAGTGCCGTATGGATCCATCCTGGGCCTGGTCCTGTTCAACATCTTTATTAATGACTTAGATGAAGGGTTAGAAGGCAGGATCATCAAGTTTGCAGACGACACCAAATTGGGAGGGATAGCCAATACTCCAGAAGACAGGAGCAGGATTCAAAACGATCTGAACAGATTAGAGAGATGGGCCAAAACTAACAAAATGAAGTTCAACAGTGACAAATGCAAGATACTCCACTTAGGCAGGAAAAATGAAATGCAAAGATACAGAATGGGGGACAATGCCTGGCTTGAGAGCAGTACGTGTAAAAAAGATCTTGGAGTCCTCGTGGACAACAAGTTAAACATGAGCCAACAACGTGATGTGGCGGCAAAAAAGTCAATGGGATTTTGGCCTGCATCAATAGGAGCATATTGTCTAGATCTAGGGAAGTCATGCTCCCCCTCTATTCTGCTCTGGTTAGACCACACCTGGAATATTGTGTCCAATTCTGGGCACCACAATTCAAGAGAGATATTGACAAGCTGGAATGTGTCCAGAGGAGGGCGACCAAAATGATCAAGGGTCTGGAGAACAAGCCCTATGAGGAGTGGCTTAAGGAGCTGGGCATGTTTAGCCTGAAGAAGAGAAGGCTGAGAGGAGATATGATAGCCATGTATAAATATGTGAGAGGAAGCCACAGGAAGGAGGGAGCAAGCTTGTTTTCTGCTTCCCTGGAGACTAGGACGCGGAACAATGGCTTCAAACTACAAGAGAGGAGATTCCATCTGAACATTAGGAAGAACTGACTGACTGTGAAAGCCGTTCAGCAGTGGAACTCTCTGCCCCGGAGTGTGGTGGAGGTTCCTTCTTTGGAATCATTTAAGCAGAGACTGGATGGCCATCTGTCAGGGTTGCTTTGATTTCAATTTTCTGGCTTCTTGGCAGAATGGATCTTCCATTCTATGATTCTAATATTATTCTCTAAAAATCTAAAAATATTTAATATTATTTGTGATATATTATTTGTAATATTCATTACAATCTAAAAATACTGAATATTATTTTCTAAATGTTATTTATACTGTTCTCGAAAAATCCAATAATACAGAATATTATTTCTTATATTGCCATAGAGTTCTTTTTTTAAAAAAATTATTATGCATTTTAAATGTTACAATGAAACAGTGAGAATAAAGACATATATATAGAAGTGAGAGACAAAAGTGAGACTGAAGAGATCCAGTGATGATTGCCATAGCGTTCTTGAAAAGAGTAGAAAATATAATTTTTCTATGTAAACGGCTATATCTAGTGTCCATTATTGTAACCTCAAGCTTAAACTAATAGATCCTACATTTATATACGTCGAAAACATCATGGTATATGTCGACAACTTCATCATATATGTAGGTAACAACACTGTTGTCGCCATCACCATCTATGAAGAACAGATGGGATTTGTAGTCCTCTGAGCTACATTTCACCCATTTTCCTTCTTTTTCCAGGCATCCAGCAATTCTGCAAAGATGTGAAATCTATGCTGGGATTTACTCCGGGTATTTTTTGGCAGGTTTGCTGGGTTGCCATTAGCCCAGCTTTCCTTGCGGTGAGTATTGGAAGAATAAATAATATGATTATTTCTAATAATTAATTTTAATTATTTTATTTCAATTATTTTAAGTTTTTTAATAACTACAAATATTTAATTCTTTTTAATTCTTTTAATTTTAATTAATTTTTTTGGTTTTAATTATTTTGATTTTCAATTATTTTCAGTTATTTTCAATAACTACAGTATTTAATTATGTTTAATTGGTTTTGTTTTTAATGAATTATTTTTAACTATTTTACTAATATAATGTTGATTTTTAATTATTTTTAATTGTCTTTAATTAATTAATTAATTATAAATTATTGTATTGTCGAAGGCTTTCATGGCTGGAATCACTGGGTTGTTGTAGGTTTTTTTCGGGCTATATGGCCATGTTCTAGAGGCATTTTCTCCTGACATTTCGCCTGCATCTATGGCAAGCATCCTTAGAGGTAGTGAGGTCTGTTGGAAGTAGGAAAATGGGTTTGCTCCAGCAGACAAAAGTCCTTTGTCCCACCCTGGTCATTCCACAGATATATAAACCAATTTTTCCTACTTCCAACAGACCTCACTACCTCTGAGGATGCTTGCCGTAGATGCAGGTGAAACGTCAGGAGAGAATGCCTCTAGAGCATGGCCATATAGCCCGGAAAAACCTACAACAACCCAATTATAAATTATGTTTATTTTAAATTATTTTACTTATATTATTTTTAATTTTAATTAATTTTTAATTGATTGTCTTTAATTATTTAAAATAATTTAAAAGATTTAGTTATTTAAATTGTTTTCATTTTTCATTCATCGTTTTAATTAAATGTTTTTAATTATTTCCTTTTCATTATTTTAATGATCCAGTTCATCATCATCAGTTCCTTCTTGGATCAGCCGCCTTTGACACTGTTCGATTATCAATATCCTGATTGGAGTGTCTCCGTCGGGTATCTCATAAGTGCTTCCTCCTTCATTTGCATACCAATTTACATGGGATATAAATTAATCTGGACACCAGGATCCCTGAAACAGGTTGGTTGGATGCAAAATTTCTATAATTTATATGCAGGGATTTTGGCCTGCATCAATAGGAGCATAGTGTCTAGATCCAGGGAAGTTATGTTAGCCCTCTATCCTGCTTTGGTTAGACCACATATTTAATATTGTGTCCAATTATGGGAACCAGAATTGAAGGGACATGTTGACAGGCTGAAAGGTGTCCAGAGGAGGGCAGCTAAAATGATCAAGGATCTGGAGAACAAGCCCTATGAGGAGCGGCTTAAAGAGCTGGGCATGTTTAGCCTGAAGAAGAGAAGGCTGAGAGGAGACATGATAGCCATGTATAAATACAAGAGAGGAAGTCTTAGGGAGGAGGGAGCAAGCCTGTTTTCTGCTGCCCCGGAGACTAGGATGCAATGGAACTACAAGAGAGGAGATTCCATCTGAACATGAGGAAGAACTTCCTGACTGTGAGAGCCATTCAGCAGTGGAACTCTCTGCCCCGGAGTGTGGTGGAGGCTCCTTCTTTGGAAGCTTTTAAACAGAGGCTGTATGGCCATCTGTCAGGGGTGATTTGAATGCAATATTCCTGCTTCTTGGCAGAGGGTTGGACTGGATGGCCCATGAGGTCTCTTCCAACTCTTTGATTCTATGATTCTATGATTCTATGACGAGGGAGAGGGCCTTCCAACTCTAGGATTCTATGATTCTATTCTATATTATTATCTATTTTATTCCATTTTATTATTTCTTATTGTCTATTTCTATATATTTTAACTATTTTATTATCTATTTTAATTGTTTTGTTATCTATTTTATTATCCATCTCTACATTTTACTCTATACTATTTTTTATTCCATTTTATTATTTCTTATTATCCATTGCTTTATATTTTTATCTATTTTATTCTATTATTTCTATATCTATTTTATTCTATTTTTTCATATTAATTTCTATACTTTATCCATTTTAATTTTATTAGTGACAGCTAAGTATGGGACAAAACTCTATGGAAATAAAGGACTTCCTATGCAGGATACACCATAGAGTAGTAGTACTGGAGGACCCTCAAAATTCCTAGAGAGAACATATGAACTGGAAGTGAGTGTTAAATATAGTACAAGCCCCTTATTGATATTATTCATATTCAGAGCCATATAGACTATACAGTTCTATGGGAATAAAGGACTTTTTGTGCAGGATATGCCATAGAGTGGCAGTTCTGGGGGACCCAGAAAAATCCTAGAGAGGCCATTTTTAACAGGAAGTGGCTGTTCACCCCTTCCTCTTCTTCTCTATGGCCTTTCAGCGCCTCGCCGTGTGCTTTCGGCCAGAGAAGGAGTCCCGAGAGCCGACCATAGAGTTTGGAAGACTTCCTGTGGGCCCGTAACCCCACTTCCTGTCTGCTTGCTCCAGCTGGGAATCATCATAAAGTTGAAGGACCAAGCCAACTGTGCCCTTTTAGGCAACTCTATGGCAGCTCACTTCCTGCCATCAGCTTCTAAGCAAATCCAAGTCACAGAATGTAATTTTTAAAACCTGTTAGTTACTTTTGAAGCTTAGTTACTTCCATTACTGTTTTGAATGTAACTAAGTTACTCAAGGAACTGAAATCAAGTAACTAAGTTATAAAATGAACTAAATTACAGTAGTAACTAACTTATGAAAGTAACTAAGATACAAGTAACTGAAATGGAACTAAATTATGGAAGCAACTAATTTATGAAAAGAACAAAATTATGAGTAACTGAAATACAACTAAATTATGGAAGTAACTATAAGTAACCAAATGCAACCAAGTTAAAGAGTAACTAAAATGAAAACTGAAATGGGACTAAGTTATGAAAATAGCTAAGTTATATAAGTAACTGAAAATTATGTAAAAAACTTATGTAAATGGAACCTATATAACTTCAGTTATGTAAGTTACATACATAACTGAAATGGAACTAAATTATGAGAGTAACTGTAACACAAGTAACTAAATGCAACAAAGTTGAACAGTACCTAAACCGAAAAAGACCTAAGTGATGAAAGTAACTGTAATACAAGTAATTAAGTTACACAATAACTAAACCAAAATAGAACTAAGTTATGTAAGTAACTGAAATGGTACTGAGGCACAAAAGTAACTAAGTTATATGATTAGCTGAAATAGATCTAAATTATGAAAATAGTGAACTTATATGAGTAACTGAAATGGAACTAAGTTATAAAAGTAACTGTAATACAAGTAACTAAGTTACACAATGATTCAACCAAAATAGAAAGCAACTGAAATGGAACAGAGATATACATGTAACAAAATTATGTAAGTAAATGAAATAAAACTAAGTAGGTAACTGACGTGGAACTCAGTTACAGGAGTAACTAAAACAAATACATAAACAATGTATCATTTTTAAAAAATGGGTTATTTTGAGGTGTAACTTTGTATCATTGCTTTAGGTTTTTTTATTTATCTATTATGGTTATACTAATGTATCTAAATTGGTTTGAATTAGTTCCATATTATTCTGTCAATCGGTGGGGGGGGGGGTTGCTTCTAGGAGATGTTAGTCCAATGCATGGAAATATAGGACAATGTATTTGTTGTAAAAACTAATAATCTATCTACCTATACACATAATAAAAGTGAAATCTGTATGTGTGAATTATTATTATTATTATTATTATTATTATTATTATTATTATTATTACTATTATTAAACTTTATATGTACCCCGCTAGCATCTCCCGCAGGACTCGATGCGGCTTACAAAGGCCAAGGCCTCAACACAACAACAACAGACAATAACAATACAATTTAAAGCAAATTAAAAACATAAGCAATAACAAAACATTACATCATTACGTAATAAAAACCAGGTCCGGGCCAGTGATGCATACAGGTTAAAAAGTGCTGGGTGTGGCAGGAGGTATGTTGGATTTCTGGGCAAGTACAATGTGCAGAGAGTCTTAAACTCTAATAAAGTGCTTCTGGGACGTAGTGCTGGAGATTATCCTATTCCGGAAAGGCACATCAGAATAGCCAGGTCTTCAGATGCTTCCTGAAGACTGCCAACGTGGGTGCTAGTCTAATGTCTTTCGGGAGGGTGTTCCAGAGTCGGGGGGCAACCACAGAGAAGGCCCTGTCCCTTGTCCCCACCAAACGCGCCTGTGACGCAGGTGGGATCGTAAGCAGCAGGCATGTAGCCGGGGGGGGGGGGACTTGAGGGGCTTCAGCCCAGGCCCATAGCGAGGGGGGGTTTAGGGGTTCAACCCCCCCCCGAAATGTTTCAGATTTTTTTAAAAAACCTGGTTTACTCATGAATTTTAACTGGTTAACCAAATCCCCATGCTAAGTCTATGAGATGCAAAAAATCAAGAGTCCCTCCAGAACTGCAAGCACTATCTCAAGCAAATATTAGCAATTTATTCACACTGTCATTACTTGCAGCAATAGCCGATGTAGTTGTTCTGGTACAGCTGTACCAGGAGCTCCAACTTTATTTGCTTTGTATTAAATGTTTGCTTGCAGTCCTAGGTTTCAGGGACTCTGCAGATAGGTGGCTTCTTTGGTTGCAGTCATAGGGCAAGTCACCTGTCCATCATCGTTAAGTTTTGGTCCCGCCCCTTGCTCAGGGCAATTGGGAAGGGAAGGGAGCCATTTTTAGTTAGTCTCAGCAAGGAAAGCTAATGTACAGGACATGTGCAAGCTTCCCCTGTACAAAAGCTTCAACCCTTTAAGACCTTCCGGGGGAGAACAGTCTTAAGAGTCTCCAAAGATTTCCAGGGAAACAGCCCTAAAGACCAAAGAACTCCAGCTGGAGAACATCTACTGCCTTGCTGGTAGGTCCACTCGGCGTTCGAGACGCAGTTCGACCCGGTAGCGGAGCCCACATCAGTAAGGGTTAGATTACAATCAGCCTGGGAGAAGTTAAAAAGGGGATTTTCCTTTAAAGAAGAAGTTATTGAAGACAGTTGCCTGTCCTTCGTGAGCAAGATTAGGAATTCACCAGTTACCTAAAAGCTTGGAATCATTTGCTTAACTTTACTGAAGACAAGAGAAGTTTCTGTTTGATTGTTCATTAATAAAAGACTTTGTTATACTTCACAAGCCATCTAAAGACTGTTTGTGGTGGAAACCTCTGAGAACTTCTCTTTAGGCCCCCTGGCTTCCCGCTGGGCAAAGGTTGCACGTCCTGTTCTAAAGACAATTATTTACAGGCCCAGCGCGCGACAGAACAGTAGTGAAGCAACCAAGTTGGGGGGGGGGGGGGGATGTTGAATGCTCTCATTAAGGAGGCCAGACTTGGTGGAGGTGGTTGACAAGGGCGGAGCTGCAGGCTATTGAAGGCTGCTCTGCCCCCTGCTGTGCTCTTTGCTTCAGCATGAGCTAGGAGGCAGGTTTCAACCCCCCTGAATTTTCAACCCCCCCCCAAATTTTCAACCCCGCAGGCATGTAGCTGGGGGAGGGGGGGCTTCAGCCCCCCCCCCTGAAATTCTCATGGTGGTTCACGAAAAGGCCTTACTGGTGCATTATTTAAACTGTTATGTTTATTCATATCATGATCTGATCACCATACTCAATATATCCCATATGCATGGGGGTATTGGGGTGATACAAAAGGTTTGCTAGGCTAGACCCTCTTTCACTCAGATTCAGCCCCCGAAACTCAGCCCCCCCAAACCCTGAAACCAAACATGCCTGTGGGATCGCGAGCAGGGCCTCTCCGGATGAACGAAGGGAGCGCGTGGGTTCATAAACAGAGATGCGGTCACGCAGGTAGGCAGGTCCCAAACCGTTTAGGGCTTTGTAGGTAAGCACCTGCACCTTAAATTGGGCTCGGAAGATAAACGGCAGCCAGTGAAGCTCCTTGAACAGGAGGGTTGACCTCTCTCTGTAAGGAGCCCGTTAACATCCTGGCCGCTGCCCGTTGGACCAGTTGGAATTTATGAGCCGTTTTCAAGGGCAGCCCCAAGTAGAGCGCATTGCAGTAATCCAATCTAGAGGTGACCAAGGCATGGCCCACCCCGGCCAGATCAGCCTTCGCGAGGTACGGTCGCAGCTGGCGCACAAGTCTCAGTTGTGCAAAAACCCTCCCGGACACCTTTTAAAAAATTATTTTGTTATCTTGTTGTATTGTCTTCATTTGTTTCAATAGCAAGTCAGCCTTTGAATTCAGAGAGTCAGATAGCTCTGCAATCTAGGTTCTTGTGGGTTTTTTCGGGCTATACGGCCATGTTCTAGAGGCATTTCTCCTGATGTTTCGCCTGCATCTATGGCAAGCATCCTCAGAGGTAGTGAGGTCTGTTGGAAATAGGACAATGGGTTTATATATCTGTGGAATGGCTGGGGTGGGGCAAAGAGCTCTTCTCTGCTGGAGCTAGGTGTGAATGTTTCAACTGACCACCTTCATTAGCATTTGAAGGCGTGGCTGAGCCTGGGAAAATCTGTTGAGAGGTGTTAAGATGTGCCTGGTTGTTTCCTCTCTGCTGTTTTGCTGTTGTAATTTTTAGAGTTTTTTAATACTGGTAGCCAGATTTTGTTCATTTTCATGGTCTCTTCCTTTCTGTTGAAATTGTCCACATGCTTGTGGATTTCAATGGCTTCTCTGTGTAGTCTGATATGGTGGTTGTTGGTGTGGTCCAGCATTTCTGTGTTCTCAAATAATATGCTGTGTCCAGGCTGGTTCATCAGGTGCTCTGCTATGGCTGACTTCTCTGGTTGAAGTAGTCTGCAGTGCCTTTCATGTTCCTTGATTCGTGTTTGGGTGCTGCGTTTGGTGGTCCCTATGTAGACTTGTCCACAGCTGCATGGTATACGGTAGACTCCTGCAGAGGTGAGAGGATCCCTCTTGTCCTTTGTTGAACGTAGCATTTGTTGGATTTTCTTAGTGGGTCTGTAGATAGTTTGTATGTTGTGTTTCCTCATCAGCTTCCCTATGCAGTCAGTGGTTCCCTTGATGTATGGCAAGAACACTTTTCCTCTGGGTGGATCTTCATCTTGACTCTCGTTTGTTGAACTCTTTGCAGCTCCCGTTTGGACGCCATTTTTGGCTGTCTTCCCGGTTTTATGCTTACTTGATAAAGTCTCTTTTCCCCCAATGTTTATACTGTAAAGATCTGGACCAAACATGGTACACAGACCAAACATGGCCAACTGTGCATACAGGCAGGGTTTGGGGGTGATTGACTTTGTCTCTGAGCGTTGTAGTTCACCCTGCATCCAGAGAGCACTGAACCCTGCCCAACATCAGATCTGGACCAAACCCAACATGGCCAACTTTGGATACAGGCGGGGTTTGGGGAAGATTGACACATGGGAAGTAATACTCCCCCTCTATTCTGCTCTGGTTAGACCACACCTGGAATATTGTGTCCAATTCTGGGCACCACAATTCAAGAGAGATATTGACAAGCTGGAATGTGTCCAGAGGAGGGCGACTAAAATGATCAAGGGTCTGGAGAACAAGCCCTATGAGGAGCGGCTTGAGGAGCTGGGCATGTTTAGCCTGAAGAAGAGAAGGCTGAGAGGAGACACGATAGCCATGTATAAATATGTGAGAGGAAGCCACAGGGAGAAGGGAGCAAGCTTGTTTTCTGCTTCCTTGGAGACTAGGACACGGAACAATGGGTTCAAACTACAGGAAAGGAGATTCCACCTGAACATGAGGAAGAACTTCCTGACTGTGTGAGCCGTTCAGCAGTGGAACTCTCTGCCCCGGAGTGTGGTGGAGGCTCCTTCTTTGGAAGCTTTTAAACAGGGGCTGGATGGCCATCTGTCAGGGGTGATTTGAATGCAATATTCCTGCTTCTTGGCAGGGGGTTGGACTGGATGGCCCATGAGGTCTCTTCCAACTCTTTGATTCTATGATTCTATGATTCTACGATTTGGGGAACTGTAGTTCACCCACATCCTTATGCATGTCCCCAAGCTAGGAAATAAAGTGGCCTCTTGGTGAAACAACCTCCCGCGCATGCGCAGAGTGAGGCCCCGAGGTGATTGCAGCGCTCTTCCCCGCCCCTTTTCCCCGTGACGTCACGAGAGCGTTCCTTCGCTCAGAAGGCCTGGCCTGTTTTGTGGCGACTCACGCATGCGCAGGAGCCCAGCGGAGAGCGACTATGCTTCCTTTCGGGTACCTTCTCTTTTCCGGGGCGGGAGCTGCGGAAGCAGACCCGCCCGCCCGCCCTTTCGCCGTCCTCAAGCAGCAGGACCTCGGTGAGAATCTTTTCCATGGCTTTCCATTTTGTGAAGGGGGAAAAAAAAAAAGAAAGCGGCCCCTTTAAATCGTCTCTCCTCTGTGGAATCTCCTCTGCGCATGCGTTGGCCGCAAGCAACCGGGGTAACCTATTGCGCATGCTCGCAGTGAATTTATTTATTTGTCGTGTCAGGACAAGCAGTCAAATTACATTTCTAACAGAACAAAGCAAACAAACAGACAAGATACAAAATGTGTGAGTTTGGTAGTTGATTGAATGTCCTTTGACCAGTATCTGGCCACTTGGAGTGCCTCTGGTGTTGCTGCAAGAAGGTCCTCCATTGTGCATGTGGCAGGGCTCAGGTTGCATTGCAGCAGGTGGTCAGTGGTTTGCTCTTCTCCACACTCGCATGTCGAGGATTCCACTTTGTAGCCCCATTTCTGAAGGTTGGCTCTGCATCTCGTGGTGCCAGAGCGCAGTCTGTTCAGCGCCTTCCAAGTCGCCCAGTCCTCTGTGTGCCCAGGGGGGAGTCTCTCATTTGGTATCAGCCATTGGTTGAGGTTCTGGGTTTCAGCCTGCCACTTTTGGACTCTCACTTGCTGAGGTGTTCCAGCGAGTGTCTCTGTAGGTCTTAGAAAACTATTTCTAGATGTAAGTAGTTGACGTGCTGGCTGATACTCAAACAGGGGATGAGCTGGAGATGTCTCTGCCTTGGTCCTTTCACTATTGGCTGCTACTTCCCAGCAGATGTCAGGTGGTGCAATACCAGCTAAGCAGTGTAATTTCTCCAGTGGTGTGGGGCGCAGACACCCCATGATAATGCGGCATGTCTCATTAAGAGCCACATCCGCTTTTTCAGCGTGGTGAGATGTGTTCCACACTGGGCATGCATACTCAGCAGCAGAGTAGCACAGCGCAAGGGCAGATGTCTTCACTGTGTCTGGTTGTGATCCCCAGGTTGTGCCAGTCAGCTTTCGTATGATATTGTTTCTAGCACCCCACTTTTTGCTTGATGTTCAGGCAGTGCTTCTTGTAGGTAAGAGCACGGTCCAGAGTGACTCCCAGGTATTTGGGTGCGCTGCAATGCTCCAGTGGGATTCCTTCCCAGGTGATCTTCAGAGCTCGGGATGCTTCTCTGTTCTTGAGATGAAAGGCACATGTCTGTGTTTTAGATGGGTTGGGGATCAGCTGGTTTTCCCTGTAATAGGCAGTAAGAGCACCTAGAGCTTCGGAGAGCTTCTGTTCAACCATCTCAAAGCTCCCTGCTTGAGCAGTAATGGCACAATCATCAGCATAGATGAATCTCTGTCCCTTCTGGCAGTGGCTGGTCATTTGTGTAGATGTTGAACATGGATGGAGCAAGCACGCTCCCCTGAGGCAGGCCGTTCTTCTCTTTCCGCCATCTGCTTCTCTGGCCCTGGAACTCAACAAAGAAGCTCCTGTTTTGTAGCAGGTTTCCTATGAGGCGGGTGAGGTGGTCGTCCTTTGTGATATTATACATTTTTCTCAGGAGGAGGCGGTGGTTCACAATATCATGCAGGCAAAGTCTATGAAGACAGCTCCTGCCTTTCAAAGCCATCTTCTATGTGCTGAGTCAGGTTCAACACTTGCGATGTGCAGCTTTTGCCTTTTCTGAAGCCAGCTTGCTGTGGGATCAGACATGGGTCTATTTTTTCCGTAATTCTATGCAAAATAAATCTCTCCAGAACTTTGTAGAGGTGGCACAACAGGGAGATTGGTCTGTAGCTTGCAGTGAAGCGAAGACGGGAGGGAGAGAATAAAGCGTTCTAACGTGGATGCTCAGAGCAGGGGTCTCATCACACTAGGAAAAAAATCGATTTAAAATCCGGTTTCTGCCTCCTGCAGAATTCTGGGGTTTGTAGTGTAGAGGGGAATCTTTAACAGCCTCACTAAACTAGAAACCCCAGAATTCTGCAGGAGGCAGAAACTGGATTTAAAGTGGATTTGTTGTCTAGTGTGATGGAAGTGGCAGGAGGGGGAAATAGGAAAAGGAAAAATATATTAAAATAAAATATGACACAAAAATATTATTCCCTGGATATTACTTATCATCATCATCATTTAATTACTTATTAATCACCCTCCATCCAAGATGCACTAGGCGATTTACAAGCTAAAATTGTAAAGGATAAAAATACATACATACAGATATTGATAAAATTAACAAAGATCAAATGCTCTAGTAAAAAGCCAGGTCTTAAGTGCTAGGGTAAAAGGCCCTAAGTCACGCATGGCTCTCATAAAGGGCGGCAAGGAATTCCACAAGGCAGGGGCAGAAATAGAAAAAGCCCTGCATCTAGTCCTTTCCAAGTGCACTTCTCTAGGACCCGGTATATAGAGTAAGTCACGTTGTGCTGGTCGTTGCGACCTCCGATGATGGGAGAATGAGAGACGGTCCCTAAGATATGATGGACCCTGGCCGTAAAGAATTTTAAAGGTCAGAACTAGCATCTTATATAGACCACGGTGATCAGTTGGAAGCCAATGTAGATGTTTCAACACTGGTGTTATATGGCATTTCATGGGCGTTCTTGTGAGTAACCTGGCTGCCGCATTCTGAACAATACGGAGCTTTCGGGTCATAGACATCGGAAGGCCAACATACAGGGCGTTGCAATAGTCCAACCTAGATGTGACCGTGGCATGGATGACTGTTGCCAGAGCCTCATCAGATAGGTAGGGTGCCACTTGCCTCGCTCTTCGTAGATGGAAAAAGGCCTGTTTGCTGGCAGCAATGACCTGAGCTTTCATTATCAGCTGTGAATCCAAAATGATACCCAAGCTCTTAACGGTAGGTGAAGGAGATAGGGCAGCACCATCGAAGGTGGGTAGCAAATGGGTCAGACCAATCGAGCGGCCATGCCAGAGAATCTCAGTCTTCACCGGGTTCACCTTCAGTCTACTAGCACGTAGCCAGTTCAACAGAGCCTCCAGACATAAGGTGAAATTGTCTGGTATTGACGTTACTCCAGGCTCCAAACGCAAAAGGAGTTTGGATAAGGACAGAGAGGCTGGGAGAGAGCTGTCCTGAATTGCCTTTCAAAAACAGCCTTTCAACAATGTTGAAAGTAAAAGAAAAATTCTATACTTCAGCAAACACAAAGACAGGGCCTTCTCAGTAATTGCCCCTCGGCTATAGAACTCCCTTCCTAATGAAATCAGGTCAGCCCCCTCCCTCTTGTCCTTTAGATGGATGATAAAAACGTGGCTGTAGGACCGAGCCTTGGGGACTGTGCAATGAGTCAGCGATAGGAACTCTTAGTATGCCAACCAAATTCGATATGGTTGTTGAGACAGTTTTAACTAGTGGATTTTAACGTCGAGATATGTGATTTTAATGCTTTTGTACATGTATGGTCTAATATGTTTCGGCATTGAATGTTTGCAGTTTATATGTTGTGCTCCGCCCTGAGTCCCCTTCGGGATGAGAAGGGCGGAATATAAATGCTTTAAATAAATAAATCTATATATATATAAAATGCTCTGTGCATAATGAGTACCTTAAAAACAAAAGAACCAATGAACGAAATCACACCAAATTTGACAACAAAACGTCTCACAGCACAAGGAGTGACCGTCACTCAAAAATTATGATTTTGTCATTTGAGAGTTGTAGTTGCTGGGATTTATAGTTCACCTACAATCAAAGAACATTCTGAACTCCATCAACGATGAAATTGAACCAAACTTGGCACACGGAACTGCCATGAACAACAGAAAATACTGGAAGGGTATTTTCCAGGCTCCAAACGCAGAAGGAGTTGGGTGTCGTCCGCATATTGATAGCAGACTAGGCCGAAACTCCGAGCCAAACTAGCAAGGGGTCTAACATAGATGTTGAAGAGAAGAGAGGAGAATTGCGCCTTGGGGTACCCCGCATAGGAGGGGGGAACTTTCGGAGACTTGATCCATATACTCCACGCATTGGCTCCGGTTTCGGAGAAATTAGTCGAACCGATTGAGGGCCTGACCACGAACTCCGGACATGGCAAGACAGTGAATCATTAGATCGTAGACAACGGTGTCAAACGCTGTGGTAAGATCGAGAAGTACCAGAAGCCCCGATCCGCCGCTATCAGACTGACGACGAAGTTCATCTGTAATAGCAACCAGGACTGTCTCCGTCCCATGACCCGGGCGAAAGCCTGATTTGAAAGGGTCCAGGCCGGCTGTGTCATCCAAAAATTGGATATAGATAACTAATATAGGAAATCTGACGATTTGACGATGGAACTGGACAATGCTTGACAATAAGGAGACGCTAATTATGTTGTTTTTATTGCTTGTTGTGTTTTATGTTGTTTTAATGTTTAATTTGTACTGTGATATTATGTATACTGTTTTGTTGGAAACCGCCTTGAGTCGCCGATAGGCTGAGAAAGGCGGTATACAAATACAATAAATAAATAAATAAATAAATACAGTCATGCCGGCCACATGACCTTGGAGGTGTCTATGGACAACGCCGGCTCTTCGGCTTAGAAATTGAGATGAGCACCACACCCCAGAGTTGGACATGACTGGCTTTAATGTCAGGGGAAAACCTTTATCTTATAATATTATTTTCTCTTTCTTTCTTGCAGTTCTTTTGGGGAGTGTTTTCAGCCTTCTCCTCCTGGCTATTCTGTTATTATCAATCTGCGTTTATAAACCCATTCGACGTCGATGAAAGAAGATAAATGTACATTATATTTCTGAATTTTAAAATGGAATAACTTTTTCAATAAAGGTGGGTATCAGCTTTTCAAATACTAAGTAATAAATAAATTATTTTTAAAAGTATTATGATTGAGTATTATTAAGTAATAAATAAATATATTTAAAATATACCGTATATACTTGAGTATAAGCCGACCTGAATATAAGCCAAGGCACCTAATTTTACCACAAAAACTGGGAAACCATATTGACTCGAGTATAAGCCAAGGGTGGGAAATGCAGCAGCTATGGGTAAATTTCAACGTAGAAATAGTTACCAATAAAATGACATTAATTGAGGAATCAGCAGGTTAAATGTTTTTGAATATATACATAAAACTGTAATTTAAGATAAGACTGTCCAACTCTGATTCAACCACCATTCTAAGTTTCTTTAATGTGAATGTGCTTACATATCCTTCCAATAATAAATAGAGTAAAATAATAAATGTAATAAAAATTGAGTAAACTAATGGAAATGTAATAACAGTCATAATAGAGTAAAATAATAAATGTAATAAAAATCATACTAATAATAGAGTAAACTAATAAATGTAATAATAACAATAATAAAGTACAATAATAAATGTAATAATAATAATAATAATAATAAATAGAGTAAAATAACAAATGTAATAAAAATAATAATAGAGTAAAATAATGTAAACGTAATAATACCAATAATACATTGGACTTGGTTTTCTGTCAGGGATGGGAGGAAGGTGGCGGTGTTGAGGAGTTATCCATCTCTCCGTTGCCATGGACCGACCACCACCTGGTCAGCTTTAGACTTACTGCACCCCCTAACCTCCGCAGAGGTGGAGGACCCATTAAATTGGTCCGCCCCAGGAGGCTTATGGATCCGGGATTCCTGATGGCTCTTGGGGAATTTCCCGCCACCTCGGTTGGTGATCCTGTTGATGCTCTGGTCGCTCTCTGGAATGGGGAGATGACTAGGGCAATAGACACGATAGCTCCAGAACGTCCCCTCTCAAGTAGCCGAGCTAAACCAGCTCCTTGGTTTACTGAGGAGCTGGCAGCGTTGAAGCGAAAGAAGAGGGAACTAGAGGGCGTGTGGCGTTCGGATCCGAGCGAGCCAAACCGAACACGGTTTGTGTCCTTTTTAAGGTCATACGCCGCGGCAATAAAAGCCGCAAAGAAAACTTTCTTTACGGCCACTATTGCGTCTGCAAAGAACCGTCCGGCCGAACTGTTTCGAGTTGTCAGAGGCCTGTTAAAACCCACCATTCAGGATGGGAGCCCTGATGACTCGGCAGCTCGCTGTGAAGCCTTTGCTCAGTTCTTTGCAGACAAAGTCGCTTTGATCCGCTCTGGACTGGACACCATATTAACGGCAGTCTCTGAGGATGTAACACGAGCATCTGCTTGTCCAATTTTGATGGATTCATTTCAATTGGGTCAAACCGAGGATGTGGACAAGGTGCTTGGAGGAATGAGAGCTACCACATGCATCCTAGACCCCTGCCCATCCTGGCTTCTAAAGGAGGCCAGAGGGGGATTGGCCGAGTGGGTTAAGGTGGTGGTTAATGCCTCCCTTCGGGAAGGCATATTTCCAGCCAGCTTAAAGCAAGCTGTGATAAAACCGCTGTTGAAGAAACCATCACTGGACCCCACTCAATTCGTCAACTATCGGCCTGTTTCCAATCTCCCCTTCTTGGGCAAAGTCATGGAACGTGTGGTGGCCTCACAACTCCAGGCATTCTTGGTAGACACGGATTATCTGGATCCGGCACAGTCTGGCTTTAGGCCGGGGCATGGTACCGAGACAGCCTTGGTCGCCTTAGTGGATGATCTCCGTCGGGAGCTCGACAGGGGGAGTGTGTCCCTGTTGGTGCTTCTCGACCTCTCAGCGGCCTTCGATACCGTCGACCACGGTATTCTTCTGGGACGCCTCGCGGGAATGGGTCTCGGAGGTACTGCTTTGCAGTGGCTCCGGTCATTCCTCGAGGGTCGGTCTCAGAAGGTGTTACTGGGGGACTCCTGTTCTACCCCACAACCTTTGTATTGTGGGGTTCCTCAGGGTTCAATACTGTCCCCCATGTTGTTTAACATATACATGAAGCCGCTGGGCGAGATCATCCGGAGTTTCGGGGTGCGGTGTCATCTGTACGCAGATGATGTCCAACTCTGTCACTCCTTCCCACCTGCTACTAAGGAGGCTGTCGAGGTCCTGAACCGGTGCTTGGCCGCTGTGACGGTCTGGATGGGGGCGAACAAATTGAAATTGAATCCAGACAAGACAGAGGTACTCCTGGTCAGTCGTAGGGCCGAACTGGGTACAGGGTTACAGCCTGTGTTAGACGGGGTCGCACTCCCCCTGAAGACACAGGTTCGCAGTTTGGGTGTGATCCTGGATTCATCGCTGAGCCTGGATCCCCAGGTTTCGGCGGTGACCAGGGGAGCATTCGCACAGTTAAAACTCGTGCGCCAACTGCGACCGTACCTTGGGAAGTCTGACTTGGCCACGGTAGTCCACGCTCTGGTTACATCCCGCCTTGACTACTGCAACGCTCTCTACGTGGGGTTGCCTTTGAAGACGGCTCGGAAGCTCCAACTAGTCCAACGGGCGGCAGCCATGGTACTAACAGGAGCAGGGCGCAGGGAGCATACAACTCCTCTGCTGTACCAGCTCCACTGGCTGCCGATTAGCTACCGGACCCAATTCAAAGTGCTGGCATTGGCCTTTAAAGCCCTAAACGGTTCTGGCCCAACATATCTATCCGAACGTATCTCAGCCTATCAGCCCACCAGGACCCTAAGATCTTCTGGAGAGTCCCTGCTCTCTGTCCCTCCGGCTTCAGAAGTGCGGCTGGCGGGAACGAGAGACAGGGCCTTCTCTGTGGTGGCCCCTCGGCTTTGGAATGCCCTCCCTATAGAGATAAGATCAGCTCCCTCGCTGTTGGTATTTCGAAAAAAACTTAAGACATGGATGTTTGAACAAGCATTCGGGTAATCCGGTGCGATGAAGTTGATGACAAGGACTGGTAATTATTGACGATGAATTCGGATTATGATTTTAACTAAGAGATGCATTGGTCGGTATTGGTGGCCCGATACTGTGTACTGTATATGTTTTTTATGCTTTTAAATTGTTTGATTATTGTTGTTTTTAAGTACTGTTAACCGCAATGAGTCGCCGTTGTAGGCTGAGATATTGCGGTATATAAGCATACAAATAAATAAATAATAAAGTAATAAATGTAATAATAAAAATGGAGTAAAATAATAAATGTAATAAAAACAATAATAAATAGAGAAAAATAATAAATGTAATAATAAAATACTAGGTTCTGGTGGGTTTTTTCGGGCTATAGAGCCATGTTCTAGAGGCATTTCTCCTGACGTTTTGCCTGCATCTATGGCAAGCATCCTCAGAGGTAGTGAGGACCTCACTACCTCTGAGGATGCTTGCCATAGATGCAGGCGAAACGTCAGGAGAAATGCCTCTAGAACATGGTTCTATAGCCCGAAAAAACCCACCAGAACCTAGTGATTCCAGCCATGAAAGCCTTCGACAATACAATAAAATACTAATAACAGAGTAAAGTAATAACTAACTTTGATTCCAGTATAAGCCTAGGGGAGCTTTTTCAGCCTAAAAAGGGGGCTGAAAAACTAGGCTTATACTCAATAAATTATTGTATTTTTAAATATAATTTAAATGAAATAATTTTGGAAAGATATTATATTAGAGAAATTAGGATATTAAATTATTAAATAATTATTAATAATTTAATAAAGAATTATTAAAATGTATTATTTTCAAAAATTATTACAGAAATTATTGTAAATTATTAAATAACAATAAAATATTTCAAATATTTTAAAATATTTAAGATCAAAAATTTTAAATAATAATAAATTCAATTATTTTAAAAATATTACTATTGAAAAATTAAATTATTACATTGTGTTGTCCAAGGCTTTCATAGCCGGAAGTACTGCTTTGCTGAGTTTTCTGGGCTGTGTGGGCATTGTTACATTAATTTTTAAAATAATAATAATAAATAAAAAATATTTTTCATTTTTTGAATGAATTATATTATTGTGATGGAATTGTGTAAGTCCCTTTCCCTTTTGTCCAGGGAAAGAGAGCCGTGTTTAGTTTAGGGCTATTACCACCAGGGAATCTTGGAAGCAAGCCCTGTCCATAGTTGGCCCCAGTGAGATCCAGGCTTGGACTAGCCATTTCAAGTCAGTAACTAACTAACTAACTAACTAATCTGGGAACTCATCCAGCTATACTGGCCTACCTCTGGTCAGTGACAGTCTGTGGAGTTTCCAGTGCCTTCAGCAAGGTGCCAGGCCTCAATAGGAGGGACCTGCTTTCTCTACCTCTGGCCTGATCACCTTGGGCATTGGGTTCCCTAGAGGCCCCTCTACCAGAGAAAGTGAGCAAGGGAAACGTTCATCTGTCCTTTGCCTCTGAAATCATCTACAACTTCAAGAACAACTAATTACCTTCAAACTTTCAGTATAGACTTCGTTGTACAGAGATCAAGTTAGTGCCTGGGTTGAGATAGGCCCAATACCAGTTAATAAATCATTATCTTTTCTTGAAAGCAATAGCGAACATTGATTCTGTGCAGTTCCTTGCTCAAATAGGATGGCAATCCAGCATCCCCCAAGCCGATAGGAAGTTGGGACATGTTAATACTAAAGACATTTAAAGCAGCTTGGGTGTGACAGCATAGGTTGAGTTGGGTTCAGTTGAGTTGGGTTGAACTGAATTATAATTATTATATTATTATAGTTGGGTAGAATTGGTTCAGTTATGTTGAGTTTGTTCAGTTGTGTTGGGTTCAGTTGAGTTGAATTGAGTTATTATTATAGTTGAGTTGGGTTCAGTTGAGTTGAATTGAGTTGTTATTATTATTATAGTTGAGCTGGGTTCAGTTGAGTTGAATTGAGTTGTTATTATTATAGTTGAGCTGGGTTCAGTTGAGTTGAATTGAGTTGTTGTTATTATTATAGTTGAGTTGGGTTCAGTTGAGTTGAATTGAGTTATTATTATAGTTGAGTTGGGTTCAGTTAAGTTGAATTGAGTTATTATTATTATTATAGTTGAGTTGGGTTCACTTGAATTGAATTGAGTTATTATTATTATTATTATTATAATTATTATTATAGTTGAGTTGGGTTCAGTTGAGTTGAATTGAGTTATTATTATTATAGTTGAATTGAGTTCGGTTGGGTTGGGTTCAGCTGAATTGAACTGCGTTTTTATATACTACTAGTTGTCCCCTGCTACGCGTTGCTGTGGCCCAGTCTGTTGATCTGGAAAATAATGAGAAAGTGTTGGTTTCAAATATATATAATTTCTTTATGCTTGTGGGTAAACAGTATTTCTTACTGTTTCTTTGTCAGTGTTGATGTGGAGATTGTCTAGTTTGCCCACCCTGGAACATGCAACATATCATTGTCCTTCTTTAAGGGTCCCTTTCAAATCAATTATACTATATCTGTGTGTGTGTGTGTGTGTGAATAATATCTATCAAATCTATGGCTGGATGGCTCTTTGTCAGGAGGACTTTGATTACGTTTTCTTGCCCTGGTGAAGAGAGTTGGACTGGACGGCCTTAAGTATTTTCTGTTGGTCATGGGGGTTCTGTGTGGGAAGTTTGCCCTGATTCTGTTGTTCGTGGGGTTCAGAACACTCTTTGATTGTAGATGAACTGTGAATCCCAGTGACTACAACTCCCAAATGTCAACGTCTATTTCCCCCAAACTCCAGCTGTCTTCATATTGAGTGTTTGTGCCACGTTTGGTCCAGATCCATCATTGTTTGAGTCCACAGTGCTCTCTGGATGGAGGTAAACTACAACTCCAAAACTCAAGGTCAATGCCCACCAAACCCTTCCAGTATTTTCTGTTGGTCATGGGAGTTCTGTGTGCCAAGTTTGGTTCAATTCCATCGTTGATGAGTTCAGAATACTCTTTGATTGTAGGTGAACTATAAATCCCAGCAACAACTCCTAAATGACAAAATCATAATTTTTGTATGATGGTCACTCCTTGTGTAATGAGACGTTTTGTTGCCAAATTTGGTGTGATTTCATTCATTGGTTCTTTTGTTTTAATGTACTCATTATGCACAGAGCATTTATATATATATAGATTATTATTATTATTATTATTATTATTATTATTATTATTATAGTTGAGTTTGGCTAAGTTGTGTGATGGCACTGTACAAGTCCAAGCTCCTTTTGTTAGGCTGCCTCTCCCACAGTTTGAGAATCATCACTTTTCTGTTAGTTTTACAAAGGTGGAGACCCATCGCTCCCCAAGGCCTCCAGCAGCAGCAACCCAGAGCGAGGCCTGTTGTTTAGCAACTCAGTGGTTTAACTCACTGATACATAGTGGATTTAACCCACTGAAAATATAATATTTTAAGTAATTTGAATGTGTTTTTCCCCCTCTTAGGCCCTGCATCAAGATCTTGCCAATTGAAGAATAAAAATCATGAAAATATTCAAATCTAAAATGAAGAAATTCCTGCTGGAAAAGCGATTATTTATATTATTAAAATTTATATTTATTATTCTGTTTTTATTTTTTTAATTATTTATTATTATTAACTTGTTTATATGTAACACCAAATAAGGATTATTATTATTTTGCATTAATTTATTTAAAATGTCGTATGTTGTTATTTTTTTCTAATTTTTTAATGTATTTTAAAAGATTTTTTATTTTCAAGTTATTTAAACTTTGTTTTGAATTTGTTTTATTTTCATTTTTATTTTTGTATTTAAAAAATTTTGGTACTTACAAATGATCTGCGAATGTTGTGAAAAATGTAATTGATTAAAGTGGCCAAAAAAGATTTTTAATTGATTACTAGCATTATTTGTTTTGGGAAGTTTGGTAATATTTCTGAATGGAGGGTGAACCACAACTCCCACGTGGGTGGATCGTTCCCCTCCCAAACCCTTCCAGTATGTTAAGTTGATCAGCAAGATTCTGTGTGCCAAGTATCATCCAGATATCGGGTGGGTTCAGTGCTCTCTGCATAATGATGATCTACAACTCCCGGATTCAAGGTCAATGGCCCCCAAAACCCCGCCTGTATGCAAAATTGCCCATGTTGGGTCTGTGAGCCTAGTTTTGGTGCAGATCCGACATTGGCAAGGTTCAATGCTTTTTGGATATGGGTGAACTACAACTCCCAACATCAAAGTCCATTCCCCAAACCCCTGTAGTATTTTCAGTTGGTCATGGGGCTTCTCTATGCCAAGTTTGGTCCCAGTCCATTGTTGATGGAGGCCACAGTTTCTCTGGATGCAGGTGAACTATAACTCCCAAAAAGCAAGGTAAATTTTCCCCAAATATCTCTAGTATGTTTTGTTTGGTCTAGGTCCATCCTTTGTGTGGATCGCAGTGGTCAGTGAAAGTCGGAGCTCTATCCTATCATACATGGTCCGTCCTCCCCCAAATCGCACCAGCATGGGGGTGGGATCTGTCTGCCAAAAGTCCATCATTTGTTGGAGACACAGTGGTTATTTGAATTCAGATCCAAAGCAGGTGAAAGTACTGCGTATCCCATCATCCGTGGTCAATCTTCCCACAAACCCCACCAGGAGATAGGGTGGGTCATGGGGGCTCTATGTACCAGATTTGGTCATTGGTGTGAGTCCTAGTGGTCTCAGGAAGTGAGTGAAGATACTGCAAGTCCCATCATCTATGGTCCACCCTCCTCCAAACCACACCAGGAGATAGGGTGGGTCATGGGGGCTCTGTGTGCCAAGTTTGGTCATTGGTGTGAGTCCTAGTGGTCTCAGGAAGTGAGTGAGGATACTGCAAGTCCCATCATCTATGGTCCATCCTCCCCCAAACCACACCAGGAGATAGGGTGGGTCATGGGGGCTCTGTGTGCCAAGTTCGGTCCAGGTCTGTGATTTGTGGGGGCAGCAGCAAGTCATAGGTGGTCTTGCAAACGCTAATGATGATGAATTCTTCAATCTTGTTCAAAATTAAACACAAGTACCACTGATATCTATGAGATATAAGCAGGAGTGTAACTGCGAGTGGAATTGCAGCCCTAAGGAATCAAGCCTTAGAGCAGTTAATCTTCCAAGTGTAACCGGAAAGCAACTTGGGTGGCATTTTTATCCAGTTGTGTAGAGGAGGCTGGGTTGTTTCACCAATAATTTAAGTGATCCTTCAATTAAAGTACTTGGTAAGAGGTGCCTTGAGATTTTTTTTTTAAAAAAAAACAGCCCTTTTTTAATCCAATTCTCCAAGAAGTCAGACTGATTGTATGCTAACTTGGTTCTTTTCTTTTCTTTCTTTCCTTCCTTCCTTCCTTCCTTCCTGTTGGAGGCAAGACTTCAGGAGCAGGGCACCTGTCAAAATTAGTTTGAGGAGAGGTGACTCCATATATACATATATATATATGGAGAGAGAGAGAGAGAGTATATTTGTATACCGTCCCTCTCAGCCTTCCGGCGACTTGAGGCGATTTACAAGGCAAAATTCAATGCCACCAAGAACACAATTACAATATAAAATGTCAACATCAATAAAATCATAACACTGTAATAAAACATAATTCAATAAATACTCATTAAAACAATGTCCAGTCCCATCATGTAGCTGTTCCGTTCTTATGTCCCTTACTACGTCCGTCATTTGTCAGGGTCGTAGTGGTTTCAAAAAGTGAGTGAAAGCATGGTAAATAATTTCGGAAACATTGGCAATCATCTTTGGGAGTTTTTGGAGAACGGGAGAAGTTCCAGCAGATTGGAGGAGGGCCAATGTGGTCCCAATCTTCAAGAAGGGAAAAAAGGATGACCCAAACAACTACCGTCCGGTCAGCTTCACGTCGATACCAGGCAAGATTCTGGAAAAGATTGTTAAGGAAGCGGTCTGCAAACACTTAGAAACAAATGCAGTCATCGCTAATGGTCAACATGGATTTATCAAAAACAAGTAATGTCAGACTAATCTGATCTCTTTTTTTCGATAGAGTTACAAGCTGGGTAGATGCGGGGAATGCCGTGGATGTAGCGTACCTGGATTTCAGTAAGGCCTTCAACAAGGTCCCCCATGACCTTCTGGCAAACAAACTAGTCCAATGTGGGCTAGGCAAAACTACGGTGAGGTGGATCTGTAATTGGTTAAATGGACGAACACAGAGAGTGCTCACCAATGCTTCCTCTTCATCCTGGAAAGACGTGACGAGTGGAGTGCCATCAGCAGGGTTCGTCCTGGGCCTGGTCTTGTTCAACATCTTTATTAATGACTTAGATGAAGGGTTAGAAGGCAGGATCATCAAGTTTGCAGATGACACCAAATTGGGAGGGATAGCCAATACTCCAGAGGACAGGAGCAGGATTCAAAACGATCTTGACAGATTAGAGAGATGATTGGCCAAAACTAACAAAATGAAGTTCAACACGGACAAATGCAAGATACTCCACTTTGGCAGGAAAAACGAAATGCAAAGATACAAAATGCGGGACGATGCCTGGCTTGAGAGCAGTACGTGTGAAAAAGATCTTGGAGTCCTCGTGGACAACAAGTGAAACATGAGCCAACAATGTGATGTGGCAGCAAAAAAAGCCAATGGGATTTTGGCCTGCATCAATAGGAGCATAGTGTCTAGATCCAGGGAAGTCATGCTACCCCTCTATTCTGTTTTGGTTAGACCACACCTGGAGTATTGTGTCCAATTCTGGGCACCACAATTCAAGAGAGATATTAACAAGCTGGAATGTGTCCAGAGGAGGGCGACTAAAATGATCAAGGGTCTGGAGAACAAGCCCTATGAGGAGTGGCTTAAGGAGCTGGGCATGTTTAGCCTGAAGAAGAGAAGGCTGAGAGGAGATATGATAGCCATGTATAAATATGTGAGAGGAAGTCATAGGGAGGAGGGAGCAAGCTTGTTTTCTGCTTCCCTGGAGGCTAGGACGTGGAACAATGGCTTCAAACTACAAGAGAGGAGATTCCATCTGAACAGGAGGAAGAACTTCCTGACTGTGAGAGCCGTTCAGCAGTGGAACTCTCTGCCCCGGAGTGTGGTGGAGGCTCCTTCTTTGAAAGCTTTTAAACAGAGGCTGGATGGCCATCTGTCAGGGGTGCTTTGAATGCAATATTCCTGCTTCTTGGCTGAATGGGGTTGGACTGCTTCCTGCGCCTGCGCGGCTGGCCCCGCCCCCTGCGCGCCCTCCCTCCCCTCTGCCGCAAGCGCGCATGAGCGGCTAGGAGAACCAAGGCACCTCCCTTTTCCTTCCGAGATACAACTCCGCTTTGGCCACGCCCACTTCGCCGCGGAGGCTTCTGATTGGCCCCCGTACCCAGGGCAAAGGGAGAGAGAGCAGAAATGTCCGAACGCCTTCAACACTCACTGGACTTCCGCCCGGCCCCAAGATGGCGCCCTAAGGCGGGAGGCGTCCGCTTCCTATCGAGCCGGTCGCCGCACACACTTCCGGAGGGGACTGGGCCAATTTCGAGGGAGGGAAAGGGATTCTCTTAATAGCGACGGAGAGGAGGAAGGAGCAGGTAAAGTGCCTCAGCAGGAGAGATTTACATGACTATAGGTCAGCCATGTGCAAACTTGGGCCCTCCAGGGGTTTTGGACTTCAACTCCCATAATTCCTAACAGCTTCAGTCCCCTTCGCTTAAGGTCCTGAGCCTGTGAGGAATTGTGGGAGTTGAAGTCCAAAACCCTTGGAGGGAAGACCCAAGTTGGCCCATGGCTGCGATAGATCTACATTTATGATATAATATAATACAAACAATAGAATCATAGAATCAAAGAGGTGGAAGAAACCTCATGGGCCATCCAGTCCAACCCCCTGCCAAGAAGCAGGAATATTGCATTCAAATCACCCCTGACAGATGGCCACTTTATCATTACCATAAATGGCAGAGTGGGTTAAACTCCTTTGCCTGCAGGACTGAAGACCGACAGGTCGCAGGTTCAAATCCGGGGAGAGGCGGATGAGCTCCCTCTATCAGCTCCAGCTCCTCATGCAGGGACGTGAGAGAAGCCTCCCACAAGGATGATAACAACATCAAATCATCCAGGCATCAATTATGCAACGTCCTTGCAGGCGGCCAATTCTCTCACACCAGAAGCTACTTGCTCCTGACACAACAACAAAAAACCCCCATAAAACCCCCCAAAAAAGCCGTTGGGAGAGATCATCCGGAGTTTTGGGGTGCGGTGTCATCTGTACGCAGATGATGTCCAACTCTATCACTCTTTTCCACCTGCCACTAAGGAGGCTGTTCAGGTCATGAACCGGTGCTTGGCCGCTGTCACTAAATCCAGACAAGACAGAGGTACTCCTGGTCAGTCGTAAGACCGAACAGGGTACGGGGTTACAGCCTGTGCTGGACGGGGTCACACTCCCCCTAAAAACACAGGTATGCAGTCTGGGAGTTCTCCTGGATTCATCGCTGAGCCTGGAGCCCCAGGTTTCAGCGGTGGTCAGGGGAGCATTCGCACAATTAAAACTTGTGCGCCAGCTGCGTCCGTACCTTGGGAGGGCTGACTTGGCCACGGTAGTACACGCTTTGGTTACATCCCGCTTAGATTACTGCAACGCTCTCTACGTGGGGTTGCCTCTGAAGACTGCCCGGAAGCTGCAGCAAGTCCAACGCTCGGCAGCCAGACTACTAACGGGTGCTGGGTACAGGGAGCACACCACTCCGCTGTTACACCAGCTCCACTGGCTGCCAATTAGCTTCCGAGCACAATTCAAAGTGCTGGTGTTAACCTATAAAGCCCTAAACGACTCCGGCCCTGTTTACCTCTCCGAACGTATTCTCCCCTATGAACCATCAAGATTATTAAGATCGTCTGGAGGGGCCCTGCTCTCGGTCCCACCGCCTGCACAAGCACGGCTGGTGGGGACGAGGGACAGGGCCTTCTCGGTGGTGGCCCCTCGACTTTGGAACTCCCTGCCATTAGAGATCAGAACTGCCCCCTCCCTCATGACGTTCAGGAAACTAACAAAGACCTGGTTGTGGAACGCGGCATTTGACAACTGATTTAATTCTTTGCCCACACGAAAGGAGGATGATGAATGGGATTGTGATGGTGTTGGACGATTTGGCTCTTTTAACTGTGATGATAATGTTTTAATGTGTATGGTGCTGATATTTTAATCGTGTAATGAAGTGGCATTGTGTTGTTATTGTATATTCTTTGTATGTTAACACATGTTGTGAACCGGTCCGAATCCCTCTTTGAAGGTGAGAGGGTCGGTATATAAAACCTCGAAATAAATAAATAATAAATAAATAAATGTAATAGTAAACGAAGTAAAGTAACAAAATGATAAGGATCAGTAATCATTATTATAGATTACTGATCCTTATCATTTTGTTACTTTATCATACAGTATATATTATTACCAGCTTGGGAACCCATCAGTTATGCTTATTTGTTTATTTACGACATTTATATGCCGCCCTTTTCACCCCGAAGGGAACTCAGAGCAGCTTACCAGTCATATGTACATAAAACATACTATATTGTTAGCATAGTACTAATACGTCGTTCTTAATATAAGTATTATATAATATTATATTGTTGCTGAGGGAGGGGCTCTGATGTCACAGGAGACAAGATGGAACTTTCTTTTCGGCTCCCTTCTTTACTCTGGCCCCAGAGTGGCCGTTAGTGTTGGGGGAGGGCTCTGATATCACAGGAGACAAGATGGAACTGTCTTCTCACCACCCTTCTTTACTCTGGCCCTAGAGTGGCCGTTGTTGCTGGGGGAAGGACTCTGATGTCGCAGGAGAGAAGATGGACCTGTCTTCTCAGCATCCTTCGTTACTCTGGCCCCAGAGTGGCCGTTGGTGCTGGGGAAGGGCTCTGATGTCACAGGAGAAAAGATGGAACTGTCTTCTCGACTCCCTTCTTTACTCTGGCCCCAGAGTGGCCGTTGGTGCTGGGGAAGGGCTCTGATGTCACAGGAGACAAGATGGAACTGTCTTCCAGGCTCCCTTCGTTACTCTGGCCCCAGAGTGGCCATTGGTGCTGGGGAAGGGCTCTGATGTCACAGGAGACAAGATGGAACTGTCTTCTCGACTCCCTTCTTTACTCTGGCCCAAGATTTACATAGAGTGTTGGGACATGTGAGTTTTCGGGGGTTGTAAATAGTGAGCACAGGAATCATACAAAGGTACATTTAAGTTCTTAGTCGCAGTCTCTTATCAGGAACTCTGTCATTAACCACCACAAAAATCTTAGGCTGGATAGTTGTTGTTCCTCCTCTTGTTTTCCCACGAAAACCTCTGGCTCCCCCTCTGGGCCGCTGTTTGGAAGTTGGACAAGCTCTAATCAAATGTCCTTGTTTTTCACAGCCATAACAAAGCCATGTTTTGGCTTGAAACGCACCTGCAATCTGCTGGTTCCCAGGATCGCTGACCAATTGTCAATGGTATGTCCGCACAGCAAGGCAAGGAAACTCATTGATCACAGTCTTCTTTAGGCTATCAGCTACTTTATTATACAACTATTTACATTAGAAGCTAAGCACATCATAAAAGTGCTTCCTCTCCATTCGGCAACTACATCGCGAACAGAGGACACGTTATCAGCATTAGTCCACGCCTCCTGTATTCCAGAGTGACGTATGATGTACGACGCACTACACTGCGTCCATTGCTCTCTGTACTAAGATTTATGACCTCTCTAGGAATGCTGATTGTTTTCATGGTTCAGTTAACTCTTTCCACACAGAAATTCTCTCGGCACATAGCATTTTAAACATACAAACACACTTTTAAATCTACATTACACATTTTTAAAAACACATCAACAATTATTGGGTGATGGGCCGTAGTGCTTGGGAAGGACATTGTCCGTGTTTAGGCTACTTGTTCATGGCGGTCACTATAACCTGCAGAGCACAACATACAAATGGCAAACATTCAATGCCAAGACATAAATAAATTATGCACATACATAAGCATTAAAATAATTTATCTCGACATTAAAATCCACTGTATAATGGATTTCATGGATATTGCAAGTGATGCATTAAGAAGTTGGCCATCTTGGATATTGGCAGGAGGGATATATTAGAGGGCGGCCATCTTCGATATTGGGAAAGGATGGCCATCTTCAATATTGAGAGGGGGGATACATTAATAAGTGGGCCAACTTGGATATTAGTAGAAGAAAGAATTCATTGAGAAGTTTGTCATCTTGATTATTAGGATTCATTAAGTAGGCGGCCATTCTGGATATTGGAAGAGTAAAGGATATATGGAGAAGGTGGCCATCTTGGATATTAGGAGAATGATACATTAATAAGTCATCCATCTTGGATATTGGGAAAGGGCAGTCATCTTGCATATTGGGAGAAGAAATATGGAGAGGGCAGCCATATTGAATATTGAGAGAGGAAGGGTTAGATTAATAAGTCTGCTTTTCCTCTCATTCGTCTGGCAGGTAACCTCTGAACGCACCTTGTGAAGAAAACCCTATGGGAGCTTTGCCATAGGGATGCCTTTGGACTGAAATGAAGGCTCACTGCACTGGAAAGAATGAGGAATAAGTAGGAGAAAGACATATTTCAAGCGACATCCTTGGAGGAAAGTGAGGCATGTGCCGTTAAAAGAGGGTTTGGGGAAAGACACCAGAAGGCTACGGCAGTGTGAAGGCTGAGAAGAGGAAATCCTGTGATGTTCACAGAGTTCATATCTGTGAACTTTTGGCATAATATTTGAACCATAAATTAAAAAGAATGGAAAATCTCCATCCCTGTTCCACATCACGTACAGGGGAGAAGCTGCATAAGTGTATGGACTATGGGAAACATCAACACACTCATACAGGAGAGAAGCCATATATATGCATGGAATGTGGAAAGAGCTTCAGTCGGAGTGGAGATCTGTGTTGTCATCAAAGGCCCCACACAGGGGAGAAGCCGTATCAATGTGTGGAATGTGGAAAGAGCTTCGGTTTGAGTGCAGTTTTGTGTTCCCATCAAAGGACCCACACAGGGGAGAAGCCACATCAATACATAGAATGTGGAAAGAGTTTCAATTGGAGTGGATACTTGTGTTCCCACCAAAGGACCCACACAGGGGAAGACCCGTATGAATGCATGAAATATGGAAAGAGCTTCAATTTGAGTGGACACCTGCATTCCCACCAAAGGTGTGACACAGGAGAGAAGCCTCATCAATGCATGGAATGTGGAAAGAGCTTCAGTTTGAAGGTAAACCTGCGTTCCCATCAAAGGACCCACACAGGGGAGAAGCCATATCAGTGCATGGAATGTGGAAAGAGCTTCAGTCAGAGTGGACACCTGCATTGCCATCTAAGGTCCCACACAGGAGAGAAGCCATATCAATGCATGGAATGTGGAAAGAGATTCAGTCTCAGTGGACATCTGCGTTCCCATCAAAGGACCCACACAGGGGAGAAGCCACATCAATGCATGGAATGTGGGAAGACCTTCAGTCAGAGTGGACACCTTAGTTCGCATCTAAGGTCCCACACAGGGGAAAAGCCGTATCAGTGCATGGAATGTGGGAAGAGCTTTAGTCAGAGTGGACACCTTAGTTCGCATCTAAGGTCCCACACAGGGGAAAAGCCGTATCAGTGCATGGAATGTGGAAAGAGCTTCAGTCACAGCGGACATTTGCATTCCCATCAATGGACCCACACAGGGGAGAAGCCACATCAATGCATGGAATGTGGAAAGAGCTTCAGTCACAGTCGAGATCTGCTTCGTCATCAAAGGACCCACACAGGGGAGAAGCCACATCAATGCATAGAATGTGGAAAGAGCTTCAGTGACGGTGGAACTCTGTATCGCCATCAAAGGACCCACACAGGGGAGAAGCCACATCAATGCATGGAATGTGGAAAGGGCTTCAGTCAGTGTTCACATCTGCGTTCTCATCAAAGGACCCACAAACGCCTAGAGGAAGAGACCTGCCTTTGAGTTTCCTAGTCCTGCTAAAAAAAATCTCCCAGACAAGGGTCCCATCCCCCTAAAGGCAGGCAAAAAATGGAAGAAAAGAAGCAAAGAGGAAGTCTGCCACCTTAGTCTCTATCTGTCATGGACCATATTCTGTGTGGCCTGACTCTATTGCTGCTGGGGGCAGGTCTCCCACAGAGGAAGACTCTTCTCAGTATTGCAGCCATTTGTGAAGGGGTTAACCTGACTTCTTCCTCCTCAGGGAAAGTATCATAGACTTCTGGGATGATCTGTGAAAACTTCCTGAAATGAGGACCTGAGTTCTTATGATAAAAGGGTTCTGGAAAAGACTAGCTCTTTGGGAGTAGATATCAGCATACCTCTGGACTGTTGTCCTGGATCTTGAATCCACTGCCTCGGTTTCATTTCTGGACTCTGGCCGTGCTCCTGTAACCCTGATTTGGACTCTGTTGTATCCTGAATCATTGACTCTTAAGTTCTGGACTGACTTCTTGGCTTGATTTATGGACTTCGGTTTGGATATCTGCCTATCCGGCTTGACTTTTGAACTCTGACTTTGATTTGTATTCTTGCATTCTTAGTTGTTATATTATGAACTCTGATGAATGAACTCCTGGCACCTGACAGTTGGACTGTAACCTTGGCTGTTGCTTATTCTTGTTCCTTATCTATCTCCATAGTACTTGGCTTGTCTGCATTAACTGGACTCTTAACCTCGCTTTGTATGCTGTCATTGTATGTTCTTTTGGTCATGGGTGGTCTGTGTGCTAGGTCTGGTCCAGGTCCGTCATTCGTGGGGGTTGCAGTGGTCAGTGGGAGGTGAATTGGGTGAAGGTACTGAATATCCCATTGTCTGTGGTCCACCCTCCCCCAAACCGCACCAGGTTGTGAAGTGGGTCATGGGTCTGTGTGGCAAGTTTGGTCCTGGTCCGTGGGGGTCGCAGTGGACTGTGGGAGGCAAATCAGGTGAAGGTACTGCATCTCCGTGGTCTGTCTTCCCCCAAAATGCACCAGGACGTAAAGTGGGTCATAGCGGTCTGTGTGGCAAGTTTGGTCCAGGTCCATCATTGTTTGGGGTCACAGGGGTCTCTGGAACTGCAAATCCCATCATCCATGGCAAGTATGGTCTAGATCCATCATTGGTTGGGTTCACATCTAAGAATGCCCCCTGCAATGCTCCTTAGGAAGTCATTCTTTAATTTTCGTACACTCACCCAATTTGTAGCCTTTTCCCAAGATAGGAAGTGACCCCCAACCACTTCCTGTTTGCTAAAATGGCCCACATTGGCCAAGAACCACTCTCCTTGCAAGGTCATTCATTTATTCCTCATTTTAAAGTCTTTTTCAAAACAGGAAGTGGTCTGGAGTCATTCCTGTTTTCTAAAAATGGTCCAAATTGGTAAAAAGTCATCCAAAAATGCCCCCTTTCCACATTCCTTAGGAAGTCTTTCTTCGAAATTGCCCAAACTGGCCACGGGCAATTCAAAAATGCCCCCAGGGTCTTTAGGAGGTCATTCGTCAATTTCCTTAAAATTGCCCAAATTTCAGGCTTTTTCCAAGGAAGGAAATGGTCAAAGGCGGTCCAAAAATGCCCCCTTCCCACATTCCTTGGGAAGTTTTTCTTCAATTCCTCAGGATAGCTGACAATTGTAGGAAGTGACCAAGGACTTTTTCCTGTTTGAGAAAAACCACCCAAATTGGCCAAAGGTCACACCCTTTAGCAGGTAGTTCCGCAATTCACCCAATTTTAGACTTTTCCCCAAAACAGGAAGTGACCTGGATCCACTTTCTGTTTGCTCAAAATCCTTACCTTTGGTACTGAAGGCTGAGGTCTTGAGAGAGTGCAACGGCGTCAATTGAATCTGGGCCGAAGGGCTCCTGGGGATTAAAATATATGTATATAAATATAAATTTATTGGGGTGAAAATATATATAATATGCATATTATATTAAAGTATTAAGTTAAAATAGATTAAATTATAATAAATACTAGCTTTGGAACCTGGAGGTGCCTGGGTTATTTGAGAAAGACATTGTTTGTTTTTGGATGTGAGGTAATATAACTTACCACTATTTATAAGAAAAGCGCCTGTCTTTGCTTTTGTTTTGTATTAATGTTCGCATTAGAAATTGCATAAGGATGTGGATGAACTATAACTCCCAGATTCACAGGAAAATCACCTGCCCGTATTCACAGTAGGCCATGTTGGGTCTGTGCTAAGTTTGGTCCAGGTGTAAAGTGCGTCATGGAGAGTCCGTGTGGTAAATTTGGTCCAGGTCTGTCGTTTGTGGGGGATGTAATAGTCTCTGGAAGTGATTGAAGGTACTGCAAATCCATCATCCATGGCAAGTGTGGTCCAGATCCATCCTTGGTTGGGTTCACAGTGCTCTCTGGATGTAGGTGTACTGCAACTCCCATAACTCAAGATCAATTTTCCCCAAACCTCTTGTTCAGTTGTTGATTAATTCCTCTTTTGCTGTGTGCCATAGAAAAGGGTAGGAAAGAGTTAAGGGAAAGGCAGTCGGTGGGTTCATGCAAATTTCACAGCATTGGAAAGAGTAAGGAACCCTGAGATGTCCATTCTGGAGGAAAAGCAGAACATCTAGGTTCTGAAAGAAAAACAGAACATCTCAGTTCGGCCCTATGTCCCAGCAACAAAACTGAGACTGAATCCAACCAATTAAACCGAGATTTGTTGGTTCTTTTGTTCTTAGAGTACGAGTGCCTTACTGAAAGTCTAAGCCGCCTTGGAGAGCTATTAAATCAATTAAATGACTCACAAACACCAAAAAGAGACTCTATGGACATACCACGGGCAAAATGCTCATTTGGTGAATGTTGCCCTTTTGGGGTTAATCCTGGTGGCACTTGTCCATGGTCAAACCAGAAACCTGGGAAGGCCACCGGGGCAGACCCGCCTCAATGGATGGAAGTTGAGCCATTGGACATTTCTGCGATTCTGCAGAAAGATCCAAGGACGATCACCAAAAGACCAAGAGCCGGAAGATCACCACAGACGTCGTTGTCTTCCTTTGTCTGAAAGACAAACTCAGATTAAGGCCTTGAAAATGGCGCCTGGTGTGGGGATTGTTAAAGGGGAATCGTCCTCCCTATGGTTAAGTCCCAAAGAGAAACAGCACAGGCATAAATGTCGTACGAGAAAGACACACAAACACCACTGTTCTGTCACCGCTGGAGCCGAAATTAAATGCTTCTAAAAGAGGATGCAAGGCTTGCGTCCAGCGGGAAGCCCGGGGGCCCGAGAAAGAACCTTTAGAGGAATTTCTCCTATTAAACAGGCTTTAGGAGACTTAAGCTTAAATACAACAGTCTTTATTAATGAACAAGCAGGAATTGTAAAATTTCTAAATAGTCTATTGGCTTTTGCAGTCTTGTTTGCAGGAAACAGGCACTATCTTCAAGAAACTTTGTTTAACAGAAAAAAATCCCCTTTAAAGCTCCTCCCAGGCTGCTGTGAACTTAAACCCGACTGGTTTGGGTCTGCTACCGGCTGAACTGCATCTCAGACCCGAACAGACGTACCACCAGGCTTGAAATCACTTAGCTGAAGATGAAGAGCTGTTATTCCCTCCGGAGGTCCTCAGGGCTGTGAAGCTGTTCCCTGGAACCCTTTGGGAATCTGTAGAGGCCTTCAATCTGTTCTTCCCCAGGAAGTCTTAAAAGATGAAGCCTTTTCATAGGAGGAACGTCTGTACGCATCCTCTGCCTTGGCTTCCCTTGCTGTGACTAACTGAAAAATGGCCCCTTCCCTCCAAAAGGCAAAAAGGGGGCGGGACCAGGGATCCTAACTATAATTGGCAGGTGGCTTACCCTATAAATGCAAATTATAACAGGAAACCCCCTGCTGCAAAATCCCAAGCATGGGATTGCACACAAACATTTAAACACAGCAAATAAATCTGGAGCTCCTGGAACATCCGTTCCAGAACAACCACCTAGGAAAAGGCCCTACTTCCGGTGAGGAGATCTCCAAAAGAACTGCTCCTGAGGGGAATCCATCTGAAGCAGCAACTTCCGGTGGGAGTTCCCCTGGAGATGTCTTCGGCTGAAGAATGGATGGAGGCAGGCCCGTAGTCAGGATTTTGTTTCGGGGGCGGGGGGGGGGGGGGTGGGGGGGGCTGAGTCTGAGTGAAAGAGGGTCTACCCTAGCAAACCTTTTGTATCGTTACCCCAATACCCCCATGCATATGGGATATATTGAGTATAGTGATCAGATCATGATATGAATAAACATAGCAGTTTAAATAATGCACCAGTAAGGCCTTCTCGCGACCACCATCAGAATTTCGAGGGGGGGGTAAAACCCCCTGAGCCCTCCCCCCCAGCTACATGCCTGCTCTGAGGGGGCCAATCCTGAGAAAAATATCAGGGAAGCTCCAACTCAGGATGCCCTAGTGAGTAAGATCGCGTCTGGTGGGCGGTTTCTGCAAAGGCGGAGAACACTTCTGCCGACATACAGAACAAAGAAATGCACGGAAGTCAATGATTTGAACAAGTATCGGAAAGAGCTACAAGACCTAGTCCATCAAAACACAGAGCCCAGCAGAAAGGCTACAAAACCAGAACCTTTTGGGGGGCTGGTTTTGGGGCCGGGACAAGAATGCCGAAGTCATCTTCAACACAGGATGAATATCTCTCCAGTTAGGGCTACTATTAACACAAACAGGTAAGATAGGGCCACAGAGGAGGGTCATTCTAAAAACCCAGCTGTTAGGGGCTTGTCCCCTCGGAGCAATGGAACACCTGCACGCCCTAAACGACGTTTAGGAGACTTAGCTTTTACTCCAGCTCCGCTGTGCCCACAGGTTGGTGCCCAAAATCATACCCTCTCAGGCCTTGCATCATTCCTTTTTCCGGAGGTGTTTCGAACATCCGGCACCTAACTGATATTACAGACGAACCCAATACTGGGAGGATGATCCCAGTAATTATTGGGAGAGGGATATATGAGAATGATAGCGTGCTGGTCTCTAAAAAGAGACAAAGTCAGCGACAGATTTGGCTTCCATCTGTTCTATGTGATATTCCCAAACACGAGAACGAGAACCCTTCTTCGTCCCCCTTGACCTTGCAACTGATCAACGCTAGGTCAGTGGTGAACAAAACAGCGACCCTTCGAGACTTTATTCTTGATCAGAAGACAGATGTAGTATGCATTACAGAAACCTGGAAACGAGAAGGAGATAATATTCCCTCGTATGAACTAACACCTTCAGGTTTCCAGATGCTTCAAAGATCTTGAAAGGGGGGTCGAGGAGGGGGGTGGGTGGGAATAGTAGCCTGCGATCATTTCTCCATTAGAACTATTCCTATCCCAGATATTATGGGTATCGAATGTATAGGTTTGACATTGGCTACTAGAGAAAGTGTGACTATCCTCTTAGTTTATCGGGCCCCTGGAAGTAAGCGTCTTCTGATTTCCTGGCCACAGTCTGCATTTGCAGTAATCTTTGCACCTAGAAATACAAAGTCTGTCACGGCCTCCACTTTCTCCCTCTATTTTCCAGTTGTCAATCATTCTTGTTGCCATAATCTTGGTTTTTTTGATGTTTAACTGCAACCCAGCTTTTGCGCTTTCTTCTTTCACCTTGATTAGAAGGCTCCTCAGCTCCTCCTCGCTTTCGGCCATCAAAGTGGTGTCATCTGCATATCTGAGGTTGTTAATGTTTCTTCCAGCAATTTTCACCCCAGCTTTGCATTCATCAAGCCCCGCACATCGCATGATGTGTTCTGCATACAAGTTAAAAAGGTTGGGTGAGAGTATGCAGCCTTGCCGTACGCCTTTCCCAATCTTGAACCAGTCTGTTGTTCCGTGGTCAGTTCTTACTGTTGCGACTTGGTCCTTGTACAGATTCCTCAGGAGAGAGACAAGGTGGCTTGGGATGCCCATCCCACCAAGAACTTGCCACAATTTATTATGATCCACACAGTCAAAGGTTTTAGAGTATAGTCAATGAAGCAGAAATAGACGTTTTTCTGAAACTCCCTGCCTTTCTCCCTAGATATAGTTGCCCCTAAATGGGCTCTTCGCCCTTGCCGGAATAGATCTCCATGGTTCACAGATGCATTACATCAGATGAAACTTGAGCGGAAGAGATTAGAACATAAATGGCACAAGAAACCTGATGAAACATCGAAGTCGGCTTTCGAAATACATCGAAAAATCTATGAAGCAGCCACCAGAGAGGCCAAAAAAGAATATAATTCCTCATTGATAGCTTCTGCCAGATCTCGACCTGCTCAAATATTTAAAATTGTTCGTAACATCACAAATCCAACCCATCCGGCCAAAAATATGGCTAGTCAAGTTATTACAGCATTTATATTGTGTAAATGCTATTTTAAATTGTAAGTCGCTCGGAGCACCTTGGTGGAGAGCGAATAATTAAGAAATAAAGTGAAGTGAAGTGATATATTTATTATTATTATTTGAAACACAACAGGAGTCCACAGCAGACACTCTGCTGGCTGTTGAATTGGATCACATGTCAGACACTTCCCAAGTGTCTAGGACAGTGTTTCTCAACCTGAGGGTCGGGACCCCTGGGGGGGTCGCGAGGGGGTGTCAAAGGGGTCACCAAAGACCATCAAAAACAGTATTTTCTGTTGATCATGGGGGTTCTGTGTGGGAAGTTTGGCCAAATTGTATCATTGGTGGGCTTCAGAATGCTCTCAGATTGCAGGTTGTTCTGGTACAGCTGTACCAGGAGCTCCAATTTTGTTTGTTTTGCATTGTATGTTTGTTGCAGTCCTAAGTTTCAGGGACTCTGCAGATAGGTGGCTTCTTTTGGCTGCAATCATAGGGCAAGCCACCTGTTAATTATAGTTAGGTTCCCTGGTCCCACCCCTTTTTGGGTTTTTGGAGGGAATAGGAGCCTTTTTGAGTTCAGTCCACACAGAGAAGCCTTTTGCACAGGACATAATACCAAGAGCTCCTGTAGAAAGCTTCGTCTTCTACAGCTTGGCCGGGGAGAAAGGTCCCGTAGCTTGGCCGAGGATTATACAGCCTTACAGCTCCTTTGCTGAGGGACTTCAGCCAGCCATCACCGAAACCTGAACTCCTTTTTCCTCTGGAAGTCTACAAAGCTTTATCTGGTAAGGGTCACTCGCGGAAGCCAGGAGCAGTTGGTACCGGGTGCAGGGGCTCCACACCAACAGAGGCAAAGACAGACTGCCCAGATTAGAAGTTAAGGATTTCCCCATTAGTTACAGTTAAGAAGATAGTCCCTGTTCCCTGTGGACAAGATTGAAAGAGCCAATAGACTGTTAAGAAAGCCTTAAAGTACCGGTTTGTTTTCATTAATAAAGAACTTTGTTGAACCTTTAAGCAATCTAAAGACCTTGTTTTAAAGAAATCCAAAGGCCTTTAATCTGAGGCAGCCCCGGCATCCCGTTGGGCACACAGAATTTATGTCTTGTCTACAGTCATATGCACAGGCCCAGTGTTCGACAGCACACAGGTGAACTATTTGTTCATTCGTTCAGTCGTCTCCGACTCTTTGTGACCTCACGGACCAGCCCACGCCAGAGCTCCCTGTCGGCCGTCACCACACCCAGCTCCTTCAAGGTCAGTCCAGTCACTTCAAGGATGCCATCCATCCATCTTGCCCTTGGTCGGCCCCTCTTCCTTTTGCCTTCCACTTTCCCCAGCATAATTGTCTTCTCTAGGCTTTGCTGTCTCCTCATGATGTGGCCAAAGTACTTCACTTTGTCTCTAGTATCCTTCCCTCCAGTGAGCAGTCAGGCTTTATTTCCTGGAGGATGGACTGGTTGGATCTTCTCGCAGTCCAAGGCACTCTCAGAACTTTCCTCCAACACCACAGTTCAAAAGCATCTATCTTCCTTCGCTCAGCCTTCCCTAAGGTCCAGCTCTCACATCCGTAGGTTACTACAGGGAATACCATGGCTTTGACTAGGTGAACTATAAATTCCAGCAACTATAACTCCCAAATGTCAAGGTCTATTTTCCCCAAACTCCACAAAGTGTTCACATTTGGGCACATTGAGTATTTGTTCCAAGTTTGGTCCAGATCCATCATTGTTTGAGTTCACAGTGCTCTCTGGATGTAGGTGAACTACAACTCCCAAACTCAAGGTCAATGCCCACCAAACCCTTCCAGCATTTTCTGTTGGTCATGGGAGTTCTGTGTGCCAAGTCTGGTTCAATTCCATCGTTGGTGGAGTTCAGAATGCTCTTTGAATTTAAATGAACTATAAACCCTAGCAACTACAACTCCCAAATGACAACATAAATCCCCCCAACCCCACCAGTATTCAAATTTGGGCATATTATTTGTGCCAAATTTGGTCCAGTGAATGAAAATACATCCTGCATATCAAATATTTACATTATGATTCATAACATTAGCAAAATTATAGTTATGGAGCCGCAACACAAATAATGTTGTGGTTGGGGGGTCACCACAACATGAGGAACTGCATTAAGGGGTCACAGCATTAGGAAGGTTGAGAACCACTGGGCTAGAAGAAGCAAGGCACCTCCTCCTTCCCTCAGAGAGAGGGCTCCGCCTTGGCCACGCCTCCTTCGCCCCGGAGTCTTCTGATTGGCTCCCGCAGCCAGTCCCACCTCCCCATTCGGGCGCCATCTTGCGACCGGGCGGAAGTCTAGCGAGGAGGTGGAGAGGAAGAATGAGCAGGTAAAGTCCCTTCGGCAGGAGAGATTTACATGGCTATAGATCAGCCATGTGCAAACTTGGGCCCTCCAAGTGTTTTGGACTTCAACTCCCATAATTCCTAAGAGCTTCAGTCCCCTTCGCTTAAGGTCCTGAGCCTGTTAGGAATTGTGGGAGTTGAAGTCCAAAACACTTGGAGGGAAGATCCAAGTTGACCCATGGCTGCGATAGATCTACATTTATGATATAATATAATACAAACAAAATAACTTTATCACTTTTATTTATTTATCGTGTCAGTGCAACCAGTCGATTATATTACATTTCTAACAGAACAAAGCAAAAAGAACAGACAAAATACAGAATTGTGAGTTTGGTAGTTGATTAAATGTCCTTTGACCAGTATCTGGCCACTTGGAGTGCCTCTGGTGTTGCCGCAAGAAGGTCCTCCATTGTGCATGTGGCAGGGCTCAGGTTGCATTGCAGCAGGTGGTCAGTGGTTTGCTCTTCTCCACTCGCATGTCGTGGATTCCACTTTGTGGCCCCATTTCTGAAGATTGGCTCTGCATCTCGTGGTGCCAGAGCGCAGTCTGTTCAGCGCCTTCCAAGTCGCCCAGTCCTCTGTGTGCCCAGGGGGGAGTCTCTCATTTGGTATCATCCATTGGTTGAGGTTCTGAGTTTGAGCCTGCCACTTTTGGACTCTCGCTTGCTGAGGTGTTCCAGCGAGTGTCTCTGTAGATCTTAGAAAACTATTTCTAGATTTAAGTCGTTGACGTGCTGGCTGATACCCAAACGGGATGAGCTGGAGATGTCTCTGCCTTGGTCCTTTCACTATTGGCTGCTACTTCCCGGCGGATGTCAGGTGGTGCAATACCGGCTAAGCAGTGTAATTTCTCCAGTGGTGTAGGGCGCAGACACCCCGTGATAATGCGGCATGTCTCATTAAGAGCCACATCCACTGTTTTAGTGTGGTGAGATGTGTTCCACACTGGGCATGCATACTCAGCAGCAGAGTAGCACAGCGCACGGGCAGATGTCTTCACTGTATCTGGTTGTGATCCCCAGGTTGTGCCAGTCAGCTTTCGTATGATATTGTTTCTAGGTAAAGGTTGTCCCCTGACATTAAGTCCCATCATGTCTGACTCTGGGGTGTGGTGCTCATCTCCATTTCTAAGCCGAAGAGTGCTCTGCTATGCTCCATCGGGTGCTCTGCTATGCTCCATAGACACCTCCAAGGTCATGTGGCCGGCATGACTGCATGGAGCGCCGTTACCTTCCCGCCGGAGCGGTACCTATTGATCTACTCACATTTGCATGTTTTCGAACTGCTAGGTTGGCAGAAGCTAGGGCTGACAGCGGAAGCTCATACCGCTCCCCGGAATCGAACCTGCGACCTTTCGATCAACAAGCTCAGCAGCTCAGTGCTTTAACCCACTGCGCCACCGGGGACTCCTTCTATTTGTTTCTAGCACCCACTTTTTGCTTGATGTTCAGGCAGTGCTTCTTGTAGGTAAGAGCACGGTCCAGAGTGACTCCCAGGTATTTGGGTGCGCTGCAATGCTCCAGTGGGATTCCTTCCCAGGTGATCTTCAGAGCTCGGGATGCTTCTCTGTTCTTGAGATGAAAGGCACATGTCTGTGTTTTAGATGGGTTGGGGATCAGCTGGTTTTCCCTGTAATAGGCAGTGAGAGCACCTAGAGATTCGGAAAGCTTCTGTTCTACCATCTCAAAGCTCCCTGCTTGAGCAGTAATGGCACGATCATCAGCATAGATGAAGCTTTATCACTACCATAAATGTAATAGTAAATGACATAAAGTAACAAAATAAAATAATAAGGATCAGTAGCCTATAGTAATCATATTATTACCAGCTTGGAGACCCAGCAGTGCCTGGGTTATATGGAAAAGGCATTGTCTGTTTTGGGGTCTAGTGACACTATTTAATAGTAACACTACTGATAATGTATTGTCGAAGGCTTTTATGGCCGGAATCACTGGTTTTTTGGCCTATATGGCCATGTTTATTTATTTATTTAAAAGTTTTATATACCGGCCTTCTCACCTCTCTTGAGGGACTCAGACCGGTTTCCAACCATAATATCACATACAATCAATAAAACATCATAATACATATTACAGTAAAACATTAAAACAGCAATTACAATCAATAACTATAATGGTCAGTCGTCACACTAAAATCGTTGCTCATCATCCTCCATCCATATCTCAGGGTGTTGGCTCAGTCGTCGAATGCCTGTCTCCATAACCAAGTCTTCACCTGTTTCCTAAATGTCAGGATAGACAGGGCGGTTTTGATCTCCAGTGGGAGAGAGTTCCAGAGTCGAGGGGCCACCACCGAGAAGGCCCTGTCCCTCGTCCCAACCAGGCGCGCTTGTGAGGCCGGTGGGACCGAGAGCAGGGCCTCTCCAGACGATCTTAATAATCTTGGTGGTACGTAGGGGAGAATACGTTCGGAGAGGTAAACAGGGCCGGAGTCGTTTAGGGCTTTATAGGTTAACACCAGCACTTTGAATTGTGCTCGGAAGCTAATTGGCAGCCAGTGGAGCTGGTGTAACAGCAGAGTGGTGTGCTCCCTGTACCCAGCACCCGTTAGTAGCCTGGCTGCCAAGCGTTGGACTAGCTGCAGCTTCCAGGCAGTCTTCAGAGGCAACCCCACGTAGAGAACATTGCAGTAGTCTAAACGGGATGTAACCAAAGCATGGACCACCGTGGCCAAGTCAGACTTCCCAAGGTACGGGCGCAGCTGGCGCACAAGTTTTAATGTTCTAGAGACATTCTCTCCTGACGTTTCACCTATATCTATGGCAAGCATCCTCAGGGGTTGTAAGGTCTGTTGGAACTAGGAAAATGGGTTTATATATCTGTGGAATGACCAGGATGGGACAAAGAACTCTTATCTGTTGGGGCTAGGTGTGAATGTTTCAACTGACCACCTTGATTAGCATTTGATGGCCTGGCAGTTGTTTGGTGTGGCTTGTTAGTGCCTGGGGGGATCTTTTGTTGAGAGGTGATTAGATGTGCCTGATTGTTCCCTCTCTGTTGTTTTGCTGTTGTAATTTTAGAGTTTTAATACTGGTAGCCAGATTTTGTTCATTTTCATGGTTTCGTCCTCTATGTTGAAATTGTGCACATGCTTGTGGATTTCAATGGCTTCTCTGTGTAGTCTGACATGGTGGTTGTCAGAGTGGTCCAGCACTTCTGTGTTCTCAAATAATATGCTGTGTCCAGGCTGGTTCATCAGGTGCTCTGCTATGGCTGACTTCTCTGGTTGGAGTAGTCTGCAGTGCCTTTCATGTTCCTTGATTCGTGTTTGGGCAATGCTGCGTTTGGTGGTCCCTCTGTAGACTTGTCCACAGCTGCATGGTATACGGTAGACTCCTGCAGAGGTGAGAGGATCCCTCTTGTCCTTTGCTGAATGTAGCATTTGTTGGATTTTCTTGGTGGGTCTGTAGATAGTTTGTATGTTGTTTTTCCTCATCAGCTTCCCTATGCGGTCAGTGGTTCCCTTGAGGTATGGCAGGAACACTTTTCCTCTGGGTGGATCTGTTGTAGAGCAATTTAGAATGGCTGAACCCTCATGACCAACAGAAAATACTGTGTTTTCTGATGGCCTTTGGCGACCCCTCTGACATCCACTCGGGTCCCGACCCACAGGTTGAGAAACACTGATCTAGACACTATGCTCCTATTGATGCAGACCAAAATCCCATTAGAATCCTGCCAAAGAAGAGAATTAGGTTGGATAATCTGGCCCCATTATAAAGAAATAATAAAGAAAGAAGGTGAATAAATAATTCTAAAAACACAACAGGAAATAAAATTTCATATCCAAATATGACCTGGTTTCAATACAGACAGATTCAGGAACATTTTATCAAAGATAAAAAATTAGGATTTGTGATAGAAGAAAGTAGTTGGGATAGAATAATGAGGACAGAAAAAAACCCCGATATCTATACTATATAAAAAATAATTGGAATGGAGCACAGAAGAAGAAGGAATTAAAGAGTGTATGATAAAATGGGCAAAGAATATTGGAAGATCTATAGGATTAGATGAATGGGAGACCATATGGAATAAGAAATTGAAATATACGGGTGCCTATGATCTAAAACAGTGTTTCTCAACCTGGGGGTCAGGACCCCTGGAGGGTTCGCGAGGGGGTGTCAGAGGGGTCACCAAAGACCACCACAAAACACAGTATTTTCTGTTGGTTATTGAGATTCTATGTGGGAAGTTTGGCCCAATTCTATCGTTGGTGGAGTTCAGAGTGCCCTTTGATTGTAGGTGAACTATAAATCCCAGCAACAACTCCTCCCAAATGTCAAGGTCTATTTTCCCCAAACTCCATCAGTGTTCACATTTGGGCATATTGAGAATTCATGGCAAGTTTGGTCCAGATCCATAATTGTTTGAGTTCACAGTGTTCTCTTGATGTAGGTGAACTACAATTCCCAAAACTCAAGGTAAATGCCCACCAAACCCTTCCAGTATTTTCTGTTGGCCATGGGAGTTCTGTGCGCCAAGTTTGATTCAATTCCATCGTTGGTGGAGTTCAGAATGCTCTTTGATTGTAGGTGAACTATACATCCCAGCAACTGCAACTCCCACAGGACAAAATCAAGACCCCAATACTCCAATCCCACCAGTATTCAAATCTGGGTGTATTGGGTATTTGTGCCAAATTTGGTCCAGTGAATAAAATACATCCTGCATATCAGATATTTACATTACTATTCATAACAGCAGCAAAATGACAATTATGAAGTAGCAATTAAACTAATTTTATGGTTGGGGGTCACCATAACACGAGGAAGCATATGAAGGGGTCGTGGCATTAGGAAGGTTGAGAACCACTGATCTAAAAGAAAATTGGACAAAAATGCTCTATAGATGGCACATGACACCACATAAATTAGGGAGGTATTATAAGAATATAAATTCAAAATGTTGGAAATGTGGAGAAGTGGAAGGAACCTTCTACCATATGTGGTGGCAGTGCAAGAAAGCAAAACGATACTGGAAAATAATACAGGCAAATCTGCAAAAAATATTGAAGACTAACATACGACTTAAACCCAAAATACTTCTACTGGGAATTTCAGACCAAAACATTGAGAGTAATATAGACAAACTTTTATTCCTTTCCACAACCGCTGCTAGAATTTGTTATGCTAGATTATGGCGAAAAAAAGAAATACCCACAATTGATGAGTGGAAAAGGAAAATTATGGATGTAAGAAATAGGAATAATTATAGAACCGCCCCATAAATTCCAAAAATAAGGGAAAAAATGAAAGAGAAAAGGAAGGAAAATAGACAGAAGAAGGAAAAGGAAGAGGCCCTCCTCGAAGTTTCCTGGAAGTCGGACCGAAGAAAAAGAGAACTGTAGTTTTTGTTTTTTATTTTTATTTTGTATTTCTCTATTCTTTCTTTTCTCTCTCTCTCTCTCTTTCTTCTTCCTTCTCTTTCTCTACTCTTTTTTTCTTCTTCTACTACTTTGACTTCCTATTTTTCTTGGATTTTAAATCTTGCAACTAATCTTTCTTTTAAATTAATATGTATTATGAAAACATTCAATAAAGATTACACATATTTTAAAAAGATCATACGGGGAGGCCCTGCTCTTGGTTGCGTCAGCCTCGCAAGTGTGCTTGGCGGGGATGAGGGATGGCCTTCTCAGCGGTGACCCCACGGCTGTAGAACTCACTCCCCAGTGATTTGGCTTCTTCCTCCTTTTAGGAAGAAGGTTAAATCATGGCTCTGGGACCAGGTCTTTGGACAGCAAGCATGACAGCACCTTAGATGTTGAACTGTACTGAAGTTGGCTATATGATTGATGACAATGTTTTAACATGTTTTTAACTTAATATTTTATTTACTGTTTTAAACTGTTGTTGTTTGTGTTTATATTTGTATTGTATTGAGGCTTCGAAGGGCGGGATAGAAATATTGGAAATAAATAAATAAATAAAATAAATGAATGTGCTTCAAGTCCATTATCAAAAGGGGTCACGATGCTCTGCCTTGATGCAGGGTGAACTACAACTTCCATCCTTTTGAGTCAGTCCCCCAAACCCCTCCAGTATGTTCAGCTGTTGATCATAGAATCATAGAATCAAAGAGTTGGAAGAGACCTCATGGGCCATCCAGTCCAACCCCCTGCCAAGAAGCAGGAATATTGCATTCAAATCACCCCTGACAGATGGCCATCCAGCCTCTGTTTAAAAACTTCCAAAGAAGGAGCCTCCACCACACTCCGGGGCAGAGACTTCCACTGCTGAACGGCTCTCACAGTCAGGAAGTTCTTGTTTTTGATAAATCCATGTTGACTATTAGCGATGACCGCATTTGTTTCTAAGTGTTTGCAGACCACTTCCTTAACAATCTTTTCCAGAATCTTGCCTGGTATCGACGTGAGGCTGACCGGACGGTAGTTGTTTGGGTCATCCTTTTTTCCCTTCTTGAAGATTGGGACCACATTGGCCCTCCTCCAATCTGCTGGAACTTCTCCCGTTCTCCAAGAACTCTCAAAGATGGTTGCCAATGGTTCCGAAATGACTTCCGCTAGTTCCTTCAATACTCTGGGGTGTAGTTGATCTGGCCCTGGGGACTTGAACTCATTTAGAGTGGCCAGGTATTCCTGGACGACTTGTTTCCCAATTTGGGGTTGGATGTCCTCTAATCCCTCATCCACTCCATCTTGCTGAGGTTGAAGATGACTTTCTTTTTGTGAGAAGACCGAGGCAAAGAAGGCATTAAGTAGTTCTGCCTTTTCCCTATCCCCTGTCAGCATTGCCCCATCTTCTCCTCGAAGAGGCCCTATCGCCTCCTTGTTTTTCTTTTTCTACTGACATAAGAAAAGAAGCCCTTTTTATTGTTTTTAATGTCCCTGGCAAGCCTGAGCTCGTTTTGTGCTTTAGCCTTGCGGACCTTTTCCCTACAGGTGTTGGCTATTTGTTTGAATTCTTCTTTGGTGATTTCTCCCTTTTTCCACTTCTTGTGCATGTCTCTTTTGTGTCTCAGCACAGTTAGAAGTTCTTTGGACATCCATTCTGGCTTCTTTGCACTTGTCCTATTTTTTCTCTTTGTTGGCACAGTTTGCAATTGTGCCTTGAGTATTTCACACTTGAGAAATTCCCATCCATCCGTAACTCAATTCCTCTGTGTTTGCTGCGTGCCACAGGAAAGGGTAGGAAAGGTTTATGGGAGAGGCAGTGGGTGGGGTGGGAGTCATGGAAATTCCACACCAATGGAGAAAGAAAGGAACCATGGGGTGCCTGCCTGTGGTGGATGAAACACGTCAAATCTTGGATCAAATTCTCAAGATATAAGACTTAAAGAATGGGGAAAGTAAAGAGACAGAACATAAACAGGACAAAGTCTTAAAATACGAAATCAGTGATGAAACAACCACTAAGGAGTAGATGGAACTCAGTAACAAAATTCTTTTGTCATTTTTACCTCTTTTCTCTTCCCTTTCTTCTCTCTTGTTTCCAGCTTTTCTTTGCTCTTTCTTCCTTATCCTTCTCTCTATCTTTGTTCCTTTAAATGTTTTATTGTAATGCAAAACCAATGTTTTTGTTCCTAATAAAAACTTTGGATGAAATCGTCCCAGATGAAAGCATTCTTTGGCTGGTGGGCCGTAGTGTTTGGGGAAGACATTGTCAGCGTTTAGGCTACTTGTCCATGGCGGTCACTATAACCTGCAGAGCACAACATAAAAATGGCAGACATTCAATGCCATGACATAAATAAATTATACACATACATAAGCATAAAAATAATTTATCTCGACATTAAAATCCACTGTATAATGGATTTCATTGATACTGTGAGTGATCCATTAAGAAGTCGGCCATCTTGGATATTGGCAGGAGGGATATATTGAGAGGGCGGCCATCTTCGGTATTGGGAAAGGATGGCCATCTTCGATATTGAGATACATGAATAAGTCGGCCAACTTGGATATTAGTAGAAGGGAGAATTCATTGAGAAGTCAGCCATCTTTATTATTGGGATTCATTAAGTAGGCGGCCATCCTGGATATTGGGAGAATAAAGGATATATGAAGAAGGTGGCCATCTTGGATATTAGGAGAATGATACATTAATAAGTCATCCATCTTGGATATTGGGAAAGGGCAGTCATCTTGCATATTGGGAGAAGAAATATGGAGAGGGCAGCCATATTGAATATCGAGAGAGGAAGGGATAGATTAATAAATCTGGTTTTCCTCTCATTCGTCTGGCAGGTAACCTCTGAATGCACCTTGTGAAGAAGACCCTATGGGAGCTTTGCCATACAGATGCCGTGGGACTGAAATGAAGGCTCACTGCACTGGAAAGAATGAGGAATAAGTAGGAGAAAGACATATTTCAAGCGACATCCTTGGAGGAAAGGGAGGCTTGTGCTGTTAAAAGAGGGTTTGGGGAAAGAGACCAGAAGGCTACGGCAATGTGAAGGCTGAGAAGAGGAAATCCTGTGGTGTTCACAGAGTTCATATCTGTGAACTTTTGGCATAATATTTGAACCATAAATTAAAAAGAATGGAAAATCTCCATCCCTGTTCCACATCACGTACAGGGGAGAAGCTGCATAAGTGTATGGACTATGGGAAACATCAACACACTCATACAGGAGAGAAGCCATATATATGCATGGAATGTGGAAAGAGCTTCAGTCGGAGTGGAGATCTGTGTTGTCATCAAAGGCCCCACACAGGGGAGAAGCCGTATCAATGCATAGAATGTGGAAAGAGTTTCAATTGGAGTGGATACTTGTGTTCCCACCAAAGGACCCACACAGGGGAAAAGCCATATCAATGCATGAAATGTGGAAAGAGTTTCAGTTTGAGTGGACACCTGCATTCCCACCAAAGGACCCACACAGGGGAGAAGCCACATAAATGCATGGAGTGTGGAAAGAGCTTCAATGAGAGTGGACAGCTGCATTCCCATGAAAGGACCCACACAGGGGAGAAACCATATCAATGCATGGAATGTGGAAAGAGCTTCAGTTTGAAGGTAAACCTGCATTCCCATCAAAGGACCCACACAGGGGAGAAACCTTATCAATGCATGGAATGTGGTAAGAGCTTCAGTCAGAGTGGACACCTTAGTTCCCATCTAAGGTCCCACACAGGGGAGAAGCCATATCAATGCATGGAATGTGGAAAGAGATTCAGTCACAGTGGACATCTGCGTTCCCATCAAAGGACCCACACAGGGGAGAAGCCACATCAATGCATGGAATGTGGGAAGAGCTTCAGTCAGAGTGGACACCTTCGTTCGCATCTAAGGTCCCACACAGGGGAAAAGCCGTATCAGTGCATGGAATGTGGAAAGAGCTTCAGTCACAGTGGACATTTGCATTCCCATCAATGGACCCACACAGGGGAGAAGCCACATCAGTGCATGGAATGTGGAAAGAGCTTCAGTCACAGTCGAGATCTGCATCGCCATCAAAGGACCCACACAGGGGAGAAGCCACATCAATGCATAGAATGTGGAAAGAGTTTCAGCGATGGTGGAGCTCTGTATCGCCATCAAAGGACCCACACAGGGGAGAAGCCACATCAATGCATGGAATGTGGAAGGAGCTTCAGTCAGAGTGCACATCTGCGTTCTCATCAAAAGACCCACACACGGCTAGAGGAAGAGATCTGCCTTTGAGTCTCCTAGTTCTGCTCAGAAAAACCAATCCCCCAGACAAGGGTCCCATCCCCCCACAGGCAGGCAAAGAATGGGAGAATGGATGCAAAGAAGAAGGCTACCACCGTACTCTCTATCTGTCATGGATCATAGTCTGTGTGACCTGACTTGATTGCTGCTAGGGGCAGGTCTTCCACAGACGAGGACTCTTCTCAGTATTACAGCCATTTCTGAAGGAGTTAACCTGACTTCTTCCTCCTCAAGGAAAGGCCGCCAGCCTGTGTAGATATTCCACCAATAAATATAAAGGCCACCATAAAATGTAAAGGAATGAATCTGTCAGGCGAGGGTGTTTTAAATATCTTTGCCACCTTTTTCCGTTCACGAGCCTTGATTATTTGAGACTCTGCTTAAGGCGAAACAGTAACTGTTGGTTTATTTATATCCTTCGAGTTACATAAGTGATGGTTTCAAGACTATATATACAGTATGGACTTCTGGTGGGCAATGATGGCGACAGGCTGGATTTGCTGAGGGGTCTCAGTAGGTCAAACCGCTTTTGCTGATCGGGTAAAGCTTTTAGCTCCCCTCTCTCTGTGGATCAAGCCGGAGAGGGATGCCAAGTCGGCAGGAACTTTCCTACGATCCCAAGAACCCTTTTCCCCCAAGGGAGAGGGTCGAGAGGGTCCGGAGGTTCCAAGACAAGGCGGGAAGCGGGTTAAAATATCCGCAATCACTGTCTGCCCTGCCCATTTTAAATTAAAAGAAACAAGATAGAAAACAAAGAAGAGACTGTAGTGGATCCTAAGCGGAACACGTAAGTCTCCCTCAAGACAGAATAAGTTCTCTTCCTTCTGAGATAATGGGACAAATCTAAAAGATAAGAAGGAAAAGGTGAAATTGAAGGAGGGTTGCACCAAGGAGAGGTAAAGTGTAATTGCTGGGAGAGAAAAGGAGTAGTAGAAGAGTGGACTGAATGAAATGGAAAGAATTTTATGATTTTGATGAAATCCGGCCCAAAAATTAATGAATTAATATAAAAAAGATCAATTTCTAAATAATTACAATCAATTAATTATCGGGTATATTTTATATAATGAAGCAACTAAACTGAAGTATTGAATTAGAAACTTAAAGCTAGAAAACATAGTATTGTGGGGTAAAAGAAACACAGGGAAACTGACCTTGAAAGCCAGTTTCCCTGTGATTCTTTTACCCCACAATACTAGTTGCTTCTGTGACTAGAGACGGGTTTTATGAGAGTGGAGGCCAGGGTGTGGGTGGCCATACTCAACCTCTGGCTCAGACTATCCCTTTGGTCTTGCCCCACTAACCATGGAGGATGACTTCCAATCCACATGAAGCAGGCGGTAGCATCCAAAATCTCCTCATTGGGGTTTTCTCCAGGTCTACTATTCGCTATGGATTACAATCAAGCCAAAGCACGTATTAAACAACGTATCACAGACACAGAGCGACAACTAGATCAGGCCTCGGTTCCAACCTTCCTTATCAATGAAGACAGCAGATATCTTGCCTCCCCTATGGCATATTTAACAAACTTAGAGGTTCCCATTCATCGAAGGGCTTTCACCCTGGCTCGATGCCACGCTCTCCCATCAGCTGTACTCGAAGGCCGCTACCGGAAGATCCCTTTCCCAGAGAGACTCTGCCCCTGTGACTCGGGTCATGTAGAAACAATAGAACATGTGCTCCTTCAGTGCCCGTTCTACAGGGATCACAGAATCATAGAATCAGAGTTGGAAGAGACCTCATGGGCCATCCAGTCCAACCCCCTGCCAAGAAGCAGGAATATTGCATTCAAATCACCCCTGACAGATGGCCATCCAGCCTCTGTTTAAAAGCTTCCAAAGAAGGAGCCTCCACCACACTCTGGGGCAGAGAGTTCCACTGCTGAACGGCTCTCACAGTCAGGAAGTTCTTCCTCATGTTCAGATGGAATCTCCTCTCTTGTAGTTTGAAGCCATTGTTCCGCGTCCTAGTCTCCAGGGAAGAGAAAACAAGCTTGCTCCCTCCTCCCTGTGACTTCCTCTCACATATTTATACATGGCTATCATATCTCCTCTCTCTTCTTCAGGCTAAACATGCCCAGCTCCTTAAACCGCTCCTCATAGGGCTTGTTCCAGACCCTTGATCATTTTAGTTGCCCTCCTCTGGACACATTCCAGCTTGTCAATATCTCTCTTGAATTGTGGTGCCCAGAATTGGACACAATATTCCAGGTGTGGTCTAACCAAAGCGGAATAGAGGGGTAGCATGACTTCCCTAGATCTAGACACTATGCTCCTATTGATGCAGGCCAAAATCCCATTGGCTTTTTTTGCCGCCACATCACATTGTTGGCTCATGTTTAACTTGTTGTCCACGAGGACTCCAAGATCTTTTTCAATACGTAGCCAGGCATCTCCCATTCTGTATCTTTGCATTTCGTTTTTCCTGCCAAAGTGGAGTATCTTGCATTTGTCCCTGTTGAACTTCATTTTGTTAGTTTTGGCCAATCATCTCTCTAATCTGTCAAGATCATTTTGAATCCTGCTCCTGTCCTCTGGAGTATTGGCTATCCCTCCCAATTTGGTGTCGTCTGCAAACTTGATGATCCTGCCTTCTAAGCCTTAATCTAAGTCATTAATAAAGATGTTGAACAGGAACGGGCCCAGGACGGAACCCTGCGGCACTCCACTTGTCACTTCTTTCCAGGATGAAGAGGAAGCATTGGGGAGAATTACCTCTGGGTTCGTTCATTTAACCAATTACAGATCCACCTCACCATAGTTTTGCCTAGCCCACATTGGACTAGTTTGTTTGCCAGAAGATCATCGGGGATCTTGTCGAAGGCCTTACTGAAATCCAGGTACGCTACATCCACGGCATTCCCCGCATCTACCCAGATTGTAACTCTATCGAAAAAAGAGATCAGATTAGTCTGGCAATAGATATGCCAAAAAGGCACCCAAAGCAAACATTCAGTAATGATAAAGTAATTGTATACTTTCCAATAAGATAATTACATGCATGTTATTACTTACATTATCTGTCGCACCTCAGAGTAGAATCACCTTGCTTCAGACACCAAACAGCACACAAGCAATAGTCTTTATAGTTTATTAAAGTAAAAGATAAAGTTCAAAAAAAGGCAAAAGTATAGTCCAAAGATCAATATATGATAACACTGGAAAACAGGATCCACGAAGACACAAGCAAGGCAAATTCCCATGAGAACATGACAAAGTCCTGAAACCATGAACATGAAAACCGCAAGGTAAATCCTAAGACTTGGCTGAAGCGAGAAGTTGCTCTGACACTGGGGTATTTTCAAACAGCCTGTTTAATACCCTTTGGAAAACATGAAGGCGTTCCTCTGGGCCTTGGCCTCCCTCTCTCTCTTGCTAGCGATTCTCACACTTTTTCAAACCTTAAATTCCAAGCTATCAGCTCGATCTAAAGCTCCGGCCTCATCAAGGTCAATCTGCTCATTATCTGGCTGAGAACAATTGTCCTCCCTTCCTGAATCAGAATACACCTGGCTCTCAGTAGTTTCATTATTGACAACGTCATTCCTTGCTATGGGAATCAACTGAACTTCTGTACCCTGCTGTTCCTCGTCTATCACAGAGACATCGCTTTGTACCTTACTGTGAATCTGAATCCCATCATCCTCATCAGAATCACTGACACTATCACTCTGAGATTCCAGCTGAGTCACAACATTATCTACAGTATGAAGCTGGCCCTACAGTTAGGTTTTGATAGTGAGCAATGCAATTACACAGAAGTAAGGATTTAAAGGCAGGGCTAATTGCAAGACAGTCAGCTGAAGTGTAAATTTCAAGCAGATAAAGTGGATAATGTTGCTTATTACAAAAAACAGCTGAGATCCAGTCTATCATTCAGGCCAGTAGGAAACACTGTATTTAACTTAAAATCCAAAAAACTTCCCTTTGCAAAAGATAATTCTTAGTGTCCACGTGTGGCTTAGTGTGGATTTTTTCTATAATTAACAATATGAAGTTGGTAAATGTATGTCCTTTTCCCAGAAAATGTGAATAAAGAGTACTATCATTGTATTTGTTTTTTATGTATGAGTGATGTTCTATGATTCTGATCTTGACAGGTCTGCTGGTCATTCCAATATAGAGAAGGTCACATGGGCATAAAATACAATATATTGCATTATCTGTTGTGCATGTGGTAAAATTATTTAAAGGTATAGTTGGGTGTGTGAATTGTTGAGTCTTCAAGGATTGGGAACAACATTCACTGTTCTGTCGCTGCTGGAGCTGAAATTAAATGCTTCTAAGAGAGGATGCAAGGCTTGCGTCCAGCGGGAAGCCTGGGGGCCCGAGAAAGAACCTTTAGAGGAATTTTTCCTATTAAACAGGCTTTAGGAGACTTAAGCTTAAATACAACAGTCTTTATTAATGAACAAGCAGGAATTGTAAGATTTCTAAATAGTCTATCGGCTCTTGCAGTCTTGTTTACAGGAAACAGGCACTATCTTCAAGAAACTTTGTTTAACAGAAAAATTCCCCTTTAAAGCGCCTCCCAGGCTGCTGTGAACTTAAACCCGACTGGTTTGAGTCTGCAACCGGCTGAACTGTCTCAGACCCGAACAGACGTACCACCAGGCTTGAAATCACTTAGCTGAAGATGTAGAGCTGTTATTCCCTCCGGAGGTCCTCAGGGCTGTGAAGCTGTTCCCTGGAACCCTTTGGGAATCTGTAGAGGCCTTTAATCTGTTCTCCACCAGGAAGTCTTAAAAGACGAAGCCTTTGCACAGGAGGAACGTCTGTATGCATCCTCTGCCTTGGCTTCCCTTGCTGTGACTAACTGAAAAATGGCCCCTTCCCTCCAAAAAGCAAAAAGGGGGCGGGACCAGGGATCCTAACTATAATTGGCAGGTGGCTTACCCTATAAATGCAAATTATAACAGGAACCCCCCTGTTGCAAAATCCCAAGCATGGGATTGCACACAAACATTTAAGCACAGCAAATAAATCTGGAGCTCCTGGAACAGCTGTTCCAGAACATTCACAGTGTCCACAGTAAGTATGTCCTCTAAGGTTTGGTAGACTTTTTATGGTAGGTTTAATGAGATCTGATCTAATTAGCATGTCCTTTAAATTTTTGATGCGTTTGTATGCTACCGTGGGTGTATTTTGGCAGCCTGGAATGTCCTTGATAATGTGCCATCTACAAAATAAACAAGAGACACTGGCACATTATATATAGATGAAAATATCCCTTCAGTGTTAAAATTTAAAGATACAGAGGGACGCATGGTGGCGGTAAAAGTAACAATTGGTTTGTCGAATATTTTGATCTGTAACATTTATGGACCAAATGGTCCCAAAACACACTTTGTTAAAACACTAAGGGAAAATATAGTACAAGAGGAAATTGACCACATAATACTTTTTGGAGACTTTAATAGGGCAATGGACAAAAACATTGATAAATCTAAAAAACAGACTAAAAGAAAAAGAGAGGACATTAATATCCTGCCAAGACATTTTATATTATTTAAAGAAGAATTCCGCCTAGAGGACATCTGGTGAGAACATAATCTGCAACAAAAAGACTTTACTTTTTATTCAAATAGACACTTAAGCTGGTCCAGGATCGATATGATCTGGACTTCGAAAACACTACTAAAGTGGAAGATATTAGGATCTTGCCTAAAGACATCTCAGATCATAATGCCTTAGAAATGACAATTAATCACAAAAGAAGGGATTGGAGATGGCACTTAAATGACAATTTACTAAAATTGGAGGAAGATATTAACAAAAACAAAAATATAACCACAGACTTTTAAAACTTAAATGATAAGCCAGAGGTGAAGACTCAGACAATCTGGGATGCTTACAAAGCAGTGATGAGGGGCCATCTGATTCAGCAAAATGCAGTAAAAAAACAGAATAAAAAAAATCAAAATATGGAGGAAATAAAGTAGAAAATAGGAACTACGGAGAAGGAATTAAAAAGAGATCAAGAGAAAGTAGAATTAAAAAGAAAATTGGATATTCAAATTAAACAGAAAAGAGAATTAGAGTTGGATCAGATGGCCAAACAATTAAAATATATAAAACAATATTCTTTTGAGAATGCGAATAAGCCAGATAAATGGCTTGCAAGGAAGATAAGGAAAAAGAAATTTTCACAACACATCTCCAAAATAAAAATGGAAGATAAGGTGTACAAAACAGACAATGACATAAGGGAACAGTTCAAGATGTTCTATAAAAATTATATACAAAGGAATCCATAGATGAAGAGGAGATCACATACTATTTGAGTAAACAAAAACTTTCAAAAATCACCGACGAACAAAGATTAGCCTGAAATAACGATATCTCAGAAGAAGAAATGAAAAAGACTATAAAGGATTTGAAAATAAACAAGGCACCAGGCCCTGACAGCTTTACAGCAAGTTTCTATAAAACAATGCAGGACGAAATCATACCTTTAAAAAATAATAATGAATCAGGCCTTACATGACCAAGAAATACCAGATTCATGGAAGCAGGCAGAAATAATTATGATCTACAAAGAAGGCTCGGATCCTGAAGACGTGCCCAATATCCCTATTAAATACTGATTATATTTTTTTCAAATATTTTGGCTAATAGATTTTTTTAAAAAATAAAGATTGGATTGGTGACGATCAGGCTGGCTTTTTCCCAGATAGAAATATAAAAGATAACATAAGAACTATATTGGACATATTGGAATATTATGAAACCCACCAACAAAAAGAATTCATTACCTTTCGATGCGAAGAAAGCCTTTGATAATTTAAATTGGGATTTTTTCAAATTATTATTTCAAGAAATGGGTATGGGCTTTCAATTTCAGAATGCTATTGAAGCAATTTATGATAAACAATCTGCCAGGATAACAATAAATGGACAAATGACAGACGAATTCAATATAGGCAAAGGAACACGACAAGGCTGCCCATTGTCCCCCTTAATATTTATATTCGCACTCGAAGTCCTAATGAAAGGTATTAGAGAGGACCAAGGTCTAAAAGGTACAAAAGTGGACAAACAAGAATATAAAGCAAGAGCATTTGTGGATGATGTTATGTGTGACGGCGCGAGTGGCGCCACCTATGTATAGAACTGTTAGTTGTAAGATTTAAACTGTTGTATTATGCTTAATCCTGCCCCTTTTTACATTGCTTGTGTACAGTTGTATGGATTGGTTGCTTGTAGCTGTCAATCAGTACTGTTTGGCTCCACCTCTTCCTGCAAGAGGGGAGAACTTCCTTTTTTCTTTCATTCTGCCTTCAGAGTTCGTACCAGATGGACGTAAGAGACCTGACTCTAAAGGACCCTGATTTAAGTTACCTCTTAGCACCAGTTCTGAGGTTTTTTACCCCTGGGACTCATGCTTTATGTCCAGATCGTCCTGGACAATTATTGAGGAGACCCAAGCGCCTTCAAGCCGGTTCTTTTGGCACCAGAGGAAGATCCTGAATCTTCAAGACATAGGCCATCTGAACTGGGGTTATAGTTTGCTCCAGCATTCACAGCCATTGAGGAAGGAGGAAACTTGGTGAGGCTTCTCAGCTTCAAACCCCTTGGACCCAGGACTGATTGGGACTGTAACGTATGTTTTTCTTCACCCCTCTAAAGTTTTCCAGCTTATTGCTTTGAAGAAATGACTGTGATCAATAAAACTTATTTTGAGCAATTGACAGCGTTTTGGGTTTTTGGGAGTTCCAGTTTCCTAAAGGAGGGCAAGAAGGGGGGAACGTGCCACGTCCATCCCTCCTTCATTAAGACTAATAGCCCCCAAGTGCGACGGCACATTATGTGTATTATTGAAGATCCCAGGAATAATATACAAAAATGGCTATCTAATTTATTTATTTCCGTCACTTTTACCCCGCCCTTCTCACCCCCAAGGGGGGACTCAGGGCGGCTTACAGAAAAAGGCACAATTCGATGCCTTGTCACATATACATACATATATAAAAGCAATTAAGCAATTACAAATTAAAAGTTAAATAATCAATACACAACAACACCATAAACACAGTAGTAGGCTAATCCTGAGCTCAGCGTTCGGAGTTCCGTAAATCCCTTCCGTCTCGTCAAGTTCCAGCTCGTCATCAAGTCTTTCTTTAGCTGCCAGAATGTCCAAATGCCTGGTCCCACATCCAGGTCTTCAACCTTTTCCTAAATGAAAGAAGGGACGTTGCCGATCTAATCTCCCCGGGGAGTGAGTTCCACAGGCGGGGGGCCACCACCGAGAAGGCCCTGCTCCTCGTCCCCGCCAATCTCACTTGTGATAGAGGTGGGGTCGAGAGCAGGGCCTCCCCAGAGGATCTTAGGTTCCGAGGTGGGACATATCTATCTAAGATTGAGGAGTTTGGTCAATTGACGGGACCCATAAACGGCTAGTGGAAGAGACCTGCCTTTGAGTTTCCTAGTTCTGCTAAAAAAAGTCTCTGGAACTGAGTGGAGGTACTACAAATCCCATCATCTATGACAAGTGTGGTCCAGATGCATCATTGGTTGGGTTCACGGTTCTCTTTGGATGTAGGTGAACTACAACTCCTTTAAATCATGGTGAATTCTTCCCAAACCTCTTGATCAGTTGCCGATCAACTTCTGTGTGCCATAGGAATAGGTAGGAAGGGGTTAAGTGAGAAGCAGTGGGTGGGTTCTTGCAAATTTGGAGAGAGAAAGGAACACTGGGATATCCATTCTGGAGAAAAAAAATGAATAATTTAGGACAGTGTTTCTCAACCTGGGGGTCGGGACCCCTGAGGGGGTCGCGAAGGGGTGTCAGAGGGGTCGCCAAAGACCATCAGAAAACACAGTATTTTCTGATGGTCATGGGGATTCCATATGGGAAGTTTGAGCCAATTCTATCATTGGTGTTCAGAATGTTCTTTGATTGTAATGAACTATAAATCCCAGCAACTACAACTCCCAAAAGTCAAGGTCTATTTTCCCCAGGCTCCACCAGTGTTCACATCTGCGCATATTGAGTATTTGTGCCAAGTTTGGTCCAGATCCACCATTGCGTGAGTCCACAGTGCTCTCTGGATATAGGTGAACTACAACTCCCAAACTCAAGGTCAATACCCACCAAACCCTTCCAGTGTTTTCCGTTGGTCATGGGAGTTCTGTGTGGCAAATTAGGTTCAAATCCATCGCTGGTGGAGTTCAGAATGCTCTTTGATTATAGGTGAACTATAAATCCCAGTAACTACAACTCCCAAATTACAAAATCAATCCTCCCCCAACCCCACTAGCATTTACATGTTGGTGCATTGGGTATTTGTGCCCAGTTTGGTCCAGTGAATGAAAATACATCTTGCATATCTGATATTTACATTATGATTTATAACAGTAGTGAAATGACTGTTATGAAGTAGCAACAAAAGCAATGTTATGGTTGGGGGTCACCACAACATGAGGGACTGGATTAAGGGGTCACGGCATTAGGAAGGTTGAGAACCACTGATTTAGGATGAAATGATCCCCGAATGAAAGCATTCCTTGGGCGATTGGTGTTTGGGGAGGACACTGGCTTCGGTTGAGCTACATGTTCAAGGAGTTTGCTCTAACCTGCAGTGTCAATGGAGCACTTGGAACCAGAGCCTATTTGTGGAGGCTGGAGGCTGTCTGTGTAAGTGGACAACTCTGCCACATACACACATTTTACCTTTTGTTATGTATATAGATGTTTTATTTTTATTTTATTTTTGTTTTTATAAAAAAAATTCTTGCCAATGCAATGATCTGCAAACATTGTGAAAAATGGAACTACTTAAAACAGCCAAAAAAAATTCAAGTTTCTTTTATTAATTATTGCACAAAAATGAGTCAAATAATAATAATAATAAAAAGTAATTTTAAAGGCAATTTTCTGTGTATTTTTCCCTTAAAAAATTACATTTGTTAACATTCATATATACATTTTAATAATATTTTTAAAAAGGAGGGGAAAAGCCAAACGATTAAATCAATTAAACCATTAATATAATATATTATATGAATATATATTATATCATATTATATATATTATAATTTATATCATAAATTATATGTAAAATGAATTCGAATTATAGACCTGAGTTGAAATAAGGAAAAGAAATATATATATATATATATATATATATATATATATATATATATATTCCTTATTTTCCATATATAATTGAATTAGAATTATAAACCTGAGTAAAAAGAAATATATAGTAAATATATGTAAATCATATACATACAATTAGAATTCCAAAAAAAAAAAAAATTACGAAAGAAAAAGATTTATAATTTATAGAAAGATCCCGTCTTTGGTTTACTCTTTGCTGAAAGGCAATATATATACATACATATATATTTAAGGCAAAATAAAGGTAATTTATGGCATTTCCACCATTTTCGGTTAGAAAGAAACAACTAAATACTATTTTTCCCATTCAGATCCTATTTGTCTCCCAAAACGGTGGCCATTTTGTCTCCTCTTAAAGAAGGGAGAAAACATGGCAGCCATTTGGTCTTCCTAATGATGGAATTTACATTTGGATATATTTGTCCCCAAAATGGACGCCATGTTGGTCTGCAGTGAGAATGCAAGTCAGCCATTTTGGGTTTTTTAAAGAGAAAAACGGCAGCCATGCATGACACAAATGGATATTTCTACCAAATGGGCAGCCATCTTGAGATGGCGGCCATCTTGTCTTCAATAGGAAGAACAAAATGAGCTTTTCATTTGTATATTTGCCCCAAAATGGGCAGCCATTTTGTCCTCTTAAGAGAGGGGAGAGAATGGTGGCCATTTTGACTTCAAGAGGAAGACTAAATGAATTCTCATTGGGATATTTGTCCGAAAACAAGCAGCCATTTTGTCCTAAATGAATATACAAATATACAGATATTTGTACCAAAATGGCGGCCATTTTGCCCTCTTAAGAGAGGGGAGAGAATGCTGGTCTTTTTGACTTCAAGAGGAAGACTAAATGAATTCTCATTGGGATATTTGTCCGAAAACAGGCAGCCATTTTGTCCTAAAGATTAAAAATGAGATAGGCCAAAAATAAGCAGTTAGTTCAACCTCTTAAGAGGAGAGAGAATGGTGGCCATTTTTTCCTCCACAGTGACCATTTTGTCCTTGAGAGAAGAATGAAATGCATCCTCATTGGGATGATAGGCCCCAAATGGGTGGCCATTTTGTCTTCTTAAGAGGTGAGATAATGATGGCCATTTTGTCTCCATGGCAGCCATTTTGTCCCTGAAAGGAAGAATGAAATGAGCTTTTCATTCAGATATTTGTCCAGAAATGGCAGCCATTTTGTCCTTGAGAGGAAGAACGAAATGAATTCTCATTCCGATGATAGGTATCTCTTGAGAGGGAAGAGTACGGTGGCCATTTTGTTTACAGGATTCGGATCGTCTCCTCTCTCCGCATATTGCTCCAGCCTTGGCTGGTCTCCGTGAAAACGAGGGAGGCCATTTTGTGCCCGAAGGTCGCCATTTTGCCTCCAGGATTTGCTACTTTTCTGTGAGGGAGAGCCGCAGAGCCTCCTGGAGGGCGGCGTCTTCCTCCTGACGCCACCGACGCTCCGCTTCTTGTTCCTCACGGACGGAGAGCTCCATGGCGAGCTGCAGGTCCCGCTCAAAGCTCGAGGGGTCCCTCGGGATCAGCCCCGGGGCTGGATGCAAGCTTTCCTCCAAGGCCCTGCACCACAACAGAGACAGTGAGACGGTTTTTAGTCCCGGACTGAATGCACACAATTTTCGGAATTTTTGCTACCACCAATTTTTCCACCCACTCTTACAACTCTTGTGGAATCCGCTGCAAACGAAACTACGTGTGCACACCACAAGGTCAAGTTTTTCTCTAACCTTCTTGATGAGGGGGACAAGTGGTTCTTCAGTTCACTTGTCCAATGGTTAATCTAGCCAAGGTCTGCTAATAATAATAATAATAATAATAATAATAATAATACTTTATTTATATCCCGCTACCATCTCCACAAGGGACCCGGTGCGGCTTACATGAGGCCGAGCCCAAAATACAACAATACAAGCAATAAAACAACAATACAAGCAATTTAAAAACAACAAAACAATAAAACAATAACATAAACATTATCAATAGGACAACACACTTTAAAATCTATGGGTAGGCCAAATATAGTTAAAATTAAAAATAATGCTGGACATGGGCGAAAAAAGGGATGGGACAGTTTGTGGAAACATACAAGCAGACCTAAAAAATGTAAAGTGCCTTAGAGGACAAAGTGCTATGGGATCATTATTCTGGGAAGGCACACTGGAACAACCACGTCTTCAAGCTCCTCCTAAAGACTGCCAGAGCTGGGGCATGCCTGATGTCCTTAGGAAGTGAGTTCCAGAGTCGAGGGGCCACCACCAAAGAGGCCCTCTCTCTCGTCCCCACCAATCGCGCTTACGATGCATGTGGGAGCGTGAGCAGGTCCTCTCCCGATGATCGAAGAGATCGTGTGGGTTCGTATACAGAGATGCGGTCACTAAGGTAGGCGGGTCCCAAACCGTTCAGGGCTTTGTAGGTGAGAACCTGCACCTTGAATTGGGTCCGGAAAATGAATGGCAGCCAGTGGAGCTCCTTAAACAGGAGAGTTGACCGCTCCCTGTAAGGAGCCCCGGTTAACAACCTGGCCGCCGCCCGTTGGACCATCTGGAATTTCCGGGCCGTTTTCAAGGGCAGCCCCACATAGAGTGCATTACAGTAATCCAGTCTAGAGGTGACAAAGGCATGGACCACCTTGGCCAGATCTGCCTTCGCGAGGTACGGTCGCATTTGGCGCACGAGTCTCAATTGTGCGAAGGACCTCCCGGCCACCACCGACGCCTGAGTTTCAAGCCTAAGTGATGAATCCAGGAGGACACCCAAACTGCAGACCTGTGACTTCAAGGGAGTGTAACCCCATCCAGCACAGGTTGCCACCCTGGTTTATGATCTACCAGGAGGACCTCTGTCTTGTCGGGATGAATCTTCAGCTTGTTTGTCCTCATCCAGCCAGCCACAGCGGCCAGGCACTCGTCCAGCACCCAAGGGGCTTCCTTGGAGTTAGGTGGAAAGGAGTAGTAGAGTTGTGTGTCATCTGTGTAGAGATGGCACCCAACTCCAAAACTCCGGATGACCTCTCCCAGCGGTTTCATGTAGATGTTAAAAAGCATGGGAGACAAAATAGAGCTTTGCGGGACCCCACAGGTCAAAAGCCAGGGGTCCGAGCATGAGTCTCCCAGCTTCACCACCTGGGAACGGCCCTCCAGTAATCCCACTGCTCTTCCAGCATTCATCAGCCAATCCCTCTCCAATGCCAGAGATACATCTTAATGGTGTAACACTAGAAAATGTTGATCATTTCTGCTATCTTGGCAGACACCTCTCCACAAAAGTCAACATTGACACCGAAATACAACACCACCTGAGCTCTGTGAGTGCAGCATTTTTCCGAATGAAGGAGAGTGTTTGAGGACCGGGAGATCTGTAGGGATACCAAGGTGCTTGTTTATAAAGATATTGTCCTCCCAACCCTGCTATATTCCTGCAAAACATGGACTGTCTACAGACGTCACATGCAACTCCTGGAACGATTCCATCAGCGTTTCCACCAAAAAATCATGTAAATCTCTTGGGAAGACAGGTGGACAAATGTCAGTGTGCTGGAAGAAGCAATGGTCCTCCACCATCGACTCCGCTGGACTGACCACGTTGTCCGGATGCCTGACCACCATCTCCCAAAGCAGCTGTTCTACTCCGAACTCAAGAATGGAAAACGGAATGTTGGTGGGCAGGAAAAGAGATTTAAAGATGGGCTCAAAGCCAACCTTAAAATCTCTGGCATATACACGGAGAACTAGGAAGCCCTGGCCCTTGAGCGCTCCAGCTGGAGGTCAGCTGTGACCAGCAGTGCTGTAGAATTTGAAGAGGCATGAATGGAGGGTGAAAGAGAGAAACATGCCAAGAGGAAGGCGCATCAAGCCAACCCCGACCGGGACCGTCTTCCACCTGGAAACTGATGCCCTCATTGTGGGAGAAGATGCAGATCAAAAAATAGGGCTCCACAGTCACCTACAGACCCACCGCCAGGACACTGACCCTGGAAGACTATCATACTCGGACAATGAGGAATTGCCTAAGTAAGTTCCACAATTCACCCAATTTTTAGGCTTTTCCCCAAAACAGGAAGTGACCTGGATCCACTTCCTGTTTGATCAAAATCCTTACCTTTGGTACTGAAGGCTGAGGTCTTGGGAGTATGCAACAGCGCCATCTGAATCTGGGCCAAAGGGCTCCTGGGGATTAAAATATATGTATATAAATATATTGTCGAAGGCTTTCATGGCCGGAATCACTGGGTTGTTGGAGGTTTTTTCGGGCTATATGGCCATGTTCTAGAGGCATTCTCTCCTGACGTTTCGCCTGCATCTATGGCAAGCATCCTCAGAGGTAGTGAGGTCTGTTGGAACTAGGAAAAAGGGTTTATATATCTGTGGAATGACCAGGGTGGGACAAAGGACTCTTGTCTGCTGGAGCTAGGTGTGAATGTTTCAACTGACCACCTTGATTAGCATTTGATGGCCTGGCAGTGCCTGGAACAATATTTTGTTGAGAGGTGATAAGATGTCCCTGATATATAAATTTGTATTTATATATAAATACAAATATATTGGGGTGAAAATATATATAATATAGGAGCATAGTGTTTAGATCTAGGGAAGTAATGCTCCCCTCTATTCCACTTTGGTTAGACCACACCTGGAATATTGTGTCCAATTCTGGGCACCACAATTCAAGAGAGAGATTGACAAGCTGGAATGTGTCCAGAGGAGGGCGACTAAAATGATCAAGGGTCTGGAGAACAAGCCCTATGAGGAGCGGCTTAAGGAGCTGGGCATGTTTAGCCTGAAGAAGAGAAGGCAGAGAGGAGATATGATAGCCATGTATAAATATGTGAGAGGAAGTCATAGGGAGGAGGCAGCAAGCTTGTTTTCTGCTTCCTTGGAGACTAGGACGCGGAACAATGGCTTCAAACTACAAGAGAGGAGATTCCATCTGATCATGAGGAAGAACTTCCTGACTGTGAGAGCCGTTCAGCAGTGGAACTCTCTGCCCTGGAGTGTGGTGGAGGCTCCTTCTTTGGAAGCTTTTAAACAGAGGCTGGATGGCCATCTGTCAGGGGTGATTCGAATGCAATAGTCCTGCTTCTTAGCAGAATGGGGTTGGACTGGATGGCCCATGAGGTCTCTTCCAACTCTTTGATTCTATGATTCTATATATATTAAGTACTAGCCGTCCCCTGCCACGCGTTGCTGTGGCCCACTTGGTGGTTCTGTGTGGAAGGTTTGGCCCAATTCTGTCATAGGTGGGGTTCAGAATGCTCTGTGATTGTAGGTGAACTATAAATCCCAGCAACTACAACTCCCAAATGTCAAGATTCTATTTTCTCCAAACTCCACCAGTGTTCACTTTTGGGCATATTGAGTATTCATATAGGGTTTGGTCCAGATCCATCATTTTTTGAGTCCACAGTGCTCTCTGGATGTAGGTGAACTACAACTCCCAAACTCAAGGTCAATGCCCACCAAACCCTTCCAGTATGTTCTGTTGGTCATGGGAGTTCTGTGTGCCAAGTTTGGTTCAATTCCATCGTTGATGGAGTTCAGAATGCTCTTTGATTGTAGGTGAACTATAAATCCCAGCAACTATAACTCCCAAATGACAAAATCATAAATTTTTGAGTGATGGTTACTCCTTGTGTTGTGAAACATTTTGTTGCCAAATTTGGTGTGATTTCGTTCATTGGTTCTTTTGTTTTTAAGGTACTCATTATGATCAGAGCATTTTTATATATATAGATATATATTAAAGCATTAAGTTGAAATAGATTAATTATGATAAATACTAGCTTTGGAATCTGGAGGTGCCCATGTTATTTTAGAAATGCATTGTTTGTTTTTGGATGTGAGGTAATATAACTTATCATTATTTACAAGAAAAGCGCCTGTCTTTGCTTCTGTTTTGTATTAATTAGAAATTGCATAAGAATGTGGATGAACTATAACTCCCAGATTCACAGGGCAATCACCCGACATGTTGAGTCTGAGTGTTAAGTTGGGTCCAAGTGTAAAGTATGTCATGGAAAGTCTGTGTGGCAAGTTTGGTCCAGATCTGTCATTTCTGGGAGTTGTAATAGTCCCTAGAAGTGAGTGTTGTTGTTCATTCGTTCAGTCGTCTCCGACTCTTCGTGACCTCATGGACCAGCCCACGCCAGAGTTACTGCAAATCCCATCATCCACTGCAAGTGTGGTCCAGATCCATCCTTGGTTGGGTTCACAGTGATCTCTGGGTGTAGGTGGACTGCAACTCCTATAACTCAAGGTCAGTTTACCCCAAACATCTTGTTCAGTTGCTGATCCCATTTGCTGTGTGCCATAGACAGAGGCGGCCCTAAGTAATTTTCAACGGTAAGCAAACAGTATTTTGGCACCCCCCCCCCCCAACCAATCATTGATATATATTTTCTGTTCGTCGTGGGAGTTCTGTGTGCCATATTTGGTTCAATTCCATCATTGGTGGAGTTCAGAATGCTCTTTGATTGTAGGTGAACTATACATCCCAGTAACTACACTTGCCGCACTTGCTCCCTTGCCTGGCCTGCTTTGGGTCCGGAGGCATGCCTGAAGACCCCGGCGTGTGCACCAAAAGTCACCTCTTCTCCTGACTTTCTCCTCAGCCATTGGGACAGAGAGAGAGAGAGAGAGAGAGAGAGAGAGGTGGAGATGCCCACCTTTCCTGAAGGTAGGCGCAAAAACAAAGGAGGGAGCGGAGGTGAGAGATACCTCCAGCCGGAGGGGCTCTCTCTCTCTCTCTCTCTCTTGGTCCCAATGGCTGAAGAGAAAGTCAGGAGAAGAGGCGACTTTTGGTGCGCACGCTGGGGTCTTCAGACACGCCTCCGGACCTGAAGCAGGCCAGACATGGTGGCTCCGCCCCTTGGCCCACCCACGGATTGAGGAGGAGTGGAGGCAGGTGGAGGGCCGGGGGATCGGGAAAGGGAGCCGGTCATGGGGAAGGGATTGAACGCGGAGAACGATTGAGCGCCGGCTCTGCTCGCACCCGGTGGCCGGGTGGAGCAGGAATGAGAGGGGCTAGGCGAGGCTCAAGGGCCCGGCCCCTTTGGGAAGAGGATCGCCCGGCAGCGAGGCAAGAAAGCCGAGGCTCCCCCCGGACTGCTAGGGCTGTTGTGAGCTGAGGGGGCGCTCCTCAAGTGGCGGTCGAGGGGCATTTACAGAGGCGCCTCTGCACCCCTGGCAAAAAAAAGTGTTCTGCATCCGCTTACTTCGCGTCATGGATGAGCCGCCCCTGGCCATAGAAAAGGGTCGGAAAGGGTTAAGGGAAAGGCAGTGGGTGGGTTCATGCAAATTCCACAGCACTGGAAAGAGTAAGGAACCCTGGGATGTCCATTCTAGAGGAAAAGCAGGACATCTAGGATGAAATTGTCCCCGAATGAAAGCATTCCTTGGGTGGGAGGTGGTGGGCAGGATGGTGTTTGTGGTGGATATTGGCAGGGTTTGGGAGACATGTTCATGGCACTCACTGTAACTTGCAATGTCCTTGGAGGGAGGGCTTTTGGTGGCTCTTTGGCACTGTGGAAGGGCGTCTGACTGTTTGTGGAGGCGGGAGGCTATCTGTATAAGTGTAATCGGAGGCTGTGTTATCTGAATAGATAGATAGATAGATAGATAGATAGATAGATAGATAGATAGATAGATAGATATTGACTAAGTTTTGTAATGCTCCTCCTTACCTCTCCGCGTCGGGTTTCGATCAAGCTCTGCCGGATGGCGAACTGCATGATCTTGTTGTCCTCGTCCTGCGTTGCCCGCCCTACGCTCCTCCCGCTGTCGTTATTGTCCTCATTGTTTTGGCGGTGGTATGTGGGCGGGGCCTCGAAGACAGATGGGTCTACCACGAAGGGAGGGGCTTCTCGAGGAGGAGGATGGCCATCTTCTGGAACGTTCTGCACCACTTCTTCCCCACGACATGCGTTGACATTTCCAAAGGTGATGCGGGCGTTTAGAACATGGAACAGAGGGATCTCTGTTCAGGAATATGAAGGAAGGAAGCACAAGTCTTAGATCAGGGGTCCTCAAACTTTTTAAACAGGGGGCCAGGTCACAGTCCCTCAAACTGTTGGAGGGCCGGATTATAATTTGAAAAAAGCATGAACGTATTCCTGTGCACACTGCACATATCTTATGTGTAGTGCAAAAAATAAAATAATTAAAATGATGAACAATTTTAACAAATATAATATAAAAAACAGCCCAAAAAAACCTACAACAACCAAATATAAAATTATTAGTATTTCAATGCGAAGTGTTGGCCTACTTATGGCTGATGAGATAGGGCTGTTGTTGTTGTGTGCTTTCAAATCATTTCAGACTTAGGTTGACCCTGAGCGAGGGCCGGGTAAATTACCTTGGAGGGCCGCATCTGGCCCCCGGGCCTTAGTTTGAGGACCCCTGTCAGAGTAAACTAAAGGAACAACGCTTTACAATAAAATAAATATTAAAATATTAAATATTCAAAATATTCAAAATAAAATAAATGAAAATTTCTTATTGTTGAAATTTATGTTACCAAAATTATAGTAATAAATTAAAAAAATTAAAATATTATTACTGAAAATTATTACAGAAATTATGATAAATTTTGAAAAATACACTATGGAAATTATTGTATTGAAGTATTAAAACAAAGTATTAAGACATTAAATTAATGCTATTTATGATCTACAAAAAGCCAAAATACAGATAAACGGCCAATTATCTGAGGAATTTCTGATTACAAAAGGAACAAGACAAGGGTGTCCGTTATCCCCTTTAATTTTTATAATGGCTTTGGAACCATTGATGATGAAAATAAGAGAAGACATAAGTATCAAAGGAGTAAAAATTGGAAAATATGAATATAAAATTAGAGCCTTCTCAGACGATGTATTGGGAATAGTGGAAGACCCAATAAACAATTTGCAGAATTGGATTGGAAAAATCCAAGAATTTGGAAAAGTGGCAGGCTTCAAAATGAACAAAGGGAAAACTAAAATACTAACTAAGAATGTAGAAAAGGAAAAACAAGAGAAAACTGCAATGAATACGGGAATGGAAATAGTAAAGAAACTAAGATATTTGGGGATTTGGTTGACAGCAAAAAATGGTCAAGTCTTGAAGAATAATTATGACGAGGCTTGGAATAAAATACAGAAAGATCTCAAAAAATGGAAATTTTTGAACCTATCTTTATTAGGTAGGATTTCGCTTATTAAAATGAATGTATTACCAAAATTACTGTTTCTATTTCAAAATATACCCATAATCAGAGACCAAACAGCTTTTAAAAAATGGAATAAAGAACTAATGCAATTCGTTTGGGATGGGAAAAGACCCAGAATTAAGTACTTGAATTTAATTGATAAGAAAACGAGAGGTGGACTAGGATTTCCCGATCTTAAAACATATCATGAAGCAAGTGCTCTCTTATGGATTGGAGATTGGATGACGTTAGAAAATGAAAAATGTCTGATCTACGTGTGGGATGGCATGCCTACACGTGGTATGATCGAGAGAAAAAAATTAGAAACCATTTTGTTTATTTATTTTATTTATTGAGTCATTAGCAACCAGTCGATTATATTACATTTCTAACAGAACAAAGCAAACAGAGAAAATACAAAATGTGTGAGTTTGGTAGTTGATTAAATGTCCTTTGACCAGTATCTGGCCACTTGGAGTGCTTCTGGTGTTGCTGCAAGAAGGTCCTCCATTGTGCATGTGGCAGGGCTCAGGTTGCATTGCAGCAGGTGGTCAGTGGTTTGCTCTTCTCCACACTCACATGTTGAGATTCCACTTTGTGGCCCCATTTCTGAAGGTTGGCTCTGCATCTCGTGGTGCCAGAGCGCAGTCTGTTCAGCGCCTTCCAAGTCGCCCAGTCTTCTGTGTGCCCAGGGGGGAGTCTCTCATTTGGTATCAGCCATTGGTTTGAGCCTTTGGAGCCTGCCACTTTTGGACTCTCGCTTGCTGAGGTGTTCCAGCGAGTGTCTCTGTAGATCTTAGAAAACTATTTCTTGATTTAAGTGGTTGACATGCTGGCTGATACCCAAACAGGGATGAGTTGGAGATGTCTCTGCCTTGGTCCTTTCACTATTGGCTGCTACTTCCCGGCGGATGTCAGGTGGTGCAATACCGGCTAAGCAGTGTAATTTCTCCAGTGGTGTAGGGCGCAGACACCCCGTGATAATGCGGCATGTCTCATTAAGAGCCACATCCACTGTTTTAGTGTGGTGAGATTTGTTCCACACTGGGCATGCATACTCAGCAGCAGAGTAGCAAAGCGCAAGGGCAGATGTCTTCACTGTGTCTGGTTGTGATCCCCAGGTTGTGCCAGTCAGCTTTCGTATGATATTGTTTCTAGCACCCACTTTTTGCTTGATGTTCAGGCAGTGCTTCTTGTAGGTAAGAGCACGGTCCAGAGTGACTCCCTGGTATTTGGGTGCGCTGCAATGCTCCAGTGGGATTCCTTCCCAGGTCATCCTCAGAGCTCGGGATGCTTCTCTGTTCTTGAGATGAAAGGCACATGTCTGTGTTTTAGATGGGTTGGGGATCAGCTGGTTTTCCCTGTAATAGGCAGTAAGAGCACCTAGAGCTTCGGAGAGCTTCTGTTCTACCATCTCAAAGCTCCCTGCTTGAGCAGTAATGGCACGATCATCAGCATAGATGAAACTCTCTGTCCCTTCTGGCAGTGGCTGGTCATTTGTGTAGATGTTGAACATGGATGGAGCAAGCACGCTCCCCTGAGGCAGGCCGTTCTTCTGTTTCCGCCATCTGCTTCTCTGGCCCTGGAACTCAACAAAAAAGCTCCTGTTTTGTAGCAGGTTTCCTATGAGGTGGGTGAGGTGGTAAACCATTTTGTGAGAGCATCTTTATTAAGAGTCTGGATGAAACATAAGAAATATTTTTATGACAAAACGCCGTTATGGGTCTCATCGATGGAGGCACATCAAAGAAGACTGTTAGGCTGGAGAGCGTGGCCAACATATAGAGACATTCTAGTAAGGAATACTAGTGAGATTAAACCTTATCAGCAAATAAAAGAAATAAATGTGAATATGACATGGCTACATTATCTGCAAATGAAAGAATATGTTAAACAAGATAATAAGATGGGTTTTGCCTGGGAAGAAACAATTTGGGACAAGATTTTGAAGACGAAGAAAAAAGTAATCTCAGTCATTTACAACATACTCTTAACTTGGCTAATGGAATGTGAACAGGTTAAACCATGTATGATAAAATGGGCAGGGAATATAAGAAGACCTATTCAATTTAGAGAGTGGGAGCAGATGTGGAACAAAAAGTTAAAATATGTCTTTGTGACAGATTTAAAGGAAAACTGGATAAAAGTGTTCCACAGATGGTACACAACTCCTAAGAAATTGGCTCTAATAAACAAAAAATCTTCTGATAAATGTTGGAAAGGTTGTCACCAGACAGGTACCTTTTATCATATGTGGTGGACATGTAAAGAAATAGTGAAATATTGGTCGATGGTACATGAAGAAACACAAAAAATCCTGATGAGAGTATTCAAGAAGAAACCAGAATATTATCTATTAGGTTTCACAGATTTAGAATTACAATAAGATGAAAATGAAGATAAATTATTTACCTATCTTATGACGGCGGCGAAAATATCTTTGGCAAAACTTTGGAAACAGGACAGTATCCCTACCATAGAAGAATGGTTAGGAAAAATTAGAGAAATAAGAGAGATGGATGAACTAACTTTAAAAAAAAAAATAATACCGCGAACCCAACAAAGAGGAAAGACTGGACCCTCTATGATAATTACGAGAAAAAAAGAAGTAAGTAAGAGGAACTTTTTTTGTTTGGAAGCAATGGAAACATTTTTATTTTGGTAGATACAACACCTGATGAAGAGATGGAAGTCAACTTTTTTTTAAAAAATTATTCTTTTTTTTTTTACTTTTGATTTTTTGACTTTTGATTTTTTTTATTTTTTTTTCTCTTTTGGACCTGGGGGGGGTGTTTTTTCTCTTTTCCTACTGTTCTTATCTTCTTTCAAATATTCACCCTCTTTCGTTGTAATTTTCTAATATTTCAATAAAAAACTATTTATATTATTATTAATATTACATATATTATATTAAATAATAATAAACTAAATTATTTAAAATATTATTAAAATATATTACAATAAAAATAGAACAAGGAGATCTTTGAGCAAGAGAGAGACAGAAGGAAGGAAGCCAAGGTTGGAGTAAACGAAAGGATTCACAGGAGGAGCTCATTAAAATAAAATAAATATTCAAATATTCAAAATAAAGTAAATATTCATAAGATATTCCCAGAAATGTTTACAAAAAATCTACAAGATGATAAAAATATTTACAACATGATAATCATACAAATATTAACAAAAATATTTGCAGGAATATACATAATATATTCACAAAAATAATCATTAAAATATTTACCAAAATATTAACAACTATATTCACAAAAATAATCATTAAAATATTCACCAAAATATTAACAACTATATTCACAAAAATAGTCACCAGAAATAATCATTAAAATGTTCACAAATTAACCATAAAAATATTCACAGAAATATTCATTAGAATATTCATTAAATCATAAAATATTCACAAAAGTATCCACAGAAAACAATCACAAACATATCCACATAAATGTTTACAGAAAATAATCATTAAAATATTCATTAAAATAATCACAAATATATTACAGAAAATATTCATAAAATATCCACAAAAAATACTTACAGAAAACAATCATTAAAATATTCATTAAAATAATCATAAATATATTTACAGAAAATATTCATAAAAATATCCACAAAAAATACTTACAGAAAACAATCATTAAAATATTCACATAAAATAATCATAAAAACAGTCATGAAAATATCCACAGAAAATAATCATTAAAATATTGACAAAAATATCCACAAAAATATTTACAGAAAGTAATAATTAAAATATTCCCAAAAATATTCACAGAAAATAATCATTAAAATATTCATTAAAATAAACTTTAAAATATCCATATACCAATCTTGAGTGGGAAGCCGGGGGGGAAGTCGAGGGCGATGAAGTCTCGGAGCCGGGCAAAGTGGGGGCTGCTGCGCGCCATCAGTTCCACAATGGGGCCCACCTGCTCCACCAGCGACAGCGGGAACGCCTCGCTCATCCACAGGGTTGCTTTCAACCTTGTAAGACAGACGTAAAGGCATGTGAATATTTTAATATTATTTTGGTGAATATTTAAATTAATATTTGTTGTTACTATTTCTGGGAATATTCTTAGGATTATTTTTGTGAATATTTTTACGATTATTTTTTGCAAATATTTTGGGGTATATTTCTAAAACTTTTTTAAGATTATTAAAATATTAAAACAAATACATATAAATAAAATATTTTGATATTACTACAATATAATAAAATATGATGAAATAAAACATTTAAATATAAGAATAAAAACATTTAAATGAAATATCACAGTATTATTACAATAAAATATTACAATAAAATTACAAAGAAATAAATTAATTTTAATAAAGAAAACATAAATAAAATACAGCAATATTGCTTTAAAATAAAAAATATTACACTTAAAATATTAAAATAAAAATACGTAAATAACATTACGATATTACAATAAAATAAATAAAATATTACAAAAAAATAAAATAAATACATATAAACAAAATATTATATCACAAAATTAATAAAACATTATAATAAAATCAAATCAAAATAATATTGTGATATTTCAATAAAATAAATGAAATATAATAAAATATTTAAAACATATTTTATAAAAATATAAAAATATGTAAATGAAACATTGAGATTTTACAGTAAAATATATAAAATATTACAACAAAAAGAAAAAAGAAAAATACCTAAATAAGTTATTGTGATATTACAGTGAAATAAAAATAAAAATGTATAACTCAAATATCACAGTATTTAGGCCTGTCTCACTTCTGTGTGCGGACAGTCACTTCCTTGGGCCTCCCAATGTCCCGGTTGTTGAGGTCAAATCTGGGGTCAAAGTACTCTTCCGGGGCGATGGCCGTTGGGTTGTTGGTTGAGGCGGACTCTGTGCTTCGGTCCTAGAGTGGCCGAAGTGGATTTTATATTAATTATAATAATATAATATAATATAAGGGTTTAATAACAGAATAATGTAAAATAATATGTAATATAATGTAATAATTTATGTATTGTATTATAATTAATGTAAAATAATATAATATAATATAGTATAATAATGTAAAATAATAATGTAATTATGTTATATATTAATAAAGTAATGTAATAGAATATTGTAAAAATTATAATTATAATATGTAATATAATATAATGTGAAATACTATGATATAATACAATAATACAAATATAATATAATATAATACATAATACAAATAATACAAATATAATATAATATAATACATAATACAAATACTTGTATAATACAAAACAAGAATGTAAAAAAAACAATAAAATAATAGTGTAATAATGTAAAATAATATATAAAATGTATTATAATAATTATAAAATGATATAGAATATATTATTATAATAGAAAAGAATAATATGTAATAATAATATAAAATAATGTAAAATAGTATATAATAGAATATAATAATAAAATAGAATATAGTAAGTGACGCGGCCATTTTGGGAAACTTGCTCACCTGCTGTGCCTCGTCTTTGTGCTCTATGGTCCCCAGGAGAGACTCAAAGGTGCTCCGTTCGGCTGGAAAAGAAAATAGAAATAAAGATATAGGAATAGTTATTGAAATAAAGGGAAATTATTAAAATATTTAAAATATTAAATAAGAAAAATAAAAATATATTAAAATATTAAAATGATATATACCAGTGTTTCTCCACCTTTCGAATGCCACGACCCCTTAATACAGTTCCTCCTGTTGTGGTGACCCCCAACCATAACATTATTTTGGTTGCTGATTCATAATTATCATTATGGTACTGTTATGAATCGTCATGTAATCCAGGATGTATTTCCATTCACTGGACCAAATTTGGCACAAATACTCGAGATGCCCAAATTTGAATACTGCTGGGGTTAGAGGGGGGATTGATTTTGTCGTTTGGGAGTTGTAGTTTGCTGGGATTTATAGTTCACCTACAATCAAAGAGCATTCTGAGCTCCACTAACGATGGAATTGGGCCAAACCTGGCACACAGAACTCCCATGACCAACAGAAAATACTGGAAGGGTTTGGTGGGCATTGACCTTGAGTTTGAAAGTTGTAGTTCACCTAGATTCAGAGAGCACTGTGGACTCAAACCATGATGGATCTGAACCATACTTGGCATGAGTTATATGCCCAAATATGATCACTGGTGCTGTTTAGGGGAAATAGACCTTGCCATTTGGGAGTTGTAGTTCACCTACAATCAAAGAGCATTCTGAACCTCACCAATGACTGATCAAGAGCAAACTTGACCCACTCTACGTCTCGCTGGGTTTTGTGGGCCAGTGGACCATGGATGATGGCACTTGCAGTAGCTTCACTCACTTCCTAAGGCCATCGCAACCCACACCTACAACCTGACTTGGCACCCTGAGCCCCCATGACCCATTCTACATTTTGATGCAGTTTGGAGGAGGATGGACCATGGAACTATACTTCATCTGCACCCACTGAACGCAGCCAATATTGGATCTAGACTAAACTTGGAGCACAGACAAACAATGCCTTTCTCAAATCACTTGGGCAGTGCCAGGTACCCAAGCTAGTAATCTATATATATATAATGGTTCCTGTCGTAATGAGTTAAAAACAAAAGAACTACTGGGCCAATACCCACCAAATTTGGCAACAAAACTCCTCACTATACAAGGTGTGACCATCAATAATAAAAAACAAAAGAAATAACTTACAAATCCTAAAAAAGGAGAATATGCCACTGGGCGTGCGTACAGGGAGGGGGAGTGCGCGCGCTCGCACACACAGGGCAGCTCCACATGGCGGAGCCTGTGCTGGCAACGGCCTGGAGTCAGCCTCGGCTCCTCTAGGTTCTGCAGTGGGAAGGCATTCACCAGCCTGACTAAGGCAGCTGGAGGCAGAGAGGCCTCTTTTTCCTCCTTCTCCCTCCTGCCTCGGGAGTAGGGATTGGAAATCAGTATGCCGGAGGAGAAAGAAGAGGAGGAGGAGGTCCGATTTAGAAGCAGGAAGGAAGGCAAGGCCAAGGAAAGGAACGTCCTTTTTAATGTTCTGCCATGCAAATTGTAGTCCACACTCTTGCCCTTTCCTCTTTCATCCCCTTCCTTCCTTCCTTCCTTCCTTCCTTCCTTCCTTCCTTCCTTCTTCCTTCCTTCCTTCCTTCCTTCCTTCCTTCTATTCTTGAGTCGCCTAAGGGCTGAGAAGAGTGGTATACAAATAAAGTAAATAAATAAAGTAAATAAATTCTTGCTCTCTCCCTCATCCTTCTCTCCCTTCTCTCTTCCCCCATTTCCTTCCTTGATGTCTTCCCTTCTTCCTCTCCTCCCTCATGCTTCCCCTTTTTCCTTCTCTCTTTCCTCCTTCCCTTCTTCCTCTTTAGCTCTCCCCTTGGGTGCCGCCATCATGGGTTCCAGTAAGCCCCGCCCCTAATGAAGGAGAGTGTGCTGAGGAAGGAAGGAAGGAAGGAAGGAAAGAAGGAAGGAAGGAAGGAAGGAAGGAAGGAAGGAAGGAAGGGGAGAGCCCTGTTCCGCCTCCTCATTAATTGCAGCTGAGCTGGACATCCAAGCAGCCCCCAAGGTCAATTTCCCCCAATTTCCACCAGAATTCACATTTGGCCATGTTGAGTATTCATCCCAAGTTTGGTCCCGATCCAGCTTTCTTTCCCAGTGCTATCCGGATGAACAATTTCTCCTCCCCCTCCTCATTCTCTCATCCACCCCAACTCCTCCTTCCTTCCCTCCTTCCTTCCTTCCCTTCCTTTCTCTACTTCCTTCTCCTTCCTTTAATTCTTTGCCTCCCTGCCTTCCCTCCTTCCTCTCCCTCCTTCTTCCCTTTCCTATTCTCCATTACTCCTCTCCATTACTCCTCCCATTACTTTCCTTCCCTCCTTTCTCTTCCTCCCCCCCCCACACACCATATATAATTACAATACTTTTTATATTACTGTTATATATACTGCTATATAATACATAAATATTATATATATTATTGCTATATGTATTACTATATAACTATATATTACTATATTGAATAGACTTATAGAATAGAGTTAGAAGGGACTCTACGGTGTAATTGGGGGAGAACAGACAGGAAAGAAGGAAGGAGGGAAGGCAGGAAGGAGAGAAGGAAGGAAAGAACGGTACCAAAGGAAGGAAGGAAGGAAGAAGATAAGTAGAAATGAAAGGAAAGGCAGGAAAGGGGTAAAGAAGAAAGGAGAAAAGGAAATAAAAAGTGAAAGAAGCAAGGAAACAGAAGGAAGAAATGAGACATGAAGTAGAGAAAGGGGGAGGGAAGGAAGGAAAGAGAGAAGGGAGGATGAAACCAAAGAGTGAAAGAAACAGGTAGAGAAGGAAGAAAGGAGAAAAAGGGGAAGGGAAAGAAAAAGGGGAGAAGGAATAGGTTGGTACTTTTCTTTCATAACAGTCCAGATATCTACCTCTACTTCGAAAATTCTTACTACAGGCCACAGCAACGCATGGCAGGGCACAGCTAGTATAATATAATGCAACATAATTAATTATCTATAACAAAAGTCAATGGAGGGAGGGCGGTGTATGTATCTGTCAGTTTTCTGATTGGCTGTCACTTTCACAGGCAACTGTGACCCCCACATATGATGGACCTGGACCAAAATTGGCACACATAACCCCCATGACCCACCTTACATCCTGGTGCGATTTGGGGGAGGATGGACCACGGATGATGGGATTTGCAGTACTTTCAAACCCTTCAGCACCCACAGACCACTGCAGCCCCCGACAATGACAGATCACGACCAAACCTGGCACACAGAGCCCCAATGACCCACTATACATCCTGTTGTGGTTTGGAGGAGGAGGGACCATGGATGACAGGATTTGCAATACATTCACCGAATTCACTTCCTACAAAACACTGTGGCCCCCACAGATCACGGACCTGGACCAAACTTGGCACACAGACTCTTGATGTCTCACTTTATGTCCTGGTGTGGTTACAGGGAGAACGGACAATTGATGATGGGAGATGCAGTAAGTTCACTCACTTCCTGAGACCACTGTGACCCACAGTAACAACAGATCAGGACCACACTTGGTACACAGAGCCCCCATGACCCACTATACATCCTGGTGGACAGCGGACAATAGATGATCAAATCTGCAGAACCTTCACTCATTTCCTGAGACCACTGCAACCCACACTAATGACAGATCAACACCAAACTTGGTACACAGAGCCCCCATGACCCACTATGCATCTGGTGTGGAGGCGGATGGACCATGGAACTTGCATATCGGAGTTGTAGTTCACCCGCACCCACTGATCCCATCTGACATTGGTTCTAGCTTAAACTTGGAGCACCGACAAAAAATGCCTTTCCAAAATAACCTGGGCACCAACAGGTCCCCAAACTAATATTATAATAAAATAAAGTATTAAATAAAAATGTTGCAATAAAATGGAACAAAATATTAAAACAAAATGAAATTTAAATATTATATTAAAATGATTAAAATTATTGAAATAAGAATTTTAAAATATAGCAAAGTAAACAATATTACGTAAATAAATAAATAAAAATATTATAATATTAAAATGAAATACATTTCAATGTTAAAATGTTTTAAAAATATACTAAAATACTAAAATAGTTTTCAAAAAATTAAAAATAAAAATTAATTACCTTTATACCGCCTCTTTTCTTCCTGGGTGAGATGTTCTGTTCGAATGCACGTCACCACGTTCAGGTTGTTCGCTGTATAGACCTTGGCTTCATAGTCGCTGACCACTTCGCTCCGCTCCGTCTTCCAGACCCAAAAACCGGATGTGTTTCTGTTATCATATTATATATTATTATTTCTATTACTATTATTATATGTATTTTTATTTCTATTATTATATAATTGTATATTATTATATATTGTTTATTTTGGGGTGTTTGTTTTAGATTTTGGGGTTCACAGTGCTCTGTATGCAGGGTGAACTATAACTCCCATGCTGGTGGGTTATTCCACCCACCCTCTCCAGTATGTTGGTTATCAATGTTCTGTGTGCCATGTGTGTTCCAGATTCACCATTGGGGGCTTCAGAATGCTCTCTGGGTGCAGGGTGAACTACAATTCCCACATGGGTGGGTTAGTCCTCGCCCAAACTCTCCTAGTATGTTCTGTGTGCCATGTTTGGTCCAGATCTACCATTGGTGGGGTTCAGAGTGCTCTGGGTGCAGGGTGAACTACAACTGGAATGCGGGTAGGTCGGTCCCCCCACAGACAACTCTATTGGCTATGTTCTATTGGTCATGTGAGTTTTGTGCCCTAAGTTTGGTCCAGGCCGGTCATTCATGGGGGTTGTGTAGTCCCCCAAACCGAATCAGGTTATAAAGTGGGTCATTGGGGCTCTGTGTGCCAAGTTTGGTCTTGGTGAGGGTCGCAGTGATCTCTGGAAGTGTGTGAAGGTATTGCAAGTTCCATCATCCATGGCCTATCCTTCCTTAATCCACACCAGGATGTATAGTGGGTCATGGGTGGTCTGTGTGCCAAGTTTGTGCCAGGTCCGTCATTCATGGGAGTCATAGTAGTTTTGGAAGTGAGTGAAGGTACTGCAAATCCCATCATCCATGACAAGTGTGGTCCAGATCCATTGCTGGCTGGATTCACAGTGCTCTCTGGTTGTAGGTGAACTACAACTCCTATAAATCATGGTGAATTTTCCCCAAATCTCTTGTTCAGTTGCTGATCAATTCCTCTGTTTGCTGTGTGCCATAAGAAAGGCTAGGAAAGGGTTAAGGCAGAGGCAGTGGGTGGGATCATGCAAATTCCACACCAATGGAGGAAGAAAGGTACCCTGGGATGTGGACCTCACTATAACCTACAATGTCACTGGAGAGAGGGCCATTGGTGTCTTCTGCATGGCAGAAGTTATAGTTCTTTGTGGAAATGGGAGTCTGTCTGTGTAAGTGGACCCTTCCACCACATACACACATACACATTTTTCACTTTTGTCACGTGTATCGATACTATTTCTAAGATTATATTATTTCAATGATTATAGTACATATTATTATTTCTGTTACGATCATATCTTATTATTTCTACGATTATTTCTATTGTTATTATATTATTATTCTATAATAATATAATAGTCGGAAGAGCCGACTAGGGGGCCGCCCGACCCCTATCCCACCCTCCTGGCCTTGTCCCCTGACCCCTGACCTCTCGAAGGCGATGTTGCGTGTGTCGAGGACAGTTCTGAGGAGGGGGGAGGTCAGGCGGCGCTCCACTTCCTGCCTGCGGGGCGTCATGTCGTCCAGTGTCAGGCGGCCCATCTGCCCAGACAGCTCAAAGCGCTCCATCCACACGACCTTCTCCTCGTGGTTGACCTCCATCAGCTCTGCCCATCGGCCTGACTCTGGAAAGGACCGGAAGCCATGATGGCGTCGGAATGGAGGACCATAGATTCATCCATCTATCCATCTCCTCATCCATCCATCCATGCATGCATCTATCCATCTATCAATCTAGCCATCCATCTATTCTTTCATCCATCTATATATTTGCCATATTTATACTCCGCTTTTCTCTACCCCAGCAGGGGGACTCAAGGTGGCTTACAATGGCACACATACAGTGCCTCAAAACAACAAATTTAGCTAGAAATAGTTTAAAATTACAACATATTAGACATGATTAAAATACATTCAAAGTTCTTCCAGTAGTGGCAACTATGGCGGACGCCGCAGGTTTCTGAGGCTCCTCAAGGCTTTTCCAGATTCCTGCCTTTCCTAACGTCTAGGTAGAGCCAAAGGCTCCCCCACCAAAGTAGTTTAAAACAGGATGGTGCAAAACCTATGGACTGGGACTTCAAGACCCCATCCGACAGATCCAATAGGTGCAGGATGAGGTACAGGACGCTCAACTGTGACCGGGTAAGAACGCCACCCACTATTTTAAAAATCAAGATGGGGACGTAAAAGGATACAACTAAAAAGAAAGGGAAGCCTGGGTTGTGATAAAGAGCTGCTGAGCAAGACTCAGAGAGAGGAGGGGAGAGGCTGGAGAGAGCGAGAGAGAAAGCCGGAAAAGGAAAAGGAGAGGTAAAGGTGAAAGACGAAAGAGTAAAGAAGAAAACAACTGCTGGGTGGAGGATGAGCTGGCGGAGAGGAAGGAGTGGTGGAGGAAAAGGTGATGTGACAAGCTGCTCTCTACACTCTCACCCCCCACCCTGCCGAACTTCCCAACTCCATTGGGTAAGGAAAGAAGGCCGAGGAAATGGTGGGAGCAACTGAGAGGTGAGGCGAGGCAAGTGGGCAGATGGCGTGAGTGTGGAGAGGAGGAGCAGAGGCGAGGTGAGCAGGCAGATGGCGTAGTAGTGGAGGCGAGGCTGAGGTTGAGAAGAGACGACCGGGCGGACGACGTGAGAATGAGGCTGAGGGGAGAGAGCGAGGTTGAGGGGAGTGTGCGGGAGAACGGGAGAAAGAGAGAGTCTAGAGGATCGACAGGGAAGAGGAACCGGAGAGGGACTGCAAGGAGCTACAAGGAAGTGACGGAGAAAAGGACAGAAGGAAGAGGATTGAGGAGGAAGCGACCGGAAAAAGGGTGGAAGCAGGGCAAAAGGAAAGAGGAAAATAAAAACACAACCAAGCGAATTTAGGAAAGACTTTTCTGGGAGAACTCAAACTGAGATATATTAAAAAAGAAGGGGAAAAGGAGGGAAGAAAAAAAAGGAGAGGGAAAGAAAAAAAAGAGGAGCATCAGAACAACCATAGACACAGGGGGAGTAAGTGGGGTAATAAAGGCAAAGTAGAGACCATCTAGATAAGGTAACAGGAGCTGTAAGAAAAAGACTGGAGGGACAACAGGGGCGGAATACAAAGGAAAGAAGGTAAGAGGAGGGATAAAGATAAGAAGAGACAAAAAGATAAAGAGAGAAGTGGACCCAAAAGAAGAAAAAGGTAGGCAAGACATAGCCAAAGATCCGAGATAGGAAGAACACAAATCAAGAACAAAGAAGAAAAGGCAAGAAAGAAGTGAACTGCGAAAAAAAGGCCCAAAGAACCAAAATTACTTTACAAAGAGAACAACAAGACAAACTCCCAGAACAGCAGTATACAAATACACAGACTAAATACATATAAACTAGCTGGTAGATAAGATATCTTAAGGACAACAAAAACACACAACAACAAAGATAGAAAGAAGTTCATATTTGCCAATTAGACTGGACCTGACAGGAGAGTTAGACCCCGAAACTATAACCATTGAAATGGCAACCACAAAAAACAAGATAGAGAAAGTAATAGAGGGAGACAAAAGAGGCCCAAGACTCACTACCAGAGGAACTAAACATAAAAGATGTGATGAGAGAAATGTTAAAATTGCAATCAGAAGTACAAAAGTTACAAGATAACCAAGATAGACAAAATAGTATAATTAAAGAAGTAATGAATGAGATGAAGAAAGAAATTAAAGCAGGAGTGTCCTGTTGTGAGAGAATTGGCTGTCTGCAAGGACGTTGCCCAGGGGACACCCGGATGATTTCTGATGTTTTATCATCCTTGTGGGAGGCTTTTCTCATGTCCTCTTAAGAAAGAACTAGGAGCTATTAGAGAAGTAGAAACACTAAAACAAGAAAACAAAGAACTACTGTAGGAAAATAAAGTCACCAAAGCACAACAAGAAGGGATTAAGAATAAGATTGAAACCTTAGAAGAATCTATACATTTAATGAAAATATATCCCAAAATCTTGGAGATCAGAGAGAAAGAATTCCAATTAAGATTTCGAAACATAATAGAAGAAGAGAATGAGAATATCAGAGGGGTGATCGCCAACTTAGTGGCACACATATTGAACAAGACTAAAGAAGAAATTGAGATAAACATAGATCGAGTCTATAGGACTCAAGTCACTTATGCGAAAAGGCACAAGACACCGAGAGACATAATTGTCCGTTTTGAGAGAAAGAGGATAAGAGATGAAATTTTAAGAGGAAACTCTAAATCCTCTACTTACTACAATGGAAACAGAATACCAATATTAAAAGATCTCCCTGCAACGGTACTAGAAAGAAGACGTAAATATTATTTTTTGACAGACAAATTGATAAAAAGAAATATAAGATTCAAGTGGGAAACAAGGTAACCTGGAAAGGCATAAATTACTGGTTAACAACAGAGGCCAAAGCAAAAGCATTCTGGAGAAACATTTAAAAAAAGAAGATAAAGAGACTATAGGAAAGCAAGGAGAGAAAGAATCAGCTTCATCACAACGAGACAGCAAGGAAGAAAAATGAGAAAAGAGACCCCACTTAAAAAATGGAAGGACTAGATAAAAGGAAGAGAGCGAGAAAGAAAGAAATCTCCAGAAGATAATGCTTTCTATCGAGAGACGGCAAGTCAAATTCAGAAACTGAAAAAGATACTGAAGATGCATACGACTCAGAGAATTAAAATATATTCAAATAATGTAATTGGACTAAATTCTCCAAATAAAAGGAAAAGAATTGGCACGAAATAAAAAAAGGTCATTACAATATCATTTCATTACAGGAAACCCACATCACACAAAGACATGTCACATACTTAGTACAAAAAGCACTAGGGAAAACATATTACGCCTTTGGACCGGAAAAAAGAGGGGTAGTAACGTATATAAACGGGAAACTAACATCAACACTAGCCTTCAAGGACCAGGAAGGGAGAATCCTAGGAATCAATTTAGAAATAAAAGGACATAAGGTCCTAGTATGTAATATTTACGCTCCTAACGATACAAAAAGTAAATTTGTAGAGACACTAAGGAAAAATATTTTGGAGCAAGAATATGATGATCTGTTGGTAATGGGGGTTTTTAATGGTGTTATAAGCAAAATAGATGACAAATCAACAAAAAGTGGAGACAAAAAAGTCAAAGATAGTAGGAGAATTACAAAAAAGCTTTATACAATTAAAAGAAGAATTTGCCCTCTACGATATCTGGAGACACTATCATGGAAATGAAAAGGATTATACCTTCTTCTACAATCGCCACCAAATGTGGTCTCTTATTGATATGATATGGGAACAAAAACAATAATAACAAAATACTCCCCATCTTAAACTCAGACCATGCTCCCCTAGAAATGGTAATAGAAGATATAGAAGAAAAAGACATTAGAGCTAATTTCATCACTCCTTGGCTTTTAAAACATCCAGGGCGCACTCAAAGATATTACACCCTCCTGTTGCTCTCGGACTCTTGCTCTGCAACAACCTACAGTGTTGCCAAGTTCTGTGCTGCAGCAATTAACATTAGACGGCTGATGTCCGACTCTACCAGGCAACTTCCTGCCGGGAATATAGTTAGAATGATTTGTAATAACTGAAATGCTGTAAATTCTCCCCTCTCATCCCTTTTAGAGCTTCCCAGTTGTCTGATATTTGTTATTAGCCGCCCCCTATTTTAGATTCATACATGCACTTTAAACTGTAAGTTTAGTCTGTTTTAATTTGTCTCTTTTATAACATGTTTTTAATCTGCTTTTAATCTGCTTTTATACCTGATCTACTTGGGAACTGCAATTCCCTTCCTTGGGCACCAATGCCCCATTCTGTACTGTGCTGGTCAAAGACCGTAATAAATCATTGATTGATTGATTGATTGACAGAGTAAGAAATTGGAGATTAAATGACCATTTAATTAAAGGCTTGAAAGAACAGGAAAAAAACAAGGAAATATTAATGGAATATTTTAAATTAAATACAGAAAAAGATACACCAATAGATATAATATGGGATGCCAGTAAGGCCTATATGAGAGGGCAACTCATAGAGCAAGGTATAAGAGATAATAGGAAAAGAAAGCGAGACTATAACAAACTAGAAGAAGAAATTACAAAAATGGAAATACAGGCTAAAAAAAAAAATCCCCAGGACAAAAAGGTCCAGTACCAATTGGACCTACTAAGGAAACAAATGAATACATTACAATTAGTTGAGATGGAGAAAAAACTCCATGAATGCAAACAGGATAGATGAATAACCAAGGAAGGGAAAAGCTACCATCATACTAAAGATATTATTGACCAATTTGTTAACTACTACAAAAATTTATATGCGAGTGAAAATATACCAAAAGAAAGAGTAGTGCAATACTTGGAGAATCAATCTGCAGGGCAAAGAGAAATTTTAAATGGGAAATTTTCAGAGGAAGAAATAAGAAAGTCAATTAAAAATTTACTGCCAAATAAAGCACTGGGACCAGATGGCTTTACTGAAACCTACTACAAAGTATTCCAAGACATACTCATACCCCCACTTCAAAAAGTAATGAACAAAGTAATGGAAGAAAGGAAAATACCAGATACATGGAAAATTGTGAATATAACCTCGATACACAAGGAAAACACAGAGAACACACAGGTAAGAAATTACGGAGCAATATCCCTACTTAATGTAGATTATAAAAATTTCTCTAGTATATTACCAAATAGACTGAAAGAAATCCTAAGTGACAGAATTGAAGAGGAGCAAACTGGCTTCCTCCCAAAGAGACATATAAGAGCCAATATAAGAACAATACTAAACGTTATAGAAGACTATGAGAAGAACTAACAAAAAGAAGTAGCACTGTTGTTTATCTGTCTATCTATCTATCATTCATCTATCTATCTATCTATTTATTTATTTACTATATTTCTATACCGCCCTTCTCAGCCCGAGGGCGACTCACGGCAGTTTACAAAACCGGCACAATTCGATGCCACAATAATATAATCTATCTATCTATCTAACAACAACAACAACAACATTCCACCCTCACTCCCTAAGGGGACTCAGGGCAGATTAAACCAAAAAATGGAAAACATTGAATGCCAAATACATTCATAAAATACAAAAATGAACCACTCTGATCCCAAAAAGAAGCAACATCTACAACAGAATTATAACAAAAATTAAATAATGACATAACTATCAATTAACTTACATCTTACATAAAAACATTAAGCAGAAATTATATAAAACCACACTTATCTATCCATCCATCTATCAATTCATTCATCCATCTATCCACTTTTTCATCTATCTTCTATATCCATCCATTTATCTATTTTCTATGCATCTATCTATGTATCTGTCTATGTCTCTATTGGGACCTGAAGGTAGGTGTATCTTAGGTCCATCACTCTATAACATCTATCTATCTATCTATCTATCTATCTATCTATCTATCTATCTATCTATCTATCTATCTATCTATTCATCAATCTATGTCTATATATCTATTTATCTGTCTATCTATCTACTTATCTCTCTCTCTCTACAGTATCTATCTATCTATCTATCTATCTATCTATCTATCTATCTATGAATCTATCTGTCTCTATCAGGACCTGAAGGTAGGCCTCTCTTAGGTCCATCACTCTATTTTATATCTATCCATTAATCCATCTATGTACCTATTGGGAGCCCCCTGGTGGCACAGCGGGTTAAACCATTGAGCTATTGAACTTGCTGACCGAAGGGTTGGCAGTTCAAATCCAGGGAGTGGGGTGAGCTCCCACTGTTAGGCCCAGCTTCTGCCAACTTAGTAGTTCAAAAACATGCAAATGTGAGTAGATCAATAGGTACTGCTTCAGTTGGAAGGCAAAATTAATCCATCCATTAATCCATCTATGTATGTATTGGAACCTGAAGGTAAGCCTCTCTTCAGTCCATTATTTTATCCTCTATTTATTTATGCATCTATCCGTCTATCTCTCTATTTATCCATCTATGTATGAATTGGGACCTGAAGGCATGCCTCTCTTAGATCCATCACTATCATCTATCTATCCATCCACCCATTGACCCATCTAAGTTGGAACCTGAAAGTAGGCCTCTTATAGATCCATCACTCTATCATCTATCTATCTTTCTATGTATCTGTCTATATTTATCTCTTCATCCATCTATCTACGCATCTATGTATCTATCTATTCATCTATCTATCTTTCATCTATCCACCTACCTATCCATTTATCTATCTATCCATCCATCTCTCCATCTATCACCTTCTCCGCGGAAGACGAGGCTCCTCTTCCCACGCTCCCAGCTCATGTTTTGGAACCCGAGGAGTGTGATATCGACGCGCAGGCGAGCCCCACTCTTCCAGATGCGGCACACATCTGCCGGGCATACGCGTGACACCAGCGGTACTGGAAGAGAAAGATAAGCAGGGAAAAGAATGAAGTACATAGGAGGAAATGAGGCCGGAAGAAAATTGGCGACCACAAAGGGACCCATGAAATAAAATATTATAAAATAATAAAATATAAAATAAAATAAATATATAACAAGATATAAAACACAAAATAAAATATAACACAAAATAAAAAATAAAATAAAAAGATGGAAATATAAAAGAATAGAAAATAAATAAATAATAAAGTTTAAAATATAAAATATAAATGGAAGGGTTGTAGAGGAGCATGAAAATTTGAAAGGAATAACTAGTAAAATATATAAGATAATAATTGAAATAAAGAAAGGAAAAACAAAAAATAACATCCTCAAGGAGGTCTGGGAAGTCTTAGGGATAAAAATGATTGCCCTAGGAATCTGGCAGGTGTAGTTCACCTGCATCCAGCAAAACTGTGACCATCACCGACAATGGACTGGGACCAAACTTGACACAGAGAAGCCCCGGGACCAATTGAACATATGCAAGGGTTTGTGGGAATTCATCATTTTGGAAGTTATAGTTCACTTGCATCCAGAGGGCACTGAACCCAGCCGATGACAGATCTGGACCAATCTTGGCACACAGAACCCTGGTAATGAAGAGAACATTCTGGAAGAGTTTTTTTTCGGGGGGGGGGGGGGTTACTGACCCACCCACCTGGGAGTTGTAGTTCACCCTGTGTACAGAGATGGACTATGGATGATGGGACTTGCAGTACCTTCACTCACTTTCTGAGACTGCTGCGACCCTCATCCAATGACTGATCAAAACCAAACTTGGCACACAGAGTCCCCATGGTCCACTCTACATCCTACTGCAGTTTGGAGAAGGGCGGACCATGGATGATGGGACTTGAAGTACCTCCACTCACTTCCCAAGACTGCTGCGACTCTCATCCAATGACTGAACAAGACCAAACTTGGTACACAAAGCCCCCATGGCCAACTCTACCTTCTGGTGCTGTTTGGAAGAGGATGGATGATGGGAGCTGCAAATGGGAGCTGGAGTTCACCATCTAACATTGGATCTAGACTAAACTTGAAGCACAAACAAACAATTCCTATCTTAAATAACTCGGGCTCTGCCGGGTCCCCAGGCTAGTAAAAAAATAAAAAAATGAAAAATGAAGAATGAAATCTAGCATAAAATAAAATAAAAAATCAAAAGTATAAAATATATAGGAAGTTATTAGGCCGGGAGAAAATTGGTAACTATACATATATAAATATGTGTGTATGTATGTATGTGTGTGTGTGTGTATATATATATATATATATATATATATATATATATATATATGTATGAAGGTATTTAAAATTATTTTGAAATGCATAAAATATAAAAAAGTAAAAAATAAAGTATAAAATATAAATAAAATATGAAATACGACCGAGAGAGAAATATGTCTTACCCCAGCTGGTGAACTCCCACTTCATCTCTACATAGAAGTCCGGTGTCTGGAAGGAAAACCCATATTTTATATATATATGTAATGTTTGTTTGTGGAATTAACATAACTCGAAAACCACTGGACGAATTAACACCCAATTTGGACACACCTATCAGGCCAACAAATGACCATCACTCATAAAAACACTGAAAAACACAGCAAAGGAGACTTAAAAAGCCAAAATAAAAAACACGAATGCATGCGCAAAACCACACACATATATTTATTTATTTCATTTATTTAATATATTTACATCCTGCCCTTCTCCCCACAAGGGGGACTCAGCGCAATGTGTTTGCATATATATATGCAAACACACACATATACACATATATATGTACACACACACAAAACACATATACACAGACTGGGCCACAGCAACGTGTGGCAGGGGACGGTTAGTACATAAATAAAAACCTGATTGATCTTCTGGAGCAGCTCGGGGACCCCTCCTAAAGTATTGGCGGTCTGCTGGAAATCCCGGTGCTGGAGGACCAAATGGACCATTTCGGGGTCTCCGGTACTCACCGCCTCATGCAGGACTATGGGAAAACACATTACTTATTGATCACTTATTGATTACAGATTGGCAGTTTGGACAGTGATTGGCACTTCTGACTTGTGTCATTCACATTTCCCCACTTTCATGGGGCTCTAATCCCAGCAAATGCACCAACAAAGGCACTTATTGATCACCTATTGGTGATCATTTGAAGCACTTATTGATTATGTATTGATTGGATATTGATTATCGCTTGGAAGCTTTGTATGGGTTACCTTTCTAGGCTGATCAACTATTATACCATTAAAAGTGTTTATTGATTATTGATTGATTACCGATTGGAAGCTTTGTATGGACTTCTACCTGGTCCAGGTTGATCAACCATTCTGCCATTAAAAGTACTTATTGAGTATTGATTGATTATTGATCAACTATTGTACCATTAGAAGAGCTTATTTATTGCTATTGATTATTGATTATCAATTGGAAGGTTTTTATGGGTTTATATGAGTTACCTGGTCCAAGCTGATCAACAATTATACCATTTGAAGTGTTTATTGATCACATATTGATAACATTATTTATTATTTATTGATTATAGATTAGAAGCTTTTTATGGGTTACCTATCCAGGCTGATCAACCTCTGTACCATTGAAGCACTGATTGGTCACTTATTGACTGATTCTTGGTTATTGATTGGAAGCTTTGTATGGGTTTCCTGTCCAGGCTGATCAACTATTGTACCATTGTAAGTGCTTATTGAACACTTATTGATTATTGGTTATCGATTGGAAGCTTTCTATGGGTTACCTATCCAGGCTGGTTAACATCTGTACCATTGTAAGCACTTATTGATTATTGATTGATTATTGGTTATCAATCAGAAGCTTTCTACAGGTTGCTATCAACACCTGTACCATTTGAAGCACTTATTATTGATTGACTATTTATTATCAATTGGAAGCTTTCTATGGGTTACTTATCAACATCTGTGCCATTTGAAACACTTATTATTGATTGATTATAGGTTATCAATCAGAAGCTTTCTACAGGTTACCTGTCCATCCCTGGGCGTTCTCCTTGGCGACGTCTGCCTTGTGGCGCAGGAGGACTCTGGCCGACTCAATGTGCCCCAAAGAGACAGCCAAGTGGAGAGGCGTCCGGCCTCGAGGGTCCTTCCTGTCCACTTCCTCCTGTACAAAAAGCCAAGATCAGACTAGATGACCTCTAGGGCCCCCTAGAAGTCCATATTTCTCTATTTTGGCAGGAGGGTTGGACTAGATGACCTTAAGTAAACCCTCCCAAGCCTAGGACTCTATGACTATCTATGGCGAGAAGGTTGGATCATATAATGTAATAATAATAATATATTCTCTATTGCAATTATATTAATTAGTTTATATATTTACACACACACTACTATAAATATAGTTGAATTACACATTTATTTTATATCATTATATTATATATATATATATATATATAATATATTTTCACTATTATAACTATACTATATTATAATAGTATATTGTATAATTTACTAGTATATATATTCACAATTATAATTATAAACAGGTAAAGGTTTTCCCCTGACATTAAGACGTAAAGTGGGTCATTGAGGGGGGGTCTGTGTGGCAAGTTTGATCAAGGTCTGCCATTCGTGGGGGTTGTAGTGGCCTCTAAAAGTGAGTGAAGGTATTGCAAATCCCATCATCCATGCAAGTGTGGTCCAGATCAATCGTTGGTTGGGTTCACAGTGCTCTCTGGATGTAGGTGAACTACAGCTTCTATAAATCAAGGTCAATTTCCCCCAAACCTCTTGTTCAGTTGCTGATCAATTCCCGTTTGCTGGGTGCCATAGAAAAGGGTAGGAAAGGGTTAATGGTCATGCAGTGGGTGGGGTCATGCAAATTCCACTGCAATGGAAAGAGTAAGGAACCCTGGGATGTCAATTCTGGAGGAAAAACAGAACTTCTAGGATGAAATTGTCCCAGAATGAAAGCCTTCATTTGAGTGGGGGACAGGATGGTGCTTGGGAAGGACATTGGCAGGGTTTGGGATACATGTTCATGGCTCCCACCATAACCTTGGAGGGACGGCTTTTGGTGGCTCTTCAGCACTGTGGGTTATAGTTGTTTGTGAAGGCGGGAGGCTGTCTGTGCAAGTGGACACCTTCACCACATACACATTTTCACTTTTATTATGTGTATAGATAGATAGATAGATAGATAGATAGTAGATGTATAGAAGATAATTGTCTTATAATTATATTACTAGATAAAATTACTTTTTATCTTTACATTACTATTTATAACTTCCAAATAACGATGGAATATTTAATATATATATTTTGCTTGCCTCTCTGTTTTGTGGATGATTATGACAAAAACAACAACATGCACAAACAAACACAATCCTTTTTTGTTTTTGTTTACAAAGCCGACTTTGTAAAACAAAGAGACAATGGGACATTTATTATGATTGTACGATGATCATGGTCATGAGTGTCTTAATGGCTCTGGAATAAGCATGCGGATATATTTATAATATAAATATATTTGTTATGTATATATATAGTTTTACCTTTCGCTATAGCTTTAGGGAACCTGAAACGGAAGAGCAGCTATAATATAATATAATATAATACAATAAATATAGTAAATATAATATAGGTTCTTGTGGGTTTTTCCGGGCTATATGGCCACATCTTAACACCTCTCAACAAAAGATTCCCCCAGGCTCAGCCAGGCCTTCAAATGCTAATGAAGGTGGTCAGTTGAAACATTAACACACAGCTCCAGCAGAGAAGAGCTCTTTGCCCCACCCCAGTCATTCCACAGATATATAAACCCATTGTCCTAATTCCAACAGACCTCACTACCTCTGAGGATGCTTGCCATAGATGCAGGCGAAACGTCTGGAGAAAATGCCTCTAGAACATGGCCATATAGCCCGAAAAAACCCACAAGAACCTAGTGATTCCAGCCATGAAAGCCTTCGACAATAAATATAATATAATATAATATAATGCAAATAAAAAAATACAAAATAGATAAATCAAATAATATAATCAAATAATAAAATATAAGCCATGTAAATAATAAATAAATATAATGAAAATAATATAATATAAAATATAACATAATAATATTATAATAACAAATCAAGATAATATAAAATAATTAATAATATAATATAAATAATATAATGATAATATCATATAAAATATAATAATATATCAAAATATAACATAAAATAATATAATATAAAATAAAATCTACTAATAATATAATATAATAATATAATATAATAATATAATATAATATAATAATATAAAATCTACTAATAATATATAATATAAATATTATAAAATAAAATAATGAAATAACATAATAAAATATAATATATAATATATAAAATGAAAATCTAAAAAAAAATTAAAAATAATCATATAAATCATAGAGTATAATTTAAATAATAAAATAAAATCAATTTATTTTATTGTATTTTATTGCAATCTCATCTATCTACCTTTCCTGTCTCCAGGAGTGAATCCAAACGCCGGAAGTCGTTGTCCCAAGCGGCTCTGTGCAACAGGAAGTCGTTTCGGGGGTCGCTCATTATGAAAATTTGTAGTTATTTACCCTTATTTGCATCCTTATTAAGGAGGACAGTACTGTAACTGCGTCTATACGTTGCAAAAGTATTTTCACGCAGGCAGCGATTTACACTACTAAACTGAGAGGACCCCAACATATCGCATTGGCTGAAGGCCTCGTTTTCTTTATCCGGTATCCGAAGCCACGGCGGTCATTTTGGTTGAGGGCAAGCGTCCCTTACCACATCAATTAGGACGCCATGATAGGTAAGGGAAAGCGTAAATGGCAATGCGTAAATGCTTCCCGGATGCATGTCAAGGCGGCAAAAGCGGCCATGTTGGAAGAGGGCACCGGCTTTGTTTCGAGCGGAGGCACCATATTTGACGAGGGCAACCCCCGCTATTTTGAATGTTGAATAAAGTATATATAAAATTAAAATAGAACAAATTATAATCTATATAAATAAAAATTGAATGTTAGTTCGTGCTACCATCCGAACTCAAAAACCACTGGGGGAATTGACACCAAATTTGGACACAAGACACCTAACAGTCCAATGTATGTCCTCCACTCAAAAAAAAATGATTTTGTCATTTGGGAATTGTCGTTGCTGGGATTTATAGTTTACCTACAATCAAAGAGCATTCTGAACCCCACCAATGATGGAATCGGGCCACACTTAGCACACATGACCAACAGAAAAAACTGGAAGGGTTTGGTGGACATTGACCTTGAGTTTGGGAGTTGTAGTTCACCTACATCCAAAGAGCACTGTGGACTCAAACAATGATGGATCTGGACCAAACTTGGCATGAATATTCCATATGCCCAAATATGAACACAGATGGAGTTTGGAGGAAATAGACCTTGACATTTGGGAATTGTAGTTACTGGGATTTATAGTTTACCTACAATCAAAGAGCATTCTGAACTCCACCAATGATGGAATTGAACCAAACATGGCATACAGGACTTCCATGACCAACAGAACACACTGGAAGGGTTTGGTGGGCATTGACCTTGAGTTTGCGAATTGTAGTTCACCCACATCTAGAGAGCACTGTGGACTCAAACAGTGACGGATCTGGACCAAACTTGGCACGAATATTCCATATGCCCAAATATGAACACAGATGGAGTTTGGAGGAAACAGACCTTGACATTTGGGAATTGTCGTTGCTGGGATTTATAGTTCACCTACAATCAAAGAGCATTCTGAACTCCACCAATGATGGAATTGAACCAAACATGGCATACAGGACTTCCATGACCAACAGAACACACTGGAAGGGTTTGGTGGCATTGACCTTGAGTTTGGGAGTTGTAGTTCACCTACATCCAGAGAGCACTGTGGACTCAAACAATGATGGATCTGGACCAAACTTGGCACGAATATTCCATATGCCCAAATATGAACATAGATGGAGTTTGGAGGAAACAGACCTTGACATTTGGGAATTGTCGTTGCTGGGATTTATAGTTCACCTACAATCAAAGAGCATTCTGAACTCCACCAATGATGGAATTGAACCAAACTTGGCACACAATTCTCCCACGCCCAACATAAAATGGAAAGGTTTGGTGGGCATTTACCTTGAGTTTTGGAGTTGTAGTTCACCTACATCCAGAGAGCACTGTGGACTCAAACAATGATGGATCTGGACCAAACTTGACACGAGTGACAAAATCATAATTTTTTGGGTGATGGTCACTCCTTATGTTGTGAGATGTTTTGTTGCCAAATTTGGTGTGATTTCATTCATTGGTTCTATTGTTTTTAAGGTACTCATTATGCACAGAGCATTTTTATAGATAGATAGATAGATAGATAGATAGATAGATAGATAGATAGATAGATAGAAGATAGAAGATGTATAATATAGTATACTACATTAAAATATAATGTGAACAAAATATAATAAATAAATAATAATATAACATGTATAATAAAATATAAATTTAATTAAAATATAATGATTGAAAATGTCAATATAATAAAATGAAATAAATTATTTTAATATTTTATGTATTATATTTTATTGGCCAAAACAAACATGGCGGCGGCAGCTTCAACTTCCTATACTTTGCCAGTTGCCATGATGGCGCCGAGATGTCTGTTTTTGGCTTATGCTTTTGCCCCTTCCCTCGCCTTTTGCCATACGCAAATGACGTCACGGTGTGCGCATGCGCAGTAGAAACATTTTCTTTTTCCTTTCTGGCGGGTGCGGATTCAGACTATTCTCCTCAAGACTGTTGTTGTTGTTACTATTATTATGTCGAAACGACTCCGGAGCAGCGAAGTCTGTGCGGATTGCAGCGCTTCAGGTGAGGAGAAAAAAGACTAGGCCTCGCAGAAGGTTTGAATGGTTTAGCGTTTAAATATTGATTTCAATACCTTGTGCATTTAGTCATGACTTTGTTCCATTTTAATTGTCATTTTCTATGTTTTATTCCATGTTATTATTTTTTATAATCAATTTCTATATTTTTAAAATACTTCTATTCTATTTTATGATCCCTTTCTGTATTTGGATTTTATTCTCTTATTTTATTTATCAATTTATATATTTTATACTGTTATCTATTATTATTTTATTCTATTTTATTATCTATTTCTATATTTATTTATTTATTGTTTTCTTATTTCTTATCCATTACTTTTCTATACTTATTTTATTATCTATTTCTATATTTTTTCTATATTTTTATCTTTTTATTATCTATTTCTATATTTATTTATTTGTTTGTTTTCTTATTTCTTATCCATTACTTTTGCTATACTTATTTTATTATCTATTTCTATATTTTTTCTATATTTTTATCTATTTTATTATCTATTTCTATATTTATTTATTTATTTGTTTTCTTATTTCTTATCCATTACTTTTGCTATACTTATTTTATTATCTATTTCTATATTTTTTCTATATTTTATTCTATTTTATTATCTATTTCTATATTTATTTATTTATTTATTGTTTTCTATTTTCTTATCCATTACTTTTGCTATACTTATTTTATTATCTATTTCTATATTTTTTCTATATTTTTATCTAGTTTATTCTATTTTATTATCTATTTCTATATTTATTTATTTATTGTTTTCTTATTTCTTATCCATTACTTTTGCTATACTTATTTTATTATCTATTTCTATATTTTTTCTATATTTTATTCTATTTTATTATCAATTTCTATATTTATTTATTTATTGTTTTCTCATTTCTTATCCATTACTTTTGCTATACTTATTTTATTATCTATTTCTATATTTTTTCTATATTCTTATCTATTTTATTATCAATTGTTATATTTCTATTTTATCCCATTCTATTCTCAATTTCTATTTCTATATACTATTATCTAATATTAATGTCTATATTTTCTATTTTAAAATATCTAATTTTATTCTATTTTGTTATCAATTTCTATATTTTATTATTATGTTATATTTTTACTATTGTATTCTGTTATTTAATCATTTTATGTTATTTTATTACATCTGGGGAGAGGCGGATGAGCTCCCTCTATTAGCTCCAGCTCCTCATGCGGGGACATGAGAGAAGCCTCCCACAAGGATGATAAAACATCAAAAAAATCATCCGGGTGTCCCCTGGGCAACGTCCTTGCAGACGGCCAATTCTCTCACACCAGAAGCGACTTGCAGTTTCTCAAGTCGTTCCTGACCCGACCCCAAAAAAAACATCATTATTATTATTATGGACATCTTGTTTAGCTGAAGACCGACAGGTTGAAGGTTCGAATCTGGGGAGAGGCAGATGAGCTCCCTTATCAGCTCCAGCTCCTCATGCGGGGACATGAGAGAAGCCTCCCACAAGGATGATAAAACTTAAAAAATCATCCGGGCGTCCCCTGGGCAACGTCCTTGCAGACGGCCAATTCTCTCACACCAGGAGTCACTCCTGACACGACAAAAAAAAAATTATTACAACAACAATTTTTTATTGATTAGCCAATTTCTATTTCTATAATTATCTAATATTAATGTCTATATTTTCTATTTTAAAATATCTATTTTTATTCTATTTCGTTATCAATTTCTATATTTTATTATTATGTTTTATTTTTACTATTGTATTGTGTTATTTAATCATTTAATGTTATTTTATTACAACAACAATTTTTTTATTGATTAGCCAATTGGCCTTATCAAAAACTAACAATGCAGACATAACGTACAACATACAACAAACAATGCAGACATAACATACAACATACAACAAACAATGCAGACATAACATACAACATACAAAGATCCGCCTAGTCAAAGCCATGGTATTTCCCGTGGTAACCAACCGATGTGAGAGCTGGACCTTAGGGAAGGCTGAGCGAAGGAAGATCGATGCTTTTGAGCTGTGGTGTTGGAGGAAAGTTCTGAGAGTGCCTTGGACTGCGAGAAGATCCAACCAGTCCATCCTCCAGGAAATAAAGCCCGGCTGCTCACTGGAGGGAAGGATACTAGAGACAAAGTTGAAGTACTTTGGCCACATCATGAGGAGACAGCAAAGCCTAGAGAAGACAATTATGCTGGGGAAAGTGGAAGGCAAAAGGAAGAGGGGCCGACCAAGGGCAAGATGGATGGATGGCATCCTTGAAGTGACTGGACTGACCTTGAAGGAGCTGGGGGTGGTGATGGCCGACAGGGAGCTCTGGCGTGGGCTGGTCCATGAGGTCACGAAGAGTCGGAGACGACTGAATGAATGAACAACAACAACATACATACATCTACAAATATACAGGTAGCCATAGATATATGCATCAACTATCCTCGTCTCTCCTACACTGCATTTTATTACATTATTATCATTTTATTACTATTTTATATTTTATTGTATGTTTTTATTATTATTACTATCATATTATATATTATTGTATTGTCTTTTTATTAACATTTTATGATGATTCTATATAACTTTTTTCGCTATTTATAAATTATTATTATATATATTTTATATTGCTGTTTATGATTTATGAATATTATATGTGCTTTACTATGTCACCATTTTTACTGTGTCAGTTAATTTGTTTATTTGATTTGATTCGTATATTGTTATATTTAATATATATAATTTATATTATTGTAGTATTCTGTTTTATTACAACATTATTATATTTAGATTATTTAATATTTATAATTTATATTATTTATTTATTTAGAACTTTTGTATACCGGTCTTCTCACCTCCGTGGAGGGACTCAGGCCGATTTCCAACAATAATATCACAAGCAATCGTTTTAAAAACATCACATTCCATAATACACGAACACATTAAAATACCAAAAATACAATCATATAATTACAATGGCCAAGTCGTCACAATAAAATCGTTGTTCATCACCATCCATCCATATAGCCACGAGTTATTGACTCACTCGTCAAATGCCAGTTTCCAGAGCCAGGTTTTCACCTGTTTTCTGAACGTCAAGATAGAAGGGGCAGTTCTACTCTCCAGTGGGAGGGAGTTCCAGAGCCGACGGGCCACCACCGAGATGGTCCTGTCCCTCGTCCCCACCAGGCGCGCTTGCGAGGCCGGTGGGACCGAGATCAGGGCCCCTCCAGATGATCTTAACAATCTTGATGGTTCATAGGGGAGAATCCGTACAGACAGGTAAACTGGGCCGGAGTCGTTTAGGGCTTTATAGGTCAAAACCAGCACTTTGAATTGTGCACGGAAGCTAATCGGCAGTGGAGCTGGTTTAATAGAGGGTTCGTATGATCTCTGTACCTCGCTCCTGTTAGTAATCTGGCTGCCGCTCGTTGGACTAGTTGGAGCTTCCGGGCAGTCTTCAGAGGCAACCCCACGTAGAGAGCGTTGCAGTAATCTAAACGGGATGTAACCAGAGCGTGGACCACCGTGGCCAAGTCAGGCTTCCCAAGGTACGGGTGCAGCTGGCACACAAGTTTTAATTGTGCAAAAGCTCCCCTGGTCACCGCCGAGACCTGGGGTTCCAGGTATTATTGTATTATTATACTATTATTGTATTATTATACTATTTTATTGCATTACTTTATTGTTGTTATTTATATTCTTGTACTATTATATAAAATGTATATTGTTGTATTATTACTCTTATATTTTATTATGTTATTTTTATTATTTTACTATTATATGTAATTTATATTATTGTATTATTATTTTTCTATTTTATTACATTATTATATTAGTATATTATTTATATTATTTTACTATTATATATAATTTATATTATTGTATTATTATTCTATTTTATCGCAACAGTATTATTATTATTATATGATTTTATACCCACTGAGAAGGCTTTCTCTCCTCTCTCTCTCTCTCCCGTCCCCACCAAATATGCCTGTGACCAAGATCTTAGTCTCCACGGTGGTTCATAGAGGGAGATGCATTCGGGCAGATAAATTGGGCTGGGGCTGTTTAGGGCTTTATAAACCAAAGCCAACACTTTGAATTGTTGGGTTGTTGTAGGTTTTTCGGGCTATATGGCCATGTTCTGGAGGCATTTTCTCCTGACGTTTCGCCTGCATCTATGGCAAGCATCCTCAGAGGTAGTGAGGTCTGTTGGAAGTAGGAAAAATGGGTTTATATATCTGTGGAATGACCAGGGTGAGACAAAGGACTTTTGTTTGCTGGGGCTAGCTGTGAATGTTTCAGCTGATCACCTTGATTAGCATTCAATGGCTTGGAAGCGCCTGGGGGGAATCTCTTGTTGAGAGTGATTTTATGTGCCTGTTTGTTTCCCCTCTGTTGTTTTGCTGTTGTAATTTTTGAGTTTTTAATACTGGTAGCCAGATTTTGTTCATTTTCATGGTTTCCTCCTTTCTGTTGAAATTGTCCACATGCTTGTGGATTTCAATGGCTTCTCTGTGTAGTCTGACATGGTGGTTGTGAGAGTGGTCCAGCACTTCTGTGTTCTCAAATAATATGCTGTGTCCAGGTTGGTTCATCAGGTGCTCTGCTATGGCTGATTTCTCTGGTTGGAGTAGTTTGCAGTGCCTTTCATGTTCCTTGATGCGTGTCTGGGCAATGCTGCGTTTGGTGGTCCCTATGTAGACTTGTCCACAGCTGCATGGTACACGGTAGACTCCTGTAGAGGTGAGAGGATCCCTCTTGTCTTTGAATTGTGCCCGGTAGCAAACCGGCAGCCAGTGGAGTTGACGTAAGAGGGGAGTTGTATTTTCCCTGTACACTATTTCGGTGAGCAGTCTGGCTACCACCCATTAGACCAGGGGTCCTCAAACTAAGGCCCAGGGGCCGAATGCGGCCCTCCAAGGTCATTTACCTGGCCCTTGCTCAGGGTCAACCTAAGTCTGAAACTACTTA